CCATTTACTTTTGTTGATTTTCATGTGAGATACATATGATAAAATACAGAACATAATATATTCTGTCCTATAACAGTAGATATGTTACATTTAAAATTACTTTTAAGACCAAAGAATCACGTTTTCACTATTCAGAAAACTGATTATATATGATATTACCCGAGACAATTACCAAATTGGAGAAGGTCGATAGAGAAAATGACCAATGTAAAGGGATGTTAAAAAGAAACTTTGCCTTATGACCTTATCACCAAGGATGTTTAGAAAAAATTAACATTTCCAAGAACTGGCCAAATTGGACCTGCCATGACTTCTATTGAGACATCTTTAAGTCACCTCAGAAGATGAAAGCAAGATTCTGGGAAGATCACTAAGCAGCAGCAATATGAGAAAGCATCTACTAGACAGCTATATGAGAAGCAATATTGGGAAAAAGCAAAATGGACTTTGCATGGCTTACAAAAAGAAACATAGAAAGTGTAATGATAATGAACTTTCTTTTTTTTTCATTTTTTGGGGAATTATAAAATTTTAGTACATGATGATGATGATATTAAAGTACTTTTGTGAGATAGAAGCCTCCTCGGAGTGAGGGATTTGGGTGCTATTTGAGATTTGAGAACATTATTTTTTTTTAGAGAGAGATTTGCTTTCATGCATGGTTGGGACAATTTGACAGCTTTTGCCTTCTTGGAAGATACATTATGTTTGTTAAGGTGAGGTTTGGTGGGGGTCACTTCCTTACAAAAGCCTCAAGAAAAAAGAAATACTCTATTTCAAAATAAGTGTCGTCTTAGACTTTGCACATAATTTAAAAAACTCGTAAATAGGGTAATAAAATTACTTGAATATCCTCAACTAACCCCATTATAAAATTGTCCACCAATCGCATCAACTCTTTTGAGGGTAATTTTGGAAACTTTTAACAAAAAGTGCATTGAAATGTGAAAACGACACTTATTTTGAAATTTCTCTATTTTGCTAAGACGACACTTATTTTGGAATAGAGGAGTACTCCCTACATTCCAAAATAAGTGTCATCTTACACTTTCCACATAATTTAAGAAACTCTTAAATAAGGTTATAAAATTACTTGAATATCCTCACCTAACCCCATTAAAAAAAAGTCCACCAATAGTATCAATAATTTTGAGAGTAATTTTGAAATTTTTGGACAAAAAGTGCATTGAAATGGGAGAACGACACTTATTTTGAAATTTTTCTATTTTACTAAAACGACACTTATTTTGGAACGGAGGGAGTATATATATATAATTGTCCGTCGTCCTCCTAGCTTGCTTGTTCCAGTATAAAATTTATTACTCCTTTTAAAATACTCCCTCTCTCCCAAAATTATTGTCCACTTTGAGTTTTCATTTTTAGTTCAATTTGTACAAAAAATGAAAACCCAAACTGGACAATAATTATGGAACGGAGGAAGTAATTGTTTAGTTTGAATTTTATTTTTTAATATAAAATTATATTAAAAATGAGCTAAACTGGATAGTAATTTTGGAACGGAAAAATTACAAATTTCGACCAATTTTTTTTTTATTTATTACAAGTGACATTTATGATCTACTAATCGTTACGTTATGAATATCGACTCTCTATTTTTCATCTTCAGAGTTCTTATTTAGCAAAAACTCTCCAATGAGAAAAGGTCGACCCAACTAATCTGTAAAGAATGTTTTTCGACTAATCTAAAGTTCGGGAAACTATTTAATTTTATATTTAGTTTTGTCGTTTGACATGATTAATGAGTCATATCATCGTTCATATTGAGATCGATTAAATTAATCATGCCAATCACTATTGTTTTGATGAGTCGCTAGAATGGTAAATGAAAGTTGAGGAACTTAAAAATTCACAATCTAAAATACCAAAATGAAGTGATGCGCCAAATTTACTCACTCTCTTTATTCATTTGTATGATCCAAACCAATTATACTTGAATTATTACTCTACTTTGATTACCAGCATAAACCACCTAAGGGAATCATTTAATTTTATAAATACATGCGGACAACATCTAATAAAATATATGTATGTACACAGGAAAAATTCTTTAATCTCGTTTACTGAATGGTTCTGTCAATTCTTATATAGTTCAAAAACATATATATGGACCAACGAAAACTTCAAAAGTAACCCAGAAAAAAAAAAAAAAAAAAACCTAATGCAGAAAAGGTTGGAGATTTAAATTTTAGTAGTAGAGAATTGCTAGGGTAGGGTGTATGTGAAGGACCAAAAATAAAAGTTAAGAGGTAGTCATACATCAAGGAAAGCTTTTGCTTCTCATTCAATCTCAAAACTTTTGCTAGATGCCTTGCCCACCGCCCGCCATATCTTCTTTAAGTCTCCTTCACTGTTTTAATTTACTAATTTTTTTTTGGTTGCACATTTTGATTTATGGCATTGGGTTGCTTCAATTTTATCTTATTTAGTCAGCTTTAAAATAACGCAATCCTTCTCTCCCACAGATATTTGTTGTTTTCCTGTATCCAACCCCCCAAAAAAAAAGAAAAAAAAAAAGAAAAACCTAAAAAAAGTAAGCACTCATGCTTGTCAAAAGCCACATGCACTAGAGAAGTAGACCCCTCAAAACAAAAACTACATAACAACAATCATCATCGATCATCAAGCTTTTTCATGCATGTATTTTGGAGCTAAATCTTTGAAGTTTTGTACTATTTGTCCCCATGCAAAAGCATGATGATGATGATGATTTCATCATCTTCATGGGTTTTATTTTGTTGTTTCTACTTGCATTTCATCCATATGCTTTCTAGGGTTTTCTCTTTTTATCATGATCATATTCACTGTCTTTTTTTCTTTTCATTTTTACCTGTTTTATGAGCTTTTAGTTTTTGTATCATTTCGTGAAAGGTCAACCAATCAATGTCAATCTATGCATCTTTCGATTTCGTCAAGTCTCTATCATGGTGTTCATTATTTTCACTAATCATTTTTTTTTCGCTCAATATGTTGAAACCGCGCACTACTAGTCTACTACTAGTTTTGGTCTTCTTCTTCTTCTTCTTTTTCTTCTTTTTTTTTGGGGTTTTTTTTTTCAACTCTTCATCGTCATAGAAATAGATAGTTGACGTGATGAAGTCTTCCCCTCATTACATTTGACCAATTTCAGTGTACATGATGATGTTGATCAATCATATATAGAACTATAGATTGAAAGGAGGCGGCCAAAAATTAAACTAATTTCTCCATTGACTTTGGGCTATATAATTCGTTTGGATGTATGATTTTCAGAAATTCCTATTAGTTACTTCAGTGATTCGATTGGACTACATTCACTTAACCTAAATTGGTCAAAATCAGATGCATTTTTCTTCTATACATATACAAGGGAGCAACCAACGTTTTCTTTTTTTTTGACGGGATGAATTGGGAAAAATTAGTCCATGCCCTCGTACCCTAACGGAACCATGACCGTTTCAACATCAAATTGATTGATTACGATGATGATAAAATAGGGAAATTTTCACCAAATGCATATACACTACACTAAATAAATCAATAAAACCATTTCATTTATGCTTTTAAGAAATTAATGCCCATTTTTTTCAAGAATTTGAATTCATTTCCATGTAAAAAGAAAAAGATGAAATATAAACGAGTGGGATCACATGAGCGTAGAGACGATTAGTATTACTCCATGCATTCTTAAACAAAATATATAGTTTACTTCATCATACTGTTTTAATTCGACAACATATAGATTATTTTTCTAAACCAGAATGAGTACATTTTAATTTTTAAAGTAATATCACATTCCAATACTGTGTCTTAGATTAAAGAAGTTGAATGTTAATGTTGTGATCACTATGTCTTTCGGCCAGAAGAGTATTTTGTTTCTGTATATAGTGTTTCGTAATCAACTGGGAGTTTCAAAAGAAATCTGTTCTTCATAATGCACAAAACTTATTTTTGGATTTTAAGGTATCATTATCGGCCCCCAAGAGTGTATGTAGTTTCTTAAGTGAAAAAACGAAACTAATATCTTCAGACAATCGCAATATCTTCGGGATTGGAAAAATGGAAATGCGTAAGCTTTAAAGATAAAGTACCAAAATTGTACTCACTCCATTTTGAAATATATGTCGTTTTAGGATTTGGTAAATTTTTTTACATATCATATTTGACTACTTTTTATCAATATTACTCTTGCATTGGAAATGAAACAGTATTTATAATGAATTTTTATTGGTTTGTGATGAATTCTGTAGACAATAAATAAGAATATTTTTGTATTTTAACTACATTAATTAATATTTTCTTGGTTTTGATGATTTCTATAAAAAAAAACATATAAAAAAAATGGAGGGAGTAGTTTCTTGGGTGCACATATCAATGAAAAAAATGAATATATACTATTTTTGTCTCAAGAAAATAATTTATTATTTTTAAGACAGAGAGAAGAGGGTAAAATTTTTTTAATTTGTTAACGGGAACAAATAACTAAGAACGTAGTATGGGCAGGCAGCAGCTGAGCAGAAAAAAGATTTCTTTTTTTTTTTTTTTTAAAGAAAACGGTGATGATGTCATGCAAAAGGGAGCACAGAGATAGAGGCATGCAGTGAGGAAGCCACGCAGTCACGCACTAACTGGAACTGGGAAGAAGGAGAAGCAGAAGAAGCAGACAGCAAAATGTGAGGGGAAAAAAGGGCAAAACCCAAAAAGAAAATAGGATACAGAGACAGATCCCACGTGAAAGATGGAAGCTTGGAAATGGCTTTTCTATTTCATTACATCAACTGAAAAAAAAAAAGCTCCCACCCAAACCCAACCCAACCAAACAACCTTTTGGTCGTTTTCCAGTAAAACTGCCTTGAGATTTCATGGCATCATCTGTAATGAGAGACAGCATTGAAGATGACAGTAAGAAAATGAACAATCTTTGGTAAAAGGTTAATCATTTGGGAAGAAGAATTGAAAAGGTTTCAAGATTATGAGTTCAACCCTTCTGAGTAGAAGTAGGCGTCATTTTGTAAAGGTAAAGAATAGCACTTTGCATTCGATTGCAAAAATAAAAGATTGTATATATTTATATCTATACTTGACAACGAATTTGCAATGATATGGTAACATCACAACTTCATCAGCCTCCTACGCAAAACAGCCGCTTTACACAAAATCTACATATGGGATTGTCCAGAGAGATCTAGCCTGGATAAACGTTACATAAAAGCCCTAAGCGGATCTCCCAGAAGAGAAACCAGTTGCAATTTCATCTACTCCTTGGGTTGAGATCACCACCTCCTTTACCTTTTGGCAAGAGAATGATGCAGACTTTCTTCCTGCCTGATATGCTAATGAGCACAATCCACAAGATCTCCTACTTTCAGTTGCAGAACATGATAAACGATCAAACTCCATAAAGACGAAGGAATGTTTTGACAAAGGAATAACCCAATGCACCAGTAAATACATAGCTGTCCACTCTATCTAGTATTCCACCTACAAGGAGCACAGCATTGTCTCAATCAGAAATTAGACTGACCTCATTGCTTTTTCCGAAGAAAACAAGCAGCTTTTTGATTCTCAATCCTAGATATAATTATTAGCAAAAAATCAAAATAAAGAGACCAATTCTAGCTGCATCAGAAAGACCACCAAAACCCTGACAGAGTAACAGCAAAACCAGCATCCAACAATCAATACAAATGCCATGACATTAAACCTCAAAAAAGGAGTGCAAAATACAGTCAAAAGGACTGTGATCAAGCAAGGAAGATTACTACACTAAAAAAACAAGAAGAAAAACTGGTAGCTATCAGTTAAAAATACCAAATGAGAAACTTGATATGGTATATCCAGCACAGAGGACAACTAAGTCACTAATTTTCTTTTCTTAAAAACAAAAGGTCACCAATTTTCTGTTTCTCACTACTTCATCAAATTTCGATAAATTACTGCCAAAAATGATGTGACAATGATATCACTCTTTTCAGCTACTTAGTCTGAAGAGAAGAGGTAGAATTTCATTTCACTCTCCAACAAAACTAGCCAACTGACAGGCAGGATATAAATTAAAAAGAAAAGAAACCCAGAAATCTACAAGGCACAAATAAATCAGTAACTGAACACTATACCATGAACCCATGAACATTTTAAAAAATTAAATAAATTTCACATGTTTTCTTTCCAAGAAATAAAATAACAGGAACATAATATTGATTGCATAAAAATGAACTAATGTTGATATCATAAAACCCATATGCACAAAAAGCAAAAAGACATTACCATGCCCAGGTATGAGCGTTCCAGAATCCTTCACACCTGCATCACGCTTAATTACGGACTCAATGAGGTCACCAAAAAGGGATCCCACAAAGTTCAGGAATCCGAATGCTACAGCACTGAAATATTCAAAGAAATTCAGTTTTTATCAGAGTTGAGCTCTTTGGTCAAATTTCATGATAAGCAAGGCACAGCTGCATCCAATGAAACCATACTACAGTTTATTTGGAGGCAATACTGATCTAAAACATTGTTATTTGCCCCTACCACGTTTTATCATCTAACACGATCAAAATGAAATTAGAAAATTACTAACATTTACTATTACTCCAGAACCTTTTTGTTTAATTCCTGTTGAAAGGTTGCAGCATTGGGCAATTAATGAAAGGATCTCCTAAAGATGCTCTAATATAGGATCAAGCTCCATATGAAACAAGTAAATGCTCCCCAAAGACATTTAAGGATATCAAAGTTCCTCCAATAAATACATCTCATTTATAAGAGAATAGATGATAACCACATCCACAGTCACCTTTTTTAATGCAGCAATCAGCATTTACAACCTCTAAAAGTAAAGTATAAATTGGAAAAAAAAAGATAAACGAAGAACAACAAAAACCAAAAAAAAGATAAAAGAAAGCCAAGATTTTCACCTAAGAGATAAAGAAACAACAATCTCAAGAGCTAAAGTACAAAACCATTGTACCTAGGTAAGGATATAGGCCAAGATAGCATCTTTGACAGCAAAACAGTGGTTGCAACACAACCACCTAAGCCAGTAAGAGCTCCCTCCCATGTCTTTTTTGGGCTAATATTCGTGAGTGGAGTCCGCCCAAAAGCCTGCATTTGAATAGAGAGCTGTCACGAATTTGCATAATGACGGCTAAAACTTTCACTGACATCTGCAGATCATTTTTGCAAAGAGAGATAGAAGGGATCATATTTAGCTTTCATTTTTTGGCACTCATGCATAAAGGATTATATTTATGCAAGTACCATCTCTTTTCTTCCTTTTTTGGCACTCATGCATAAAGGATTATATTTAACTTTCATTGTTGCATACATCTCTGCCAAACACTAATTTACCCATCCCCATAAAGTAACTCCCTAGTCCCAATGGTTTTTGCTTTGACCAGATAATCAACATCAACCATTATTAAAACTCTTTAGATGAGAATCAAATGTAAGCCAGAGGGTAGGACAGAGAGCTCTCTCAGAGTAAACCTGGGATTGATCACATGGGGGGAGGGAATTTACCCATGTATATTTATAAATGTGGGGTAGGTAAAAGATAAACACTTCCTTAACAAAAATCTCTCACACTGTGTAACAATAAAATGAGAAAAAAAAAACCTCAGAACAAAACCATTATCCATCATTACTACAAGGTCACCAGAGTGAGTAACCAAACAATAGAAGGAAGGGGGTGAGAAATGATAAGTAAATCATTAAGTTGTCACCAAGATCAAAGCTTACCTTTCCACCAGCAAAAGCACATGTGTCAGCAGCTATAATGCTACTTATCGAAACCAAGGTAGCCACAAGACCCACTGTCCACTGCGCTGGACCTCCGAGTAACCATGGCCATGAAGTCGCCAACTCTGGTAAGAGAAACCAGTTGCTCAATAACCACAATGAAAGCACATCCAAAACAACTAGATCAAGCATACAGAGGTTTCCACTGAGCATGCATTACAAATGAAGCATCCATTATAGTGCTAAGCAGAAAATACAATATTACTGAAATCCTAAGGTAGAGAGGCAGATTCTTAAGCAAGGAAGAACACTGGGTTGTACTCTGATGTCAATTCTTAACAGAAAACTAGAAACGTGGACAGTGGAATTAAATTATAGAACACTGCCCTCGCATTTGTGTTCACAGAAGCACAAGACAGTGAGGCAGGACTACGCCAGCAGACTCTTCGTGCAAAGATTTTATTTTCCTACGACAACTACCATCACAAGCCCAAAGGGTTCAACATAAAAATCCCATGTAACAAACAATTATTAGAATGTAGCCATCTTTTGCATGATAAAAGCCCCAACAACTCTTAACTAGAATATGCAGAAACTTGCAACTCACCCTTTCCTAATCTGCCAGGGAAGGGGGTTGGAATTGTAAAAAGAGGAAGGCAAGGTTTTAAATGACAAAAACCACTACTTAATCTCCATAAGATTATGCTTTACCATGTAGTGTTTTAAGTGAGGTGGCTACAGTGTGGTTTCAAAAGGCAAACTAAGAAGTTGAGGACTCCAAAAATTAATCAATCCACCCCAAACTTTTGGCCATTTTGTGAAGTTAGCTTCGAACCGACAGAATGTGCATGAGCCATTCTTTTGGTTATGGTTCCTTCTGTCTGTCCCTTATAGAATTACTCTTTTACCTAATAATCCCAGCGTGTTTATGTTACCAAGATGCAACTAGCAAATAACGTTTGCACACTTCTCGTATGATGCAACTTCCCAGGGATGGCTAGTATTTTCAATCACGTTTTGTCATAATTGAGGGTCCATTAGTTTCTAGTGAGTTCGAACATGGAGTTCAAAGAGCGAACAAAACCACAAGGACGATAAAACTGGGACAGGCTGAAGAGGAGAAGATGAGGAAGTTAATCTTTTAGAAGACGACTATAATCATAGACGCCAAGCATCTCAAACAGTAAAAACGTTCCGAGGGTCAATGTGGCCACAATTTTCAATCTATGACATAAAAGGAGCATCCAAACTGAAGCATAGATTTATGGCTTGTCCCACAAAAGTTCTTATATGTTATTTACAACAGATTATATCTACTTTCCATGTATGGGGGACTATTTCTGAATTAAAAAGAAACAAGGCACCAGTTCTTACTTGTATTGAGAGCAGGGACGGCTAAGCCACACCGCATCTTAACCCAGAAACAAGGAAGATAACCACAATAAAATAATCCAAACATGGCACTGCTGAATTGAGAAAAGCGAGGGCTTCTCCTCTGTAAAAGCAGAGCAGTTACGAGAACAAAAGCTGCAGATGTCACAGAGACATCAATTTGGCCAAAGTATCTGAGAGAAAGTCAAGAGACTTTATCAGAACGATTTCAAAGAGTTGAAAATGCAGACCAAAATTCTTCGACCAGATGTTGCAATTATCCAGAAATATAATCATTTCATAACTCAATTAGGCATGAAATACTCCTAAATGAAAGAGATTTTGCTCCGGCAGGAGATCGGAAAACATATGAAATGAATCTTAAATATTCCAGTGGTATACAAGCTAATAACAGAGATTTATTAAGGATGAAATGCATAATAATGAACTGTATTATATGTACAGAAGTTTCTCTTCTCTCTAAGACGTCAACTCCAAGCATATTTATTCAAAAGAACATGTAACGGGTACATGATTAAAACAAAGAGAAATGGCTCAAATTCCAGGCAGATTCATAACATCTTTTATATTCACATCTCTCAAAGAGGCGACATAGTCAAAGAATCTTACAATGTCGCTAAAGGCATCAGCGCACAGAAAACCGAGCAAACTCGAGACACATATCGAGGAGGTGGGGTCATGCCATCAGCAATTCCCTTACTCCGGACAAGTTCAAAATACTCTCTTGCACCAACAAACACAACAGCAGCAAGAGCCACAGTGAACACCCATCCTCCAGCCAACACCACTCCTCCAGCAGATATTCCTATGCCAAGTCCAAAGACAATCCTTTTCTTCAATTGACTTGCTTTACTTTGATGAGCTGCTACGGAATCCTCATTCACTGGTAGATCATGGCTTTTGTTAGCTTCCTACAATATGCAAATCTGAGTGACTCCATTTTAATAATCTTTAGAGCCTACTCAATTCATGGGCAATGTTTCAAATTGATGACATATGAATCTAAACAGTGCCAATCAAACTTGTTTACAATATCACAAATAACAATCAATAACATCCAAAAAAAAAAAAAAAAATTGCATTGGCCACGGAAAAGATGCACCATAAAGTTATTTCCTTCCTCCCAACACATGCATAATAACACTACGCCAGCCTCGGCTATTAATAAAGAGCAATTTGTCATTTTCATGGTTCACAATCACTGGTAAAACTTGCAAAACAATCATTTGTCTTTTGGATACATAATTAATATAAAATGTAAAAGATTAACCTACATTCTAGTCAAATTATGCCAGAAGGCAAAATTATTCGATTTTATAACCAAAGAGCAAAACTTTCAAGATCAAAATCTAGTCTTCGATTACAACAAAGGTAAACAAGTGAGGCTAGCAGCTTATAATACACTTACACAAAAGAATTTGCACAATTTAACTTCGATAAGATTTGCCAAAGCTTACATCTTTATTAAATTGGGCGTCGAAGTCGTCAATTCGTTCGGGTTCGGCTCTTGCCACAGCTGCAATAACCCGTCTAAACTTGGGAACCCCGCAATTGGATCCAAAAACCACCGGGCCATCGAAAGGAAGCCTTAATTTGGAATCCGTAAACTGGGTCGGCCGTCTTCTAATTAACGTCAAACTTCTCAAAGAAGAAGAATTCGATTTAGTAGAATGAAACTGAGTCTGATAATAGTGATGATGATGATGATGTGACCCACGTACAGGAGCAATAGATACCGGAATCACATTAAAACGATCGAAAATATCCACGTGGGAAGAATATGAAGTGGAACACGAAGCAGCCATTTTTGGGCTGAAAAGACTTCGTGAATTTATTTTATGGCAAAGTACGATAAAGGACTTGAATTGTCCCTCTGAAGTCTAAAGGAAAAATGTCGTTATTTTGGATTTGGATGTATACGTAGGAGGCTCCAGGGATGACTAGAATCCCGAGGTTTGGATGGGATAATGGTGGGAAATACTATGTTGCATCCCCGATGAATCTGGCCACATTTTTGGGTCTGAAATCCAAAACTAATTATGCTTTCGTTATTCGGTGAAAAATGAAAATAAACATTTTCATGGGACCAACTCCAGAAAAGGGTCAAAATACAATTAGTTCTCTAACCATGTACAAACAAAATTGATGAGTTTAGAGCATTCAATCCTCCCTCCGGTTAAGACATTTCAATTTGTTCTAAGTTTCATATGTATATATTTTTTATTGACAAAAAAATCTTAAAAATATATTTTCATACTCGTATTGTTCTCTTGATTGTTATAAAATATTTTTAAGGGTTTATTGTAATGAAAAATACGCACTAGGTTAAACTTAAAAAAAGTTAAAATATCTTATAATAAGTATCGGAAGGAGTACTTAAAAATATAATACAATAAACTCTAAAATACAGTATGTACCGTGTCAGCGGCATATTATCCACCTATACAAACTGCTCATTTTGCCAACTCCGTAGCTTCCGCTAGTGCAATATTGAGATACTGCTAAGTCGAGTAAAACAACACCAAGTTTCAAATACCTATTTGAAAAAGCAACTCAAGAGAAACTGAAAGAATTTAAACAAAGTGTGTGTTAAGGTGTATTATGTTGTTCCACATCACCACCGTGAAAAGAAACGACTCTGTATATAAGTGTCAAAGGCCACCCCACTCATTGCCAATTGGTTTTGAGATGAGAGCTCAAAGTACTTATATACTCTGACATGGTATCAGAGCGTACTGGGCCTGTTGTTGAGTTCTGGGCCAAAGGTTGCCTATGGTGATTTTATATTAACCCACTAGAGCGTTGACTCGTGGGTTTGCTATGGACCGATCCAGCGGTATAACTGGCTTTCTCCCACTTGAGTATTGACTTGTGGATTCTGTTCTTGTCCTGATCCAAGTCCATTGGGCAAAAAAAGTTCAAAGACGTATTGGGCTTGAAGGAGGGTATTAACGTGTGGGAAAGACTTAGTGCCAAAGACTAGCCCACTCATTGCTAATTGGTTTTGAGATGGGAGCCAAAGTACTTATATACTTTGACAGTGTGGGATGCAACAAGAAGCCCAAGTGTCAATTCCTAGGCTAAATGTTGAACAAGGCAGGCAACAGCCATGTTCACGCATTGGAACTAAAAGCGATTATAGAGGGAAAAGAAGAATACATGTTAGCAATTATCATACGAGCAGTGATGTGACATCCATAGTAATCAAGTCCAAGATGATCAAGGTGTTCGGGTTCCAAGTACTATCCAAGCTCAAGGAGTGACTCAAGATCCATTATCCAACATTGGAGGCCCAATGACTCAAGCTATAAGTAAAAGGATGAGGAGTGCACTTAATAATCTTATATCAAATGGTTTAGCCCAAGAGAATGTCAAGTCTGGAAGTTACAAGCCCAAGATTATTAATATGTTACAAGCCCCATTTGAGGAAGGAAATTTCGGCCCACAAACCAAGCAATGGAGGCCAGCCCTATCTCCTAATTTTTAGGAGTTGGAATCTCTATCTTTTAGGGATAAAATCATTTAAATCTTATCACGCTTGTGGAAGGATAAGATTTGGAAGATTCCCTATCTTTTAGAGATAAGATCATTTAAATCTTATCACATGGAAGGATAAGATTTGATATGATTCCCTTTTATCTAATTTAGAGTTTATTCAAAATAAGAAGTCTATTCCTTGGTGTTTACTCTCAACCGTTGGATGGAGATTAGATCAAGATTGGATGGCTATGATTACTCTACAAAGAAGATATTGATAGAGTTGACAACTCAGGAAGATTCTTTTCAAGATAAGGATAAGATTCTTTTGAGAGAATATCTCTTTGTATTTGGAGTGTTATTTTCATTAGACTAGTGTGTCTTAAGTCTATAAATGTATCTAGATACATTGTCTTAATGGATAAGACACAAGTTATCAATTAGAGGTTAAGTTGATTTCTAGTTCTTAAAGTAGGAATAGAGTTAGAGATCAAACTCTGAAGTGGGAGAATTTCGGCCCCCTCTACTATAAATAGGGGTGTTTGGCCAGCTTTTCATTTGTACCTTTGATGAATTATTTCAATATGAGACAAGAGGAAACTCTTTGTTCTTTTTTCTACTCTTTTCGAAGATTAGTGCATTGCACACAATCTTGTGTTTTGTTGATGCATGCGAGTAGAATAGGTGTTTTTCTACTTGTGGAGTTTTGTTAGTTGTTCATTGGAGCCTTTTCGCTAGCCGTTCTATCCATAAATCGAAGGGATAAGATTGTTAGAGAGGTGACCGATTGGGTTGCTAACCTTAAACACTTTCTACATCTTTTAAACTTTTCCATCCCTTTTTAGTGTAAATTTTTGTGGTTTGCATCTCTTCTTTTCTTTTAATTTTCGTGAGTTGTGGAGTCCATAATATTGGATTTGCAAGTTTTCAAGTTCTGGGAAATTCATAGCTTCCGCATCAAGGTAAATCTGTCACCTTTGCCTCAAGATTCGTATCAAGCAGTTTCGGCGAATCTAGTTCCAGCTAAGGTTTTTTTCAGCACATTTCCCATACCGTTCGCTTTATACAGAGAGACAAACCATGATCCAATTCAATAAGATTAACAGAAGCTGGAAACCAAATTAAAATTCACCAAACAGTTATGGACTCTGCAACACCGATTGAAATACTTTCAATCCACAAATAAACAAGGTAATAGACATGCAAGATATCATGAGTTTTCAAGATGAAACAAAATGTAAACAAATCTTTTAAGTGCATAAAATAAAAAAATAAAAAAAGCAGATCTCATCCAGAATCTACGACCTAAAATGAATCCCGGCCAATTTTTTTTTTTTTTATTCAATACATGTTCAATAAAACCGAGGCTTCTACTCAAATTATGTCCACGAGAAACACCACTATCAATCGAAACAAATACTCCGGAAGTAATTTCTCTAATACACAAAGATTTTGGCATCTAAAACAGATCAAACTACAGTCACGTATAAATCACTACCTATTCAGTGTCACAGAGGTGACGAGGCATAGGAAAACCCAAAAAAAAAAATAAAAAAAAATTCAAAGATTTAATGATTTATTATTCCACCCAACAATCAGTGTTTATAGTGACAAACCAAGGTCACTATCAGGATGATGAGACAGAAAGTCGGCAAGCCACTCGGAATCTCCGATGCTTCAGCAGCAGAAGCATTTCTCCCCTGCTTGAGTTCAAATTCGAGGCGCTGAAATGGCAGGCAGTATTCACAACAACCAAATCTTCATTATATTGAAGTAAGGCCGATACCAAAGTAAACACTAAACAGAGTGCTCAACATGTTGGCAAAATTTTTGCTACATTAGCCTTGGTTAACTAAAACGCAATTGCCTTTTTTATTTATGTAACAGATTCCGGTGACTAAAGCTGGGGGAGTGACTGTAATGGCAGATTTGGAGAGAATCAAAGAAGCAAGCTGACATGATGGCACGTTGCAAGGAATTTTATCTTCTGTTTTAGCAAGCTGAAATCAGCTCTCTGCATTTCTTTGGAGCTTCAGGGATGATGTCAAGACTAGAAAATTAAGCTGCCAACTCCATAAATGATAGAGTTTGATCGTCTTAGGTTCAGATCCTACCGCTTAGGATACCTTCTAATGGTAAATGTAAATTATTGTTATCAGGTAAACACCAAGACATTATATCATGGAATCTTATACAGAAGGGCCCAGGATCATGAGAAAAATCATCGCCATAACCACTTGGCCCTATCTGGAGCTTTCCGATGGAAAACCCATTGAACTCGTTGGTGAGGTAATTATAAGAAAAGACGCGCCTGGAACGGGGGAGTTCATTTTCGCGAACAGAATTCATCAATAGCATCTCCCCAGTAGGGAGCTTTCCGACTACAATGATATTGCTTCCTGGTTCTCTAGTGAGTTCTTCAGGCAATTTTACACTGTGTTTGCTCCATTTGTTGCCCTCCTTGTCTTCTAATATAAACAACACAAAACGTTCAGGAATCCGATGATCAACAACCCGATGAGGACGCCATACAACCAATCGTCCCATGGACTCTGCGAGACGCCACACCACACCCATGCGACAATCATTGCACACAAGATCCTCAAGGAGTTTAATCACCAGAAACTTCTCCTTGTTGAGATCAAATGAAATCAAATGTCTGTGCTGAAGCCAATATAGGACCCCGTCACCTGAAAATGTTATTCCTTGAATTAGAAAAACACTGACCAGGGGCAAATCGGCAATACCTGATTCATTTTTGTCCAAGTTCCTCCACGAATTAGATAACCTAGTGGAGCTGGATCCCAAAGTCATTATCTCAGCATTTGGCCTCACCGTGCGAGGATGATTAAAAACATTGTTTGTGATCCATCTCAATCTCAATAATTTGTAAACCTTGCTACCAGGATCATACCCAAGGTGACATGTTGACAGGGTTAACGGATTCATCGGTGGAGGGGCGGGCAAGCTCATCTTCTGTCCGGTACAAATGTTGTGCAGGGTCCACCGCTGAGCCTGAGGATTACCTTCGCAGACACATGTAAGACCGTTCACCACATTGGTTATTTGGTCGAAGCGACTACCAATTTCGAGTTGGTACAGGCAACTGAATTCTTCCTTGGGGTTGTGAAGCCAAAGAGTTGAGTAAAAGAAACGGATTCGCATGTCCTTTCTGTCATTTCCTGTTTCGGAATCGATTTCTTCTGGAAAATACAGAACCAGCCCCGGTTGTCGCCTTTGGTAAGCCTCCAGAAAGGTAGGACTTGCGAGTATGGATCGCCAAGACTTGCACACACATTTACACCTTCCCACTTGCTTGCCTGAAGAAAGTCGTTTTAGAATCTCCAACACCAACTCATCTGGCAGCAGCAACATCATCGTTTCTTCCTTGAAAATCAGCGGTGATTTTGCTCTTCTTTTCTTCAAAGTATCTCCTTCCGCAAAGTTACATTTGTTTGAATCTTTTCATTATGATGAATTCTTCTAAAATCTTTGTCATATAACCTAGTATTTTGCTGTCAGCTTTTCGTGTTTATAGTCTGCATTGCTGCATCTATTTTAACATTACGATAGCATCTATGAATGAAGTTCTTAGCTAATCAGTCCATCATCATTGGAACTATAGAACCAAGTCGTATTTTCCAATAATCCTTCTCGACCTCTCTCAGTCCATCACCATTTTAGAAAGTTACACTATTTGTTTTTTATTTTATTTTTTTATATACTGCCCGCGACCCGCATCCATTATAGACAACAATGACTAGGCGGACTGGGGTATTGGAAACAAAAATCATTGACATTGTCATAAAAATCAGATACCAGCAGAAAGGTTAAAAGCACAAACCAAATAAATCAAGATCGATAACCATTTCTGAAGCTACACCTTACTATTCAAAGAAACATCATACGAGAAGTTACACAATTAAACATCTACCTTAGACATATTATAAACTCCTTTTGTCCCAAAATGATTTGTCCTGTTTGGATTTTCAGTTGTAGAAAGACAATCAAGGAGTAGTACACAAAATATCTTTCTCTAGAAACTCAAAATGAGACCCTGCAGATTGATGATACGATGTAGACTAATCAAACAGAAGCGAAGGTCTCAACATGCTCGAACGTTTCCCTCCATTCATATATGCGTACCTTGCCAAAATTCTCGGTAACTACATCGGCGACCTCTTTCACAGTCATGGGGTGCGTATTACAGGAAATGATTTTACCTGGAACTGATATCAACCACTGAGATTGTTTCTGTTCCTCATCCACAAGGAAACTAAGAAAAGAGAAGCTACAATGCCAATCATGCGGAAAACAAGGATGAAACGCCTTAACTAACATTGATGGATACAAACCAGTAAGAGCAGAGAAGCGGACACCATGCATCAAAGTCCATCTTGAATACTCCAACTCGAAATTGTAGACTTCAAACCGCAATGGACGAAGATCCATTAGCACGATAAGACATAAGTTCTCCCCAGAGACCCCGAAAAACAGAACATCACGGCACATGAAATCGTCTTCTCGTTCTTCAAAGCTACGACCTTGTGGAAATGAGGGGATAATACACTCCCCATCATTAGTTTCAAAATCAAAGTAATAAACGTCCCAGCAGGAACCAACCCAAAACATGCCCCCATTCCAAAAGACACCCTTTTCAAACCAAATTACACTATATCCTTCACGTTCTTGATCAAGGTACCACTTACTGTTGGTCCAAAGCCCTGTTTCGGAAGTGTAGCTAGCGAATCGAATCCGCTCATTACCATCATCAAAAACGTATACTAATTCATAGTCATCGGATTGCAAAGGATCAAAAGCAATATTCAGAGCATAAAAATGGGTAGGATCAGGGGAAGAGAGCGGCGAAAAAGGGTCATCAGTTTCAGAGTCGGTGTCAGTAGAATCTAAGGAATCATCAACAAAGTAGTCGGGAATAAGCCTCCGGCGACGAGTAGTCGGGTTATAGACAACAAAATTTAAGGATTCACCAGCATTGATGTCTAAAGCAAGTACAACTAACCCATTACATGAATGAAATCCCTGAATTCGATGAACACCAAAAGACTTTCCCAAGTTGGAAACAATGTTATTCATAGAATTTACATACCCTTCGCCCACGGAAACGAAATTAAGCTCCGGCTCACCTCTTCTTTGACCCGGTCGAACCAAAAAGTAAGCGCCGGTATGCCTCCGCAGACACCGCCGGAAATTGGGGTCGGAAATGATTGAGAGCCAGGTTTTAGAGACGGATCGGAAACGGATTAGGGATTCCGCCGGCAAATGAACAAGGATTCGCGTCAGCAGATCTTCGTTCTCCGCTATTACATTTGCTGATACTGTTGATGATGGATCGGGGTTGTCGTCGTCGTCGCCGTCGCCGTCGAGGCGTGGGGCTTTCAATTTCGGATTCGAAAGTTCGTCTGAATTGGATTCCGATGGAAGGATGAATCCTTCTTCACCTGGAAGCATTTTGAGGAAGCCAAGATGAGCTGTTGAACCTTCGAGGAGAAATAGAAAAGCACTTTCGTTGCCAAATTTCAAGTTATTATTATTATTATATTTAGAATCCCAGTAACTTAAAATTGTTTTTCAATTTTGATTTTCAATTTGTATTAAAAATAAAAATTCAAACTTGATAATAATTTAAGAGTATTATCACAATCTCACTCAAAGTTAATTCAATTCCTTTTTTAATTAAATTCTACAATCTCACCTCATTTCCACTATGTCTGTCTTATAAATAAATATCAATGAAACTGAGGCATATTTTACATGAAGACTTTGAGCATAAGGAGTGATTTAGCTCCAATCCAACTACTCTTAATTCCATAAAAGAAGAAGAAAGAGATAAGAAAGCTGGCAAATAGTGAGCTTTGTTTGTTTCCTTTTCTTGATGGCGTTTTCAAATTAAATTATTATTAACTGTCTTATCTTAAAATATCTTTTTACATTTTTAATACAATTTTTTACATTGCCAATATAAAAAATACCTAAAAACACATACTAAAAAAACGAAACAAACATACCCAGCTTTACTGGAAAATTTTAGTACCAGCATCCCTTACTATAGAATACAATATCGTTTTGTGTATGAGTTTGAGCATTATGATATTGCAAAAAAGCGTATAAAGGTGATTTTGGAGTATCGGTTGGAGATAGTCTTAATATTTCTTAATGTATAACTAAGTAGACAAAATTTTATGTGTAATTATATTGTAATGTGTTGTGTGGTGACTTGTTTAATTTTATAGCAATCTTAAATCGAATTGGTTATGTATTCTTGACTTGAAATTTGAGTTGAGACATTTTTAATAATTAAAAATAAAATAAAAGTAAGTGGAAAGGAAATAATTAAAGAAAGAGTAATATTTTTGTAATAATGTGTATCATTTGTATTCACTCTTCAATGCAAATCTAAATACATAGAGGGCGTATTATTATTGTTTTAAAAAAATAACTGTACATTCTCATCAATTATGGCAAACTACAAGGAGATTTGTGCAGTTATCATAAGCCTGGAGGAGTTATGTGTCAATCTCCTCAAAGATTAACCCCAAATCCAAGGAGAGAAGAGGCGCGAGAGGCGGTAGTTGTAGTCAGAAACTTCGTTTGTTTTGCAGGGAAAAAATGGCTAGAACTAGAAGGAAGCAGGTTTCTGATTCATCCGCCCAAGAAAATGAGTCGCCGGACGGGAAATCAAGCTCGGAAGGGGCTGAAATTCCAGAAAGCAAAAGGGTCCCGAAGAATAATATTAACGAATACGAGAGGCAGAGGATGAAGAGGATTGAAGAAAACCGAGCAAGAATGGAGGCGTTGGGGATGAAGAAAATGGCAGATTCCTTTGTGGGTTCGATTCCTAAACCATCAAAGACAACGATTGAGAGCAAAGGTAAAAGAAAATTGGGTGATGATGATGAGGAGTATACTCCTTCTGATGGTGAGAAGGCATTGGACTCTTCAAGTGAGGATGATGAGGCCAAGAATAACGAAGACGACGAAGACTATTCTTGTTCTACTGCCAAGAGGAAGGTAATTTCGTGCTTGCGAAATTTGTTTCCCAAATCGGTATTTCGATTCGGTGATTTTATCTTTGCTGTTTTGTTGTGTGAAATTGCTTGTTGATGGGAAAGAGTCAGATTTTGTTGAACTATTGAGGACTGGCATTTCAGTTGAATAGTTTTGCTGCTGTCCATTTACTTTTGAACTGAGATGATACGTTGGTTGTGGGCTACTCCAAATGAAGGGAATTATTCATTAGCAGACAGTTATATGGATTCTGTATCCGGTTTCTTTGAATGTGTTTTCTGCCAAATATATTGATTTTCAACAATGTTGGGGTTGATCATTCTGATTAGACCATTGTTCTACCCGTTCATAAATCGAAAATATATTTATGTAGTCTCTGGGAGATTTCCTTCAGTGGTTGGAAGTTAAGTTAGCTAATGATTTTGGGGTTTGAAGTTGATTGCACTTACAGTTTCTAGAGGAATTGATTATTTGTGTGCCCTGGTCTTTCTGTTGGAATTTCTGGGGTGAAACCGTAGTACTATTTTTATACAGTTTAGGCTTATCAGGAAATCCAAGAGTTTATTCATTTGGTTTAAATGTTTAGATTTGATCTGTCCTTGGGATGGGAAGAATTTCTCAGTTAAAACTGATGCTTTTATGCAAAGTGGTGTGTGTGTTCAAATTATATCATACTAATTACTGTGATCCAGGATCGCTAAACTCTCTGTAAACCTGAAACTGCTATCCATTCATTTTAGTACTGTCGCTTTTATATTTTGTTTTGAAATTCAAATTTGTTGACCATATTAACAGCTTCGTTTCCTTGACCTCTTGTTCTAGACAAAGAAAAGAAATAGAACGCCCAAGAAGAAGGCTTCCCCCGGGAAGCATTTTGATGAATCTGATTTTGTTGACGATGATGAAGCTCTGTTGCATGTAAGTTTGTAATTAATTCTTGTGATAAATTTTGATTCGAATTATTTTGTAGTGAAATTTAACAGTCAAGCAGTTTGCATATTGTGTTCCTCAATAATGAATGATTCTTTTGTTCTTCCATTGATTGGCCAGGCGATTGCTCTTTCACTCCAAGATTCCACAGGACTTGCCGATTCGAACTCTCTGGAGTCTCAGAGCTCCACACCTCCTGCGGTAAACAGTATGAGCAATGAAAAAAAGCATAGTTCCCACGATCAGGGAAATACAGTAAAACGAAAGATAAAAAAATCGGTACGGCAAAGCTAGAATTGGTCTTCTATCTTTGTTTTGTGTGATGTGTGTTCTTAGCTCTTACTTCAGAATTGTTCTTTTATTCGCTTGGCGCCTGCAGATGAACAGTAGAGTGCAGATGACAGAAGATGATTTGATTCTGTATTTCTTTCGATTCGATGGTAATCTCTTTTTTTCTTTTTGAAAGTTTTAGTCCAATAAGATTCGCTTGGGTATGTATATAACGTCAAGTTAATTTTCTAAGCATCAGTTATATGTTATTTAGCACATCGTATGGTAACATGAAAAAGAATCTTTGCATATCTCATTATTTTCCTCTGGTGAAAACAGAAAAAAAATCTATCTGGAGTTGGAGATTTTGTTTATCTCTCTTAACTAGGATTCTGTACTTATTATGTATGTATTTTCTTGATAGTGTCTGACTGCGACATTATTCTTGCAGAAGTAGGAAGAGGGGGTATAACAGTCAGAGATCTAAGACGAATGGCCACTACACATGATTTTACATGGTCTGATCAGGAGATGGAGGATATGATCAAGTACTTCGACTCTAATGGAGATGGACAGGTACTGCTTTTCTTCTATTTCATCATTTTTCTTATGCTGGGACTTTGGAAAAACACAATATCTTCAGCGACCCCCGATTGATATATGTAAAATGCCACCTTTTCATGTGGAACATCTAAGTTTTAACTATCCTTTTCTTCCTTTCTTTTTTTATTTTTTTTTTTATTTTTTCGCTTGATTGTGCTGTTAGTCATGAGATTATCAAGCCAGTAGCCCAAATGAAACTGGAGGAAGCTTTCGGTTCACTTTGCATGATGTCTACACTCAAATCTTCCTTTGACTATTATTACTGAATTTTTTTGCAGGTTAGCCTTGATGACTTTCGTGAGATTGCTGGTCGTTGTGGCATGATGCAGGGTTCTTAAGTGATCCAGTTTGGCCTGAATGGCATTAGATTATGTTGAAACAAAATGTTTACTCTAGTTAGACGAAGCTACCTCTTTGGCACCAAAGCATTTGTAAATTATTTACCCATTGTCAGGATGAGGTTGAACTGGAATGTTGGAAACCACTCATCTTTTGTTTAAGTAGCCTCAAGTGTGCTTCTTTTTTCCCCTATTGTTCTTTTAGTTTCTTACATGAAGCAAGCCATAGTGTATGAAGATGATGTGAAATTAAAAATCGAAAAAGCTGCTAACAGAGTTTTTGCTGGCTGGGCGCACTACATAGCTACTTAACCAAAAGCCAACTGCAGGCTAGCATCATGAAAACTAATCCACACAAGACCAAATGTGAAATACAGGATTCCTAAAAGATAATAAATCAAATGAAGCTGCAAATCCAATATAAAAATGGTGGATGCTCTCTTAAGTTACCAAAATAACATGTTAAAACTAGTCACACAACAAAGGCTCTGGACCCTAAACAATGCAATTACAAAACCCAGCAAAGCCATTTTGATCGTTTTTCAAGTTCCTCACTAGGATGGTTACACACAATAAGACTCCTCAGTTATGCGGTTGTCCTTAACAATCTAAATTGCTATATAATGCCGAAGTAACCAACAATGTTGCAGGATGCAAACTAGCTTCCATCATTTCTTCAGAAGATAACCCAACAGCAGGCCAATCAGACCGACAATAATGACATACATAAAGGGAATACCACCCGTTTTGGTGCTTTCACGCCTTAGGAGATCCTGCAGGCAACAAAGTAAATAGAGAGTGAGGTGGTGAAACAATCAACATGGGCAACTCATCAGTAATTCAAAATGGCAAATGAAATGAGTGATTCTTCGAACTTCGACTAAGAAACATTTCAACTGCTCAAACTTAAATCAAAACAATACGATCATTAACATCATGCATCCATCATAAAATAAAATATAAAAAAAAATGCAACAATGGCATGAAATCTGTGGTGATCCAACAAAGCTCGTATTCTGAACCTCTTAATTCTACGTCACTCTTATTCTATTTGCAATATAACTTATCTATGTCTGAAAGCTGTAATTGACTTTACTTCTGATGCTCCCGCAAATTTAAGCGAAGCAGATAATAAAGATGAAGGCTGTGATCTATCATATTTATCATTTATATTTATCAGTGAAACAATTACAGTACACAACTCAGATACCCTTAAGTGCATACTTAGAACATATTCACAGTAAAAATGTACAAGATAATATGGTGCCAACAAAAACGAAAGAGGAGATTCCTCAGGTGAAACCATACCACTTCTTGCTGAAGTTTACTCCTCTGCTGCAGAGCAAGATTTTTCTCCTCAGTCAACTTAGCAATGAGAGCCTTAACCTGAAACAGAAAAAAAGTTGACACCCACAGTCAAAATCCGCACCTTATGTGAAAAAGCAATCAACTATATGCCAGCAGCTCGGTAAATGCAACAGGACTAACATATTTATAAATTGCAACCACTATGACTTCTTTCACTCCAATATAACCACATAAAGGGACACAGGATTCGATCAGAGGAGCAAGAACGCTGCTTACCAAACCAAGATTTCACTAGGTTAAGTAGCACAGCAAACAAGGACAAAAGACTTCGTTAAGTTAACATCCTATCAATCCAAAAGTAGGTCATGGTTGTTGCTTGATGCAATTAACATCAGCATCTTCCAATGCTATATGGGTCCTAAGCCAGTTCTCTTATACCGATAATCGATACATACATTTCATATTATAAGAAATACCTCAAGCAAAAATGAAAAGCACCTCCATATAAAGAAACACGTTTCACGATTCATCAAGTTACTGATAATCAAAAATCCTATTATCACCTGATAACGTCTACACGAGACCAGACGATGAGCCAAGTCAATAAAGAAATTTGAGGAGCATCGGTTTAGCCGAAATATCTACTCACAACATTTTCCAAAAGCCATATACCTAACTAGCATTGTAACCCAAAACCAATTCTAAATATGCGTTCTTCCCTTACCCTCCCTCTCACGCATGGCAAAATATATGGTCCTTTCATGTCAAATAAAAGAAGTAAACAACCTATAGCCATACACGCCCCATTGCAAAAAATATGAGATAAAATAGTTTGCCTCAATAATTGACTTATTGTTACTAATGTATCAATGCTACTGGCATCCCAGGATACAATTAGAATCTCTAAGCCTATAAGAACATGATCCTGACTTTGATCGCACAAATGAAGAAACTAAACGCTATTCGGAACAGTGGAATAAGGGATCAAATTGACAACTGAACACCAACCTATTTTAGAAACTAATAATGCCCATAACATAAATTATTTCCTCTTTCCAAAACAAAAGACTTAATCAGCCTTATAGTGGGATAAAAGCTTAGTTGTTTCATAAATCTCAATAATCTAATTTTTCTTCTTTCAAGTTATCATGTCAAAATTAATAAAAGATTTCTTCTGAAGAAACAATAGTACCCAAATGACGCAAAGGAGAAACTGAAAAAGATACAACATTATCATTCCAGGGAAAATAAACTGATTGCCAGTCAATATGCAACAAATTTGCAGGCAGTTGAACATTGACATCACGAACATTCTCACTATTGTAAATAGCCCAAGCAAAAAAAATTTGCAAAATTTTAAATTTGATTAACTGCTAAATACAGATCAACCAAATGACTTCACATTAAATCGGTAATGCCATTGAAGGGGAAGGTATGGCAGAACCAATCACCACAATGCACAAAGTTGGACAAAAAACATATTATCATAGTCGAGACAAAGAAATAGAGACTTCAGATACACGGAAATACCGAGGAATCAGAGGACAAAACTTATCAAATAAAAAGAGGAATATTTTGCAACCAAGAGAGCTTCCAGGCAATAGAAATGAAAATATTATAAACAGAAAAAATGGATAAGAATGAATTACCTCTGAGGAATCCTGGAGCTCAACACCTGATCTTCTAGCTGGTGAGTCAACCTGTGATCTGGGAACCTGAGGCTCAGAATAACTTCTTGTACTTGTACCCTGATAAAATGTACAGCAAAAAGAAAATGATATTTAGGTGGACAAACACACATAGACAAACAAAAAGGCCAATTTATTAAAATGTGAAATTGCAGAACTTACTGTATTCAATTCAGATGTACTAATGGTTCCATTGTCCGAAAGTGAAGCCCTTGGAGACGAACCTTCCTCTGATCCCTCACGCACGGGTGATGGCGGTTGAGGAGGTGGAACATAAATCACTCTCAACTTGCTCTCCTCAACATTATGCCCTTCCTCCTTGTTAAACTACAATCAGAAATTCAAATAAATCGTGTTAGTTTTAGTTCTACTTCCATAAAAGATAAAAACTCCACATTTGACACATTATGACCAAATATTACCATGTTTGCCGTAATATCTTTGGCAGTAGCTCCTGGACTGGCAATTACACTTTGAACAAGAAACTTGTCCTTGCATTGCATGTCTGCTGGACTCTCCTTTTGTGCTTGCATTGTAACTGAGACATACATGAGAACAAATAAGGCATCATTCCAGTAAATAAGATACAATGTAAGCAACCACCTACGATAAATGTACAGTAGACCACATACAACAGTGAAGGTACTCTAAATGCACTATATACTTGTTTCCCAATGTGTCAATTTGATACTCTACTTATCTACTAAGCCACTGCAATCCAAATATACTAGATAAAATGCGAAGCAAATAAACAATCTTTTTCTTATTCAGACAGATTCAGACTGAGGAGGACTTGATAAAAAAAAAAAAAAAAAACTAACAAACTAATAGTGTCTATCCACCAATCCATTCTTCAAACTATCTGATGCATTTCATACACAAAATTACCCACAAGTACAATCATAAACTCAACATTGACAGATGCAGACCTGTAACATCGCAAGTAGAATGAGGCAAAACGATTCCGGTGTTAGGCCTTACACAGTACTTCTTTGGATTGGTCGTCTTCACCTGTACAAAACAAGTTCCAAATTTCATTAGTTAAAAAAAAGGGGGGGAAATGAATAAACAATTTTTGAAATAGGGCGAAATTCAGTGAAAAAACAGAGGTTACAGGTAACTGACCTTGAAGGCAACATAATTATCGCTTCTATTCGTCAATTGCATGGAGCAATTGATCTGCTTCCTCAATTCAACTAAAACCCCCAACCGGAAAAACGGAGAAAACAAAGACAGGAAACAAAAACGCAAGTGAGAATAAAAAAAAAAAAAAAAAAAACCCTCAGATCTGAAAATCAAAGAGTGATTCCAACTAAACAGGGAAAAAAATCGAATCAGAAAGACAGTGAAGCAAGAGAAACTCACATTGAAATTGAAGTTCCTGAGGCTCGATGTGAAGCAAATCCTCGTTACTCATCTCGAACGCGATCGTTCTCTTCGCAATCACTACCGCTCTATATAAAAGAAAACCGAGAAGAAGTCGGCGAAGTATTTAATATGCTTTCCGGTGACAGATAAAAGAGCGGTTCTCCGGCGACGTCCGGGAACTGAAAGAAATGGTTCACGGAGAAAAAGAGGGAGAGAGAGAGAGAGAGAGAGAGAGAGAGAGGAGATGTATAGATGTTGGGAAGAAGCGTAGAGAAGAAAACGTTGGGAGCGTGGTCGTCAGATGCTTTGCTTATAAAATAAAAACTGCTGTCATCACTACGGTTTCAAACCAGAAGCGTTTTTTCGCAACAATTTGGGAAAGTTGTTGACTGGTGGGTGGACCCCACGACTAACGACGTCGTTTATTGCTCCTTTTTTTTTTCTTTTCCCCTCAAATAATATACGTATTCATTGTAAGAGGTAGTAGTAAATTCAAAAATTACAACTCATGGATGATTCATATCCAATAAATTCCTTCCGTCCTGAAATTAGTGTCCACGTTTGGTTCAATTTTATATTAAAATCAAAAATCCAAATTAGACAATAGTTTTGAGACGGATAAAATAACTGTCAATGTCATGACATGTTCATGCCGCATTTTAACTTTTAACAATATGTTAACAAACATCTAATAAGTATAGAAATTGTTAGTACTTCCTCTGTCCCATAATTATTGTCCAGTTTAGATTTTCATTTTTAGTTCAAATTGTACTAAAAGTAAAATTTCAAACTGGATAATAATTTTGGGACAGAGGGAGTATATTCTAATCGAGTTTCAAGACCCGCGAAAAAAATCAATGAGTGATGTAAATCTCAAAAACCTCAGTAGTTTACTAAACCAACTTCTTTTTCACAAAAAAAAAAACTAAACCAACTTAATTCTCAAAAATATTTAAACGGCTAAATTAGCACATAACGGGATTTTTGTAATTTGGTTGAATAACAGATGTCTTGAAACTCGGCTGGTAATCACGTGATTTTATTAGGCAATTGAATGAATTCTGGTGGTAGTAGTACTTTCACGAACTGTAAACATCATTAATGATTCATTCATTCATTCAAATATCATTAAAGCATTACTGACTGTCAAATCTAACATTTTCGCCGTTGACTGTCTCCCGGTGACGACTCGTTGAGGATTTGATAGTTATTTTTTGTTTTGTTTATCGTCTACATTAGTTTTTTTTTTTAAAAAAAAATAAAATTGCATATAAATCACGTAGTATGGACTACATGTTTTAGCAATCGAATTTTTTATGTATCTTTTTCGACTTGAGGCAAAGCTGCTTTTTGCCCTTAAATTCGTAAACCATTTCTAACACCAATCATTGAGATGCAACTATTCATTTCCGAAATGGTCCATTTTTTTATATCTAAAAATGGATGTCAAGAATCGGGAGTACAACTATGCAGAGTGCAGAGAGAAGAAAAACAAGGATCGCCATAGCTTTACAGCAAAGGAAACATCACTTACACAGCACTATAATCTACAGCGACCTTCCCTTTTAATTCAAGTCTTTTTCACGGCAGAAGAAGATTAATTCAAAATGTTTACTAAGATGTTCAATGCACATTAACCTCCAAACCAGAGGGCTCAATAGACATCGGTGTATTGGTGGAATGAGAAGAAATAAGTGTACAATCATTGATCATCTGAACAAAAAGAAAAAGTATACCCATCATTTCAATGTAAAAAGGAAGACTAAAATGAGGAAGAAAGGTACTGCTAAAGACAGAATTATAGAATGATGAAGGGTTCCACCATATGGTACAGTGAACTTCCTTTCTTCTAATTACCACCAGCTTTATAGTATGACAGCAAGCAATCATCTCAACAAATTTGTCATTTTAGATCAAAGTTTTGCTGATGATGCAGAGCTTTACAGTGTTTTGGCCCACAACGTACTTTAAGAATTAGTCACTAAAGCATTGCCTGTGATTGTGTTGGCAAATACTCCTTCGCCTACTTTAGTAATTCAACAAAAGGAACTATTAAAATGGAACGGAATGAGTAATAGTTTAGCACTACTTTAGAGTGCAAGTGTGAAATCTAGATCAGTCAAGAACCTTTAGATGCAAAACAAAAGAAGAAAAGGATGTACAAAATCTGTCATTTCGACAACAACTCATTGTGGTTGTGGCAAAAATCTGAAATGCCAATTTTGCTACAGGATCTTTGGAAAAGTACATCTGCTCTCTTTTCAATTTCCATTCTTAAGGCAATAAAAGTAGTTCAATAGATACTTTGACCAAAGATGATCATGAACATTTGTAGTATATTAAACCCAGAGATCCATACATTGCATTCACTACTCTATTTATCGTGTACATGCTATACAAGTGAATTCTGTATCAAGTATCTGCAATTATTTGTTCACTTACGATTACCTCATGCATCCAGAAAAACAGCTTCTCCGAACAAACTAAGTATCATCAACATAAACAGCTGTCTCCTGTTTACTACCACGAGCAGTTAAACCAGCATACCAAGCCACCCTCATCAGTTGCATGCCAAGAACAAGCACCCACCAGCAAACCAACCCCCTAATAGTGTGCAATATCCACGATGGCGCAGTCAGCTCAGCTGCAAGTTTCAAGCCCCTCATCAACTGTAACAAACGGTAAGATTCATAGACAACTGGTGTCACCAACCATACAGGTGATTGCCAGTGCCATATCAGCATTTCTGTAACTATTTGAACTGACAGGAGGAGGAGATAAGGGCCTAAGAGGACCAAAAACGAAATTGAAGGCAGGATTGGCTGAAGAAAACCCTTTTGAGAACCAAACATCACCAAAAGAGGAATCATAACTCCCATTACATTTGCAACCATGTTCCAAAACTGATAACTAAATGGAGGCTTGCTGCTGAAAGCATGGTTTAAGTTTCTTGGGCGAGCACAAGTATCAGCTAGGAGGAGGAAAAGAAATGCACCAAGATTAAATATGCAATCAAGCCCAGTCAAAGAAAGAAGGCTGCCTATGTTTGGGCCAAGGAAAACTGATGAAACTGGTAGCCACAATGTGGGTACCATGCCTGTGACCAAGAGAATAGCAGGACCTAGAAGCCACACAGTCCATTTAACATATTCAAACAGCACAACTGGCTGAGGGTTTGCATCTGAGACCTCTTTTGCGTTTGCTAATGCAACTTCACCTGTTTGATTCGAATTCAAGGTTTCGAATAAATTGTCAGTCTTGTGCAAGAAATTACTCCCAGCATCATTGGTAAGAGCATATGTAACAGGCGCAGGTTCCCATGGTGATGTACTTGAACAGCAAACAGCGAGACGATTACTTGACTTGCTCAGAACTTGCTTCTGGAGTTTAAACTGGTTATAGTTTCTGCGGCGGTCAAGGGATAATAATCCACCCACTGGAAAGAAAGATGTAGAATGGGCCAAATTCGCCATTTCTTCGGTCACGATTGAATAACACAGCTAAGAAATATCATAACTGGACAAAAAGTAAAGCCAATATTCAGACAAAAGAAAGGATAAAATTCCAACAAAAGGTGCACGGTGATTCTGTGACACCAAACACCCCAAATACTCAAGTTGATAATCAAACATTTTTAAAATCAAGGAAATGCCCATCCTCCATAGAATGGTTACTGTTCAAACAGACATGGACATCAACGTATCAATACAAAAATAATCAAAGCATGTACCTTTATGGAGTACAAAAGAAAAACGTCGAATATGATAATCACAATATAAGCATATAGACGTTGGATTCAAACATAATTTTAGCCGAAATGAAGGTGAAAGTTACCATAGCCTTCAGACACTTGCTAGTTGCTACTCACCCAGGTTTAAACTTCCTAGCCAACTACATGACGAAAATCAGTCTCTCGCCGATGCGACAAATCTGTCACTAGAAATCCCACTAAGTAGATCCAATGAAGTTTAGCATTGTAAATCAACGTACTCATCGGACACAAACCTAACACATTCACAACTTCTCCATTTCAGCTCAATATGAGAAAGACTCAAAGGGCATCAACATTGACTATTGATCTTTGAAAGGAGAGATATCCAAACCTCAAGATAACATTTCTTTAAAACGATGAATGAACTTGATTACCCAGAGTCAAATATTCAAATCAGTCAATTTGGACGGAATGAATTCAGCAGGAAAGTTCAGAACCAAAATAACACCATTACTGACAGCCACAAATAAGAAGTTTAAGAACTCAGAATCATCATATTCTTGTTTATTAAACAACTCCCAGATTATCAAAACCTTAATCCAAGTGATTTTTTTACTCCCCCGATCCTCTTTATAGCAATCACTTCAATTGATCATACAGAATCAAGTCAAGTCAAATTAGAAACATCTGCGCATATAAGTCGAAAAAGAAAACCCAATACAACTAAACACCAATGATTTAAACCCATCCCATCATCGAGATTTTGTTTCCAGCATAGCCCTTTTCAATTCTGTCATGAACGTCTTATACAAATAAAAACAAAGCAATGAACAAACATAAATATAAATTCTAGACAGAATATTACCATTACACGTTGATGACTACCATCTCCAGATAATTTCCGAAATGAGAATCTTCAAACGTCAAATAGAAGAGTTTTTTTTTTTGATTTTTTTTTCAGAATGGTTGATTGGGGTTTATGATGCTGATGCAGCGACTAATATGAACCGCTGCATTTAAAAACGACGCCGTTCCCTTTTTTCCCTAAAAAAAAAAAGTAATGATTTAAAATATTTTTGGTGGGCCACATTAAAAAAAAACCCTTTCTTCTTCCCAAATACCATATATAAAAACCCTTCCACATTTCCACCTTTAATTTAGGTCATCTTCTTTTACGGCCGTTTCCATTCAGAGTTGCAGCATACTGAGAGTTAGCGCCGGCGAAATCAATGGCACCAAAGAGGGGAGTGAAGGCACCGTCTGCCGTGGCCAAGAAGAAGACCGAGAAGGTGGTGAATCCATTGTTCGAGAAAAGGCCGAAGCAGTTCGGGATCGGAGGAGCCTTGCCCCCGAAGAGGGATCTGACAAGGTTCGTGAAATGGCCGCTGAGCGTGAGGATTCAGAGGAAGAAGCGGGTTCTCAGGCAGCGTCTCAAGGTCCCGCCGTCTCTCAACCAGTTCTCTAAAACCCTAGACAAAAACCTCGCCACCAATCTGTTTAAGATGCTGCTTAAGTACCGGCCGGAGGACAGGGCTGCGAAGAAGGAACGGCTTCTCAAGAGGGCACAAGCTGAGGCTGAAGGGAAAACTTCTTCTGGGTCTGATGCTAAGAAGCCGATTGTGGTCAAATATGGGTTGAAACATGTTACTTATCTTGTGGAGCAGAACAAGGCGCAGCTGGTGGTTATTGCTCATGATGTTGATCCGATTGAGTTGGTTGTTTGGCTTCCGGCGTTGTGCAGGAAGATGGAAATCCCATACTGTATCGTGAAGGGGAAAGCTAGGTTGGGCAGCATTGTTCACAAGAAGACTGCGTCGGTTCTTTGCTTGACCTCTGTTAAGAATGAGGATAAATTGGAGTTCAGCAGGATCTTGGAGGGAATTAAGGCCAACTTCAATGACAAGTTCGAGGAAAACAGGAAGAAGTGGGGAGGTGGAATCATGGGATCAAAATCCCAAGCTAAGACCAAGGCTAAGGAGAAGATTCTTGCCAAGGAACAAGCTCAGAGGCTTTCTTAGGTAGCAGAGTTGTTATTACTCTTTCAAGTTTTTTTGATCTCTTATCTTAATTTAAGGCTCTCAGCCTCTTATCAGTACTTCTGTGTTTTCCTTTCTTTAGACATAAATTAAACTTGATAATTATGTTTATTGCTACTGTATTAGCTTTGTTTTATCCTACTTAGTCAACCTGCTAGATTTTTGTCAAGTTTTGGTTATTACTATGTCGGAATTTAGCCAATCCGTAGATGTTTGGGCAGGTTGATATGATAACAAAATGATGGTTTTAGCAAAGGTTAAATGAGCAGCAGATAGTTCATACAATAGTAAAAGACTAATACAAAAGATTGATCATTTTGGGACTGGGAGAGTAGTAACAATAGCTTAATTACGTGATCACCTAATTCGCTAGAAATATCTCAAGGAATGAGTATAGGTGAAGTAAGTTGCAGAGATTGAATGATATCAGAATCTGGCAAGTTGAGAGGAGGCAATGAAAAATGGCCATAGGTAGAACTGCCTCTTCTGATTTCTTGCATGGTCATCAGGGCCGCCACCGTGTTGCGAAAAATCCCTTCGCTGGCTATGGTTAAAGCTGTATTTCTTGGTCTGGCCAGATGAGTTCCATCTTCTTGGGCCACTGGGAATAACAAATCTATGGCCGTTTCACATTCTCTGATTAGCTTTGAAATGAGATCCGTCGTGAAGAATGGCTGCTCGATTACCTTTTGGATGAACAGCAGTCGAAGCAATCCTCCAGTTCTTTTGTCATATTTCTTCAGTATCTTAGCCAACCCTGAAACAATTTTAGTGCTTGAATTACTTGCTACGTTTGGGGAAATCGTGTCGTAATTCTATTTGATTTGTCAGTAAATTTCAACAATCACAAGCTTGAGGGTTCATCTAAATAGGGATTGAATTAATGGAGGACTAGCTAAGCATCATTATATAATTACCAGTATAATTAATGTTGCTATAGTTGATGAGGAGCACCATTTCGCCATGGAAATCCACAATGTCTTTTCTGATTTCTCTCATTTCTTCAGTGTGATCCAACCCTATTGATGATGGCGGAACATATCTTGTCTCAACAATCATCTTTTGGATCCTCTGCTGCAATTCCTGTGTGATTAATTTTTACAATGTCATGTATTTCGCAAATCGAATTAGCTAACTATGAAGAATGAAGTATGAACCCCAACAGTTAACATTGGCAAATTTGTGTAAATTCAATTGAAAAGCCATTGGCAACTGGCTAAAGATATAAACATTTCTGTTCCACTATTTGAAAATAAACATCAAATATAAATTTTTTAAAGAAAATGATAGCGGACCCACAAGGCCTCCAAAACTATTGGAATTTTGACCAAGTAAACCAGTGAAAGTTTTGCACTACACCTAATTTACAAAGGTTGAAAACATTATCGATTACTCGCAGTTTCATCTTAATAGTAGTCAACCGAAAATAAGATTACTCGCTGTCTTATTTTACCAGTCAACCGGGAATAAGTGATCAACTACTAAAATGTGGCAGGGAGGAAGAGACTACGAAGGTTTAGGAGGGCAAACATAAACAGATTAAAATTATGATGTCGTTTGTCATACACAACAATGAAATAAGGAATCACCGATCATCACGGAGCCATAAGAGGGATATGACAAAGATGAAATTTTCTATTGGGACAAAGCATATAATTCACCCATTAGAAGCTTTGAAGAGCCAGATTCCTCAGTTGCAACAAATTAGACGAGTCATGAATGCACTCAAGAATCAATATTTACAAACATTAATGAAAGCGAATAGTTGATCGAGCGCTTTGAATCCAATGCTTTTCTTCCTTCCTATTCTTATCAAAATTGGTTCAATTATAACTGTGTCTGATGTTGAGAAGAAAAACTAAGTTCTATCATCCGCAGAAACTAAACCAACATGAGTCGATCAGTGAAAGATTAAATTACCTTGTGGCGGATGATGAAATCTTCTTCTTGTTCCATGAAAAATGCGTTGAACTTGTCGATCTCATTGTTCAGCAACACCACAAACTCTTCCTTTGCTTTTCCATACTCAAATGATTCATTCAACATCGTTGTTGGCGCCGATGAAATCAGTCTCACCAGCCTCTTCAAATCCTTGTACGACAAATACTTGTCTTTCCATCCTGGCAAGGTTTCCTCAATCTGCTGCTTAAGTCTCTTCCCAAACTTCATCACGAACTTCCCAGAAATTTTGAGAAGGAAAAACCTATGGAAGTGTCCAAAAAGGAGATTTCTTGAAAAGTAAATAGTATAAAATTGGGCGTTGTGTATTAAAAAATTGGGTGAAAGATTAGAATGTGATGCAGGATCAAAACATGAGGAAGGTTTTATATATAAGGGGTTAGTGAAAGATTAGAATAATTAGAGAGCATATGCTTTGCATGATGAAGTCACGGCTAGGGAAAGTATAACTAAAGAGTACTTTGCATAGGTGAAAAAAAGAAATTCTCAGCATATTCCATTGTTTCTAATTAATTGGTCTTCCTACTTTCTGACCGAGTTGGCTAGTAAATGACTCTTCCATGTAGTTATTTTGCCTAAAATTAGGTGGTAACATCTAAATTTGATAGGCGGGAGATTTCGTCCATATCAATAAAAGAGTCATATTTATTATATTGTCACGGATAAGTAAAAATATCAAGGTAATGTGCGATGTACGCAGTACAGTTTCGGTATTATAAACACAAGAGTTTGCTCTTCTTTTTCTTTTGTTAGTAAATACCATCACTTCATTCACAATTTTTATACAAGAGAAAAGTTAAACATTTAACAAATGTTTGAATTAGATGAGTGTCAAGTGTGAACTGAGGTGGTGCATTTGTCAAAGTAGAAATGGCAAGAAAGAGAATATGGGAAGCTAGGAATGGATGATGCCTGGGAATCTACTGAGAATCTACCAAGGGAAAGCAAGAGGAGGACAAATCAGTACCCCCAAAAACACATTAGAAAACATTGAAAATTACAGAAGAAGAAAGGCATGGGAGAGCACCAAAAGAAGGAATATGTCATATTTGAACTTCCAAGTACATGCTTTGTATATCCTTTATAAGAGTGGGGCTCAATGAGAATGTGATCTGATTTGCTGTTTGAATTCTTGAACCAATACCAAGTTTTGGCATATTGTTTGGCCAATATAGTTTCATTTAGACTCTTTCATGTTCACAACAGGTGAAGCTGAACTTTTGGTCTTCAATAGTATGAATTGGATGGACTTAATTAGCGTTGTTTCTTCATTCTATAGACGAGTAAACATCCCGCCAACCCCAAAAAGTGTGGAAACACATTGATTCGGCTGAATGAAACCAATGTCTCAAACTGTTAACTAAGCTTATGCTCTGCCAAAACACAGCTTTATAGCTTGGTTGGCATTGAAGGACAAACTGTTAACCATGGAGAGGCTGGGAAGAATGAGGCTATTGAATGAACCTGTCAAATGTGAGATGTGCATAGGACCTGAAGAAAATGCAAGTCACCTTTCCTTCAAATGTTGCTATGCTCAGGAACTAATTAAGACTATTACAGATTGGCTGGGACTAAAGGTAAATATTTCATGTCTTAGATCAAGCACAAAAAGGCAACTGAAGCTGTGGAGATTCAAGAAAGTCAGAAGGTGGTTGATGTTTGATGCTGTGCATCATATCTGGACTGAACAAAATTGCAGAAAGTTCAGGAATCAAAGCTTGGAGGTAGCAGAAAGATTTCCAAGAATTAAAGCTGAAATCATATGTGAAATGCAAATACATTGTAGAAAATGTAGTAACGATGATATACGGTACTTGTAATTGTAAAGCATCGGTATAGTAGTTTAAAAGTATGTAATAGGAATCTTAGCAGCTTGTATTTACCTTTTTACCAAAAAGAAAGAAACCAAAGTCTCAAAGTAATAACAACGTTCAAAATCCTTAAAAAGTTTGCCAGCAACCTCAAAAACACAATTTGAGATTATTAGAAGATTAAAAAGTTTGCCAGCAACCTCAAAAACACAATTTGAGATTATTAGAAGATTATGCCAGCCATAGATGCTGCTAGCAACCAGATTTCTAGGAGAGATACATCTTACAAAAACCATAAAAAGGATTCGACTTAAAAATTGCAACACCTAACACCCAAGAGGACAACTAATGAGATGTATATTTCCTTAAGATGTCCATTTCTCCACTTGGTCTATTGGGAATATGGGCTTCGGTAAGAACAAAGCTCTTTGCGGTTTTTTGTTCAATCTGAAACGATTCATACCCTGGCATATCATCCTCACTACTCTCATCTTTATCTTCGTCGTCAGATGATCTGCTTACAAACTTTGGAACGTCAAGTCTAATTTCATCTCCACTCAGAGAGTCGAGTCCATATTTGATGTCGCGGTGTTTGACCAGAAGCCAGCGCAACAATCGGTCTTCCTTGTTAAGGTAGTGCAGCTCGCTGTTGAAACTGGGAGGTGTCATCATCGTCAATTGCATCAAGTGGCCCTAGAAGAATGACATCTCATTAATTTGGCAGAAAGGAACTTCAATGTTTCACAAGAAGCTCATCAACCGAGAAGAGACTAGATAACGTGAAACTAGCTAGATTAACTAAAAGATTACACAGCGAATACAGCCACCAGTGGAGATCAATAATAAAAAAACTAAAAATATACTCCCATTATCTTATCAAGAATTTTTCTCATTACAATTTTTTTTGAGCATCTAAAATTTTTATCCACAAGAAAGAGACATAAAAATAATCGAGTGAACAGAATCTACCCCAAAATCAGAAAATGTCATCGGTCATCATGCGAAATAACTTGTTTGAGAAATTAGTTACTCCCATTATCTTATCAAGAAGCAGAGTTACTGGTGTTTTCTCATTATTATCTAAAATTTTTTTGAGCAACTAAAATTTTAATCTCAGAAGAAAAAGCCACAATAAGAATATAAGTAATCAAGTGAACAGAATCTACACCAAGATCAGAAAATGCCATTGCTCAAAATAAACTTGGGGATAGCAACAGTATGAGAAAGTAGGATAGTCACCACTCAAGTTACTTCAGAGACAAATCATCCAATCAGAAGTTTTCTCAAAGAACTTTCAAACAATAATTGATGAAATCTGCGAGAAGTTGGTTATAATGAACCAAAACTGACAGGAATCAATTGGAAAAAAAAAAAAAAAAAACAAACAAAGAAACTTCCATGAGTTTGTGAAAAAGACACTAAACAGGCCCCAAACACTAACAGGAAAATAAACAGATGCAATATATACACGGAGGAAGCAAAAAGAATAAGTAGGGGTATAGAAAGAGGTAGCCAACCTGATAGAACTTGCCATCAAGTTTCTTGATGCCATAACCCAAATGAACTTGTCCAAATGACTTCATATCAGTTACAACTCCATTTCTGCTGAAGGCATGTTTCCCAACCTTACAAACCAAGTCTATTATCCCTGCTTTACTAACATTGGGCTTCAACAAAAGCATGCAATCATAAAGAGGCATCTTCCCCTTTTCCCCTTTTTCCCTTGCTGTTAGCTCACCCAACTTTCTGAGATCTACAAGAAAGTTGAAAGAAAAGAAAAGAAAAGGAAAAAACCCAGTAAGTCCTAAATGTAATAATTCTATGTTTCACGGAATCGCCGGACTTCGCCTTATACCGGTGTCGAGGCACGACAACGACATCCGGAGCGGTCACCCAATTCTGGGTACGGTCAACGGCAAACCAAGGAGACAAAAACACTAAACAGAAATTAGAAGAGAATAAGAAGACAAAGAAAAGAGAAGAGGACAGGAAGAGGGTTTGGAGTAGAAGAACGAGATCAAAGATGCGACTCCGATTGGTGGCCGGAGAAAGAAACAGAAGGGGCGGCGGAAACTATGAAAATGGAGTAGTAGGGTTTTGTGATTTATTAAAAAAATTAATTATAATACAATGTTTCCGAACTAATCCCTAAACTTTTTTTCTCATCTGTTTACACCCCCAACACTTGGTTTAAAATAATAGATCCTTAGATATTTTCCTACATGTAAATTTGGATCAAATAAAAGCAATATCTTCCTATTCCTCGATCAATTCTTGGATAAATAAATGTTACTCCCTCCATTTTTTTTATATGTCTTTCTAGAGAATTCTTCAAAACCAAGAACAAATTAATTAACATAGTTTAAATACAGAAATACCTTTATTAATTTTCTATACAACTCATCACAAACCAATAGAAATTGATTATAAATATTGTTTCATTTCCAATCCAAGGGTAATTTTGGTAAAAAGTGGTCAAATATGCATCGATTTGTGAAAACGACTTATATTTGAAAAAATTCACCAATCTCTAAAACGACATATATTTCAAAATGGAGGGAGTATAAATATAAAAGTTGAGCGCCTTTCATCAGTATATTCTTGTGTTTTCATTCTTAGTTTTGGAGTTGCATTAAACTCGATATTTTATTTTCTCAGTTAATAAACATACATAATTGGAGATTTAACTCGAAATTTATGTTCATTATATCTGCATGAATTTTCATTCGCCTTTCTTCAATATATATATATATATATATATATATATATATATATAAAATCATTCGCTTTAGTCAATCAATTAGATCTTTGTCAATTTTTTCGGTAACTTTTTTTTCAATTTAATCAATCTTTATGTGATTTGAAGGATTGGGTTGTTGATATGATTGCGGAAAAGGTTGTGTTATCTACTATATATATAAATAGTGAGTTTAGACAAATTTTTGACAGTATACCATTACATGTATAAATCTCTTCTTCTCCTCTTATGTTCAACTGTTTCCGTTTCCTCTAATTTACCATCATCATTATGATTTTTTATTTTTCATTCAATTTCCTAATAATGATTTGTCCTTAATGTAATTCTTTATTTCTTTTTCAATCCTCTAATAATGATTTCATTATTTCATTCATTATTGATAATTGAAACAAATGAATGGCTGAACTCTACTAAAATAAATAAAACAGTATTGATTATTGATAATTTAACACCCTTATGGTTTGGAGTGAATAATAATGGTTTGATTATTTCATTCATTATGGGATTCATTTAATCCCTGTTGGTTTAGGTTTGTTATTTGAAAATAGAATAGTTTTGTTTTCGGTATAATTTTTCAAAATTATGATTTATATATGTATTGAAATGTATTTTAATCTAAATGTAGAAATTTTGTTTGTTAGTTGTATATTTGTATTTTTAGGTAAATACAAGATTATTAATCATGTTGTAATGTCACTTGTGTCATTAAATTTATTCAATAAAATCATTTATTTAACATCATTTTTTCACTTTTATTTTTATTTTTTTCTCAATTTATTATCTTCCGTTATTTTTATTAAATTTTAAAATTAAGGTTATTTCCACGTCTATCATGGTAAATGGTTAGGTTATTTTACTATAAATATCTAGTTTTTCTCAATCATAGGGGCATAATTATGGCGCATGTTTCATGCTTGCATGGGGAATTAGGAGCAGGAATGTTATAGCAGAAGTTGGTAATCAGAATACTCTTACTATGGTTAAGGGAGGGAATGACATATTTGGGTTTAATGTGGCCCTGATGTGTTTGTGATCGTTTTGGAGCATGAATGAATTGTAGAGTTTCGTCCTGAATTTTTAGAGGCTAATTCTATAGCGGATTATTTGCTAAAATTTATGGTGCAAGGACCAAGAGGTTTGCATTGAATATAGGTTTAGCTGACATGGGCTATGCTATTTCTTGAACATGATATTGCAGGGATTTCTTAACTTCAAAATATAACAATCCAATTTCATAGTTGATAGACATTTATTTTAATTTAGATTTCCTTTTTTTTTTAAACAATCAAAGATACAATCTCCTTTTTCCATGCCCATAAACCTTCTTTTCATTTTTAATAAAATTTGATTTCCGAATATCTAAAAGATAAATATTAAATCATGGAATTAATTCTTATTTAACATAGGTTTATATTTTTGAAAAGATTTTTTTTTACCATCTTTTAAAAAGTTAAAGGAACAAAAAATGAAACATCAAAAAACCCATCTCAATTGCAGCAATTAAAGATTTCATAAAAACAATGACTGTATTATTCATTTCTAATTTAACAATCTACTTGATATTATTTTAATTTAATAAAATAGATTATCAAGATAAACTATTCCCTACATCTCAGAAAAGATAATTCACGGTGTTAATACAAATCTTAAAACTCAATGTGGGCTGTATTTTGAGACAAAGATAGTACTTTTGATAATCTACTTTGTGATACTTACATAGATGATGCTAAAGCAGAAGGTTCAATTACATAGTACACCGTGCTATTTCAATCATGCGTAAGATTTTAAGTTGTTTAAATATGCCAAAAGAGCCTCAAAAATTTGTGAAGGTTTGGCTTCTAGTTACTCAAATGAACTATAATACGATCGAACATGGGAGAGGAGGAGATCATTAGATTGGTACTAACTCTAAGTTTGTATGTCCATGGTTATTTTGAGAGATAGAATTAGAAGGTGGAGACTCCCGTTTGTTATCATGATTATTCATCATCTCTTGAACTGGTGGAGGATTCACAATCGTTGTTTCCATCGCGAAGTCATCAGAAAGATGGCACTTCATTTCTCTGTGTTCTTGACATATTGCACACCAGTGCAAACATAGGTGCACCAGAGAAGGTTCACATGGTGAATCCTGCAAAATTCATTCTCAGCGGATTTGGGTGATACTTTTTTTCTGTTAATGAATCCATTAAATAAATACTCAATCTGTCACAAAAATTATTGCCCAGTTTGGATTTTTACTTTTAATTCCGTTTGTACTAGAAATGAAAATCCAAACTGTATAATAATTTGGGGACGAATAGAGCAATTGCCGGATAACTTGAAAGTATGACGACCATTCAACATCATATTGGACATAAAACAATTAGTTGTGCTTCTTACCTTCAAATGATACTTTCTTTGTAACGCTTGTCGAGCCATACCCGTATAAACACCACAAATCCACCAAGTACAAAGAAGACCTTCAGCTATTAGGCCTACAGATTGGGGATCAATAATGCCATTGAAAGCTGCTAGCAGCGCAGCCAGGGTAATACCTCCTTCAACACATATCATGTGCCCAACGCATGCACATGTGTAAGAAATCTCTTCGCTCAAGTTTTCCACATTGCGTCCGAACAATATACATGGGCAGAACAAACCAGTCCAACCTATATATATTTATAGTGGTATGCAATATTTAAAGAGAAAGAAAAAAAAAAAAAAGACTCAATACTCATGTTATCGGGAAATCCTTCTATGAGAATGAGAATGACTACTCAATCTAATTTGTTCTATTTCAACAAGTAAAGTGATCAGACAATAAATTATGGAATAAACTCCTAAAAGAAAAGGAAAGAAATTTAGGTGACGAGGACTCTTACAACTATTAGGATCTTCAGCACAACCAAATATCCCTGTAGTCCAATCTTCTGTTGCTGGAGGCTGGTAACTTTCTGGCAAGGCTTGACCACATTGAGGGCACTTTGGAGCTGTTAACTGTGTCACAAAATATATTCAGTGTGTTTGTGTTATAATTGTGTTTAATTAAAACACATAAGAAAAACCTCTTGTTTGCATATACAAAAGAATTTAATGTTAATTTCTTGAAGCACTATATAAATCAAACACACACACACACACAATATTGTCTGTAAACATTGACATTTTGATACTCACATATCTAAATCTAATATGATATGAGACTTTAGCCCCTAAAATTTTTGTGATAAATCTTAATGAAACATGATTTGTAACGAAAAAAAAAATCAAATTTTTATATATCCCTAAAAAAGAAACATAAATAGGGAAGGATGTTGCAAACGAAAAGTAATAAAAAAAAAGTAACCATTTACGAGAATGTATCAAAATGGGCACATAACCTGCACAACATCAATAGGTTGATTCAGCTCTCCAGGAGTGATATTCTGCAGGGAATCTTGCTCTTTTGTCAACTGTACATATGCTCCATCAACCATGATTAGATCTTAAAAATTGGAAAGCAATTTTATTCTCAGGTCTTGAAAATTATTCTGAGCAATTTTTGAGAGATTAAACAAATGTTATTTTCTCTGGAGGAAACTAAGAAAAAAAAAACTAAAAATGAACGAAAAGACTGGTGTCTAGTAATATTAGAACTGGTGAAATAAAAACAAATGCTAATATACTTTTTTCAAGGTTTTTCCCTCCTCACTTGGCACTTTAATTTATTCTATTCTCTCATTTATTAACTGAATTACCTAAATTTGTGAACTGATTTGCCTAAACTCAAGGATGAGAGAGTTCAACCAAATTGCCCAAACTAGGTAGCTAATTTTAGAAAGAACTTGATGAGTGATGACCCCAACTATAGGGGATCCAATCCCGAACACGTATATGGTAATATGGTTCAATAAAATCATTAAAAGTGTTTTCAAAATGATACATACATACATATATATATATATATTGCTTAATATTTGGAGAATTAAACAATAATCCATCAATCCAATTAGATTCTTTCTAACATCAAATATTTGTGTGATTTGTCGTTCAATGCGAAAGTTGAAAGCTTATATGGAATATCCAACAAAAATAATCGTATTAGAATTCATGGATGTGAGTAATTTTGCATTGAAAGATTAAGGGATCATATAAACAACCATTTTATTTTCGTTTTTGTTTTGGTTTTGAAATGTGTTTTTAAGATATTTTTAAATGAGAGTTTAAAATGTTGTATAAATTAATTTTTTTAATAAAATACTAATTATCCAGCATCACCAAATCACCCATTGTCATCGCCAGACCATTGTTGACCGACGACAAATTATATTGTGAGAAATACCTCTGAACAAAACTTACATGTTTTGTACGTAATAAATAATTTTTCATCATGCCCAAAATAAATAGAACAACCTTACATGGATTTTGACTTAGTTTAGGTACGTGTTTTAAGAATAAATTTGAATGATGATCTGTAACGAAATTACTAAATAATTCATTGACTTATTTTGCGGTTCATTCTTTATTAATTTATAAAATTGGTGAGACCTATATTTACATAGAGCTTTATGAAAAAAAAGTATTATTTTATTATTTAATTGAGTTTTATTATTTATTGTACTTGTCATGTTTTGAGACTAAAAATCATTTAATGTAGATTATTAATTTATAGAAAATTAATTTTTGAAAGTTTTACTGTAATGAAGACCGAAGAGAGTATTATTGAATGGGAGACACCTAACCACATAGTGCCATGATAGTGAAAGACTTGCTAGAGAGGCAAGCAACAACTGTAGTATGTAGTGAGATTGTTGGAAATTGGATTTCAATTTCCGAATTCATTATCGTTTTTTTTTTTTGGTGTTTTTGGAGTAATTATATATATATATATATATATATATATAAAACTCACAAAAGTATCACCATATAAAGTAAGGTTTAAACAACTTGCCTGCCTATAATCAGTTAAAATATATTTTATAATCTCTTAGAATAGAGTTCTCTCGTACTATATGTCATCAGTAATAGGCGTGCATAATAGTCTCTAATAGTGTAATAATAAGTCTTGTGTAATAGATTAGGTGTTTTAGTTTTGTAACACTATAAAAGGTTCTCTTTAAAAAAAGAAAAATCAGCAATAGAGATACATTTGTCATTTTATATAGAATTCGACTAAGGCTCCGTTTGGTTGCATTGAATTGAGACCAAGAATTGAAATTGGAGCTCTTTAATTCCAATTCTTGTGTTTGGTTAACAAAAATTGAAGTGGAAGAATTGGAATTGCAATACTATTTTAGGTTCAATTCTTTGATTTTAATTCTTTTGTGGGGGTAAATAATTGGAATTCAAATTCAAGGGATTTAAAAAAAATTTGCGGGTCTAAACCGGGTCATTTCCGGGTTATAACATAAACGGGTCATCTCTTCCTTTTTTCCCTTAAGTCCTTTTCTTTTCTTTTTTTTTTGGCTTTCAACCCTTGCCCTTTTTCTTTTCGTTTTGTTTTTCTTTTTTTCAGCTTTTTGTCTTCTTCTTCTTCTTCTTCTTCTTCTTCTTCTTCTTCTTCTTCTTCTTCTTCTTCTTCTTCTTATTATTATTATCATCATCATCATCAACGAAATCAATCTAAAATTAACATTATTTTTTTTTGAGAAAAAATCAAAAGTATAATTGTCCCAAAAAAATTAATAGATAAATATTTTAATTTTGGGTTAGAATTTTTTATTATATACTGACACAGTAAACACCATAAAATTTTTAAAAATATTTTATAATTGTTCCATATGTACACCTATATATATATATTAAATAATACATGGCATTTTTTCATCAAAAATTCTGTAAGTTGAATTTTAAGTATGTGTTTTTTCATATATAACTATATACTAAAACTAAAAAATTTTAAGCAAATTCCAAAAAATAATGTCAACATATATAATAGAAATTAATATTCATAAAATGAATTTATATTATATACAATATTTTTTACTAATATAGGGGAAAAAATCAATAAACCAAAAATTAAAAAATTTTGAAAAGTAATAAAAGAGAGGGACTCAAGGATGTTTACATATCATAGTAATAATTCTTACGCAATAATGTTTCTTTTGTTTCCTACAAAAAAGTGTGTACATAATAAATCACAAAATAATATAGCAAATTAAATAAAAAATTATTTTTTCAAAAAGGATTAGTTTAAAGGACAACAAAGTAATCTAATATACATGTACACAATGATTTTTTTTTTGTTTTATACATATCCGTGATAGATTATTTTGACATAGGAAATTAAGTTTTTTTTTTTAAAAAAAAATTTGACATGAAGTATAAATTGTATTAATTATCTAGTAACAAATTAATTTCAATTCTAAAGTATCCAAATTTTGAAGCATCCAAACGCAAGAATTGGTATTAGAACCTTAATTCTAGTCAATTATTTAGATCTCCCAAACAAATAAATTGAGATTGAATTGCAATCCCAATATTTTAATTTCAATTTTTTTGGATTGTAATTCTAATTCAATTCCAATTCATTCGAACCAAACGGAGCCTAAGTTAATTTTAGAGAAAGAGAATGTTCATTTTCTTCAACTGTGTTTTTTAACCTGGACATATTCGTCTTTTGCTTTTTGTTTCTGAGTTCTATTATTAGCTCCGAGAAAATCAAAGAAAATGTTCGTCTATTAATTGACTTTCTTCTTGTTGGTCAAATAAGGGAAAAAAAATATTATTCATTTAATAATGTTTTGCAGACATTGCACCGCAAATTTCTCCCTCCTCCTTCCACCACCACCGAACAACCGCGCCGCACCACCGATTTCCACTCCGTTCAAAATTCCGAAGTCCGATCAAATTTAAAATTAACCAAAAATGCGGAGGCAAAATCCGACGAAAAATTCGAATTTCTCGATGAATTCAACCCGCCAACTCATAGACTCCCTTACATCCCATCTTTCTCTGTACAATTCAAGCTGCCCAAACCCGAATCCAAATTCTAACCCTAAATGGCGATCCTCTATAATCAAATGGTTCTCATCGCTCACCGTCCATCAACGCCAAGCTCACCTCACCGCCGTTGATTTCAAGTTTGCTCAAATTCTCCTCCAAATGCTCCACAAGCTCCGCTCCAATGGTAACGGCTGCTTCTTCGTCTTGCCGGACGTTCCCGGCGATCCAACATCTCGTGATCACCTTGCATGCAGCAGCCATAGCCTCCCGAGCCTCTGTTTCCGGAAGTCTCACGGGCTCTTGGCTCGGGTTGCGGACTCAAATGAATCGGAACAGGCAATTCGCGACTCGGTTCGACTGTTCAGCTCAAAAGAAGGGGAAAACGTTGCGGACTTTTTGAGGTTAGGGGGAAACGATTGTATTGATTCCATGACTGTGAGCGAGGAGTTTGTGGAGAATGTTGATAGGTTTGTAGGAATAATGGATGACGTTTCTGATGGGGCATTTTTGAAGGGGGAGGAGAGTGGGGAGCTGGCTGCGGAATGGTCAGAAATGGAATGGTTGAAGGCTAAGGGGTACTATACTATGGAGGCTTTTGTGGCGAATAAGTTGGAGGTGGCATTGAGGTTGGCTTGGTTGAATTGTAATAACAGTGGCAAAAAAAGGGGTGTCAAATTGAAGGAGAAGATCAATGCTGCTTGCTCAGCGGTCAATATGTTCTGGAGGAAGAAGGGATGTATAGATTGGTGGGTCAACTTGGACGAGGAAATAAAGAAGAAGGTGTTTCGAATCACAGTAGCAAAAGCAGCAAAATGTCTGGTATGTTTTCTAGTTTTCTTTCCTCGTTGTTGAAGCTTGGGTTGTTTCCTAATTAACTGCACTTCAACCATTATTAGTGTTACTATTTTTTGGTGTTTCTTTTACTAGTGATTTCCTAGAATATGAATTTTGACATGATATTCGTAAAGACATGTGGATTCCATTAATGATGAAAGGTGGCAAGATTCGCAAGATTCTTTCCAGTCTTTGTATTTAGAAGTAAATTGTACTGCATGTAAGAGTTGCGAGATACATCATGTAATGGCCTGAGGGAATGATGAATGATGCATGGTAGTAGGAATTAGTAGTTTGTGAAAGTTTAAATCTTTTGTCGGTAAGAGAACTGATAAGAACGGGATGACTTCGTCCCGAATATACGGCGGTACAAAATTCAGAGTTTGATCTTCTTATTCTTGTTACTCAATCCTTTTATTTACTCAGTTCTCTTTCCTTGCCATCTAATATATATTTTTTTTTAATAAAAAAAGTCTATTTGTATCCCTCCCTTGTAACAAACTCTAGTTCTTTCATTAATTATAGTAGCAAGTTTTTTCTAATCTCTAATTGTTTTGATTGTCAGAGTGCTGAAACTTTTAAAGGTAAACACAGTGTGGAGGTCAACAGGTTGCTCTGTAGTCATCTACCTGGTGAACAACCACTGGGACTGAAAAAGTTCTTGCCTGATGGGGAAAGCATTCTCTGTAATCAAGGACCAGATGCAAGAAATGGGTTCAGTAGGACTTCTATTGCATTTGAATATCCTTCTCAACTGAAATGCATGTACAGTAGTTTGGTGCTTCTTCAAGATGCTTACTTTATGTTGGCAGCATATCAGCATTGTGGTTATGATGCAGACAAAATGTTTTTTAGCTCCCTGAATTCTATCTCTACAACTACTGACTGCATGCTGAGGAAAATGCGGGAAATACTGATGGTGATTTCTCTTGATTGCACAAAATTTGAGCTACTTGATGAAGGAACTACTAATTTATCAACAAAGAAACAAAAGGAGAAGCTTGCTGCTAGTAATCACAAGAAAAAAGCGAAGAATCGCAGTGCAAAGAAGCTTCATTCGGTGGCTAGATCTTCGGGAAATGACAACTCACCCGTTAAACCTGCAAAGGTACCATCATATACTTGCAGACTTCTTTTGCAACAGATGATGATTTCGGATTTACTTTTCACTGTTGGTGTACCTGATTATGCTGAAGCACCTTTCAGGAAAATGGTACTGGACTTGCATGCAGCCGAAGTACCTTTCGCCCATCATCCGAGCTTGTCAATGAATCCCAAGTGAGAAATCTTCTAGGGAGCCTTTTCTCTCAACAATTGACATGGTTATATTATTGTTTTTATGCGATGCAAATCATATGGCATTTTGACGATGTGAATGGTTTGTAACTATTTGAATGTCACCAGGCATGCAGTAACAGAGATAAGAAAGGAAATATTCAAAACCCTCCAAGGAAGAAGAGTAAGAAAGAGAAAAACAAGCATAAAAGTTCCTGTTCTCAAAGATCTGCAGAAATTGAATGTTGTGAAACCAGAGAGGGCAAAGCTGCATCGGTTCCTGTTTTACACCAGGGTGGGGTTCTAAATTCTAATTGCATAGCTGAAGATCCAGTAGTTGATAATGGATCTAATAGCATATCCAATGTAGGCTGTAAGAGTTCTGGCTTGAAGAACTGCCAGATAGCTAAATTGACATCATCGACTAATGGAGCAGGTGCCTGTGCTGAGACTGCTGGAGATGGAGCGCATGAGGCAACTACTCCAGTAGTTCATCTGAATGGTCAGCCGGGCTGCATGGATGTAGATAGTGCAAATTGCAAGCAGCAAACTGAAGTGGTCACTAAACTAATACCTTCTGGTAAACTCAGTGAAGATTGTAGTTCAAAAGAAAAATCTATTCCCCTTCGAGGACATGGGGGTTATAGTGTGTGTGATATGGGTATCATTAATTCTTCTACTTACATCTCTTATGAATGGCCGAGTGTACCTCCTCCACAGCTTCCACTTTTTCATGCACATCTCCCAGCTGCTACAGATAGATTGCACCTGGATGTTGGTTACAATTGGCATAATCATTTCCATCAACCCATAGTCCCAGCAGTACATAGAGTGAGAAATGCTTCAGTTGAGAATGGGTGTGGTGGTGTGGTATCTCGACCAGTTCCAATGAGCTTAGACTGGCCTCCAATTGTGCGTGGTGTCAATGGAGTCAACCCATCAGTTGCTTGCAACTATGATTCAGGATTCATATCAAGGCGTCAAAATTCTATTCAGCAGAGTTTTTCAGCTTCAAGTGCGCACTGCAGCATGATAAACTCAGAGGATGATGTATTGGATTTTTCTGATGATCAGGAAAATCAGTGGATGTCTGAAGAAGAGTTAGAGCTGCATGCAGTGTCTGGAATGGATTATAATCAATATTTTGGGGGTGGTGTGATGTACTGGAATCCTTCTGATTTTCCAGGGAGCAGCTTTTCCCGTCCCCCTTCTCTTAGTTCAGACGACAGCTCATGGGCTTGGCGTGAAGCAGATATCAGTCGAGCTGTAGACGATATGGTTGCTTTTTCTTCGTCTTACAGTACAAATGGATTGACGTCACCATCGGCTGCGCCATTTTCTTCTCCTTTCGACCCGGTAGGTCCAGGAAATCAGCCTGTGGGTTATGTTTTATCTGACAGTGAAATAGGTGGTAAAATTCTCCATTCCTCAGCAACGGTGGCGGATTTCGTTGCAGATGAGAATATTTCTGGATCTTTAACTTCCATGTCTGTTGATGGTGAGGCAAAGGCTGGAGATTCACTTCATTACCCTATTTTGCCACCAATAATTATCCCAAGTCTTCCAAGAGATTTGCCAAAATCAGATACCAAGCGCAATGATCATAAAAGCCCATGTGTTCCTCCTAATGGCCGGGAACATCGGATTAAGAGACCACCTTCACCAGTAGTCCTTTGCGTTCCTCGTGCTCCTCGTCCACCCCCTCCCTCTCCTGTTGGTGATTCAAGAAGACATAGGGGATTCCCTACTGTTCGGTCTGGTAGCTCTAGCCCACGACATTGGGGTATAAAGGGCTGGTCGCATGACGGAATTAATTTTGAAGAAGCTTGTATGAGGATGGATGGTAGTGAAGTAGTTTGGCCTTCTTGGAGGAATAAAAGCCTACAAGCCCGCAAGTTAACACAGCCTGTACCGGGGGCTTTACTCCAAGATCGCTTGATTGCAATATCCCAACTGACTCGTGATCAGGAACATGTAATTTTTGTTGATTATGCTTTTTACTCTACTGGTCAAATGTCCTCTTTTCCTCAGATTTTTATTTCTAGCCTGGCCTGAAAGTTTAATTAAAATTTTCAGCCGGATATCGCATTTCCTTTGCAACCTACCGATTTGCATGCCTGTTCTGCTCCTAAGGCATCTATTTCTGTGATCCATACCCTCCTTCACAATGAAATTGACACTTTATGCAAGCAGGTACTGTGACCAGTGAACGTATTTAACATAAGATCTGCAACGGTTGTTTCAGCCTACTTTCTTTTGTAATTTTAGTATGCCCTGTTTTTTAAGTTCTGATGATACACGACTTTCTACAATTTGGAAGGTTGCTTCAGAAAATTTTAGTATGAAGCCTTCGATCAATTGGGCTGTCAAGCGAGTCACACGGTCCCTGCAAGTATTATGGCCTCGATCAAGGACCAACATTTTTGGTTCTAATGCTACCGGGTTGTCTCTTCCCTCAAGTGATGTGGATCTTGTGGTCTGTCTTCCTCCAGTGAGAAATTTGGTGAGAATATAAGTCCTATCTATTCTTTTCTCTTATAACCCTCTATAATTTGATTTTGGAGCACAACCATGTTTATTTGGTTTGTAACTATGTTCAGGAGCCTATAAAAGAAGCTGGTATCTTAGAGGGGCGTAATGGTATCAAAGAAACTTGCCTACAGGTAAAAAGGCTTTATTATGTTATTTATTGACATCTATCCTTTGGATGCTCTTATATTACTGGTTCATAATTCACGAGGCTGTTTTTTCTTTACAGCATGCCGCCAGATACCTTGCTAATCAGGAATGGGTTAAAAATGACTCTCTCAAGATTGTTGAAAATACTGCTGTAATGTCTCTTCTTTCAGTTTCTACTATTTGCTATTCTTTCTGAGTCCCCACTAATCTCAATATCTATTTTGTGTGTTTCTCATCTATATTTATTTATTTATCTTTATTTAGATACCTATAATCATGCTCGTTGTGGAAGTCCCGCAAAGCCTGATTGGATCTTCCGCAGCTAATGTCCTAGCACCCAAAAGAGAATTGTTCCAAAACACTAGCGAGGAGAGCAACTCCTTTTTTGTCGATCCCGCCAGATTGGAGGCTAGTGGTTTGCTAGCGTGCCCTAAACTGAAGCATGAGTGTGATAAGGATGTAAAACCAGTTCGTCTTGACATTAGCTTTAAGTCCCCATCGCATACTGGACTTCAGACTACAGAACTGGTAAACTTCTCTAAGGGCTATTTTCTGTTCTTACTTTGCTACTCAGGTTCACTATAGATGCTTAGAGATTATATATGATAACCTGTTCTACTGACTATTTGTCAACAGAAAAAATGCCAAACTCTTTTCTTTCTAGAAGAACTTATTTATTTATTTCCTTCCTTCTTTCTGAAAGTCTTGAATGAAAAGGGAATTAAAGAAGAGCCACATGTACATTCTGTATCCCATTTTATTTCACATGATATGAACTTTCTTATCTCATCCTTTATAAAGTAAAAGTTAAAAAGTGATTTGAAAAAAAAAAGAGATACATTTTTTGGTAAACATCCCTGTCCTTACTTGTTTTCTCTGGCACAAGGAACATTTGGCTTTCTCATCTATTCTTGTTGATTCTTTTCCCCTGTTGTTTAGGTTAAAGAGCTCACAGAACAGTTCCCTGCTGCTAAACCTCTTGCAATAGTGCTAAAGATGTTTTTGGCAGATCGTAGCTTGGATCAATCATATTCAGGGGGTTTAAGCTCATATTGTTTGGTAAGTTTCTGGCCATCAATTTTTCACTTAAGGCAGCTTCGAATTTTAACACAACAAAGATCTGTAAGAAGAATAACTGGCACTTATATGAGCTCATGTACTACCATTGAAACGCTTGGTTTCTATTATATTGTATTTATTTTCTTAGCTTGGTTTTCTACCCATCATCATTTTTATTTATTTATTTGGGTTGATTTTCTACCTGTAGCTGTGATGCTTTTCCAGCTCCCTCGATACTGATGTATCTGGTGGAGTAGCATATTTGCACTTTCGTGTTGACTCTTTTTGCTTTTGGTACATTTGAAGAAAATTGTATTTTTCTTGTTCATTGCCCGTGAATGTGGAATGAAGTTTGTTTAAAATCTGTACCTTTTCTATACGCGTATGTTATACTAATAAATGAATGAAAGTTAGTGAAGAGGTCAACTAAACAAGATCAGAAATTTTTAAATTCATGCCTCCCACAGCTTGTGGGTAGTTGACTCTACGAGTTTTTGTAAGGGTGCTATTTATGCTATTCTGCCTTTCTCTTTGATGATAAATGTTGTCAGCCTTTCCAACCTTGAATCTTTAGTACTGCAAGACATTAGTCTGAGGTTGTTAAAGCTCTTTGAAATATCGTATTGACTGATGCTGTTCCTATGATGCAGTTGTTGCTGATCATACGTTTCCTGCAGCATGAGCATCATCTTGGTCGATCTATAAGTCAGGTAATACTGTGGATTGTTATTTGTGCTGCGACTTCTTGGTTTTCCTGAAGCACAATCAATGTTCTGTTCATACGTTATCTTAACATTGTTTGCTTTTATGAACATTACCTAATTAGGTTCGAAGCTGGTGGCTTCTTGTAGTTTTTGCTAATATACTGCACTCATAATATTGCTTTACTTTCATTTCACTTTGCTTGTCATTGCCACGCCGATAGGTCATTTTTTTTTATGTTGGTATAACATATGGTTACTTTACTTTCTTTTCACTTTGTTTGTCCTTGCTGCGTCAATAGGTCATTTCTCATGTTGGTACAAGATAGATTACTTTAATTTTGATTCATTCTGTCATTGCCGCATCGATTGGTCATTCTCATGTTGGAACAACTTAGGCTAAGCATTGATATGTGATAGTTAGACATGATTTCCTTTTAGCCTTGATATGTGATAGTTAGACATGATTTCCTTTGACTTGAAATAACGCACGAGCGTTTACTGCCTTCTATGAGTAACTAAGGGGACAGTAAATTCATAGAACAGGATCATGAAACTTGCTCCAGCATCTTTCTCGACATTCGTACATGTAGTCTGACTAAATAGCTATTGAAACTCTCAATAGTAGCAATGAAACACTTGACAAGCGGTGGAACTGTATTGGTCATATGTTACCAGGATTCGGTACTTGCACTGTTGAGTAGGGAGAGGGGAAAGAAACAGAAAAGGGTAGAACAATTTATAAAGTATTTTGATTGGTGTGGTGTGATGATACAACAATTTATTGCTGATTTCATTTTATTTTCAAGGATATTATGTGCTGGCTGTAGCGTTTTTGTGATCTTTCAATGTTGATTTTCTTTTTCCTCTTTAAAATACAGATATGTGTCTCAACGGCTCATAAAAGTGCATTCATCTACTGTTCAATGAAAGGAATAATAATAATAATCTTATGAAATATGAACACAACAACAAGGCTGTTACTGCTCAATAGAAGTCAATGTCATAAAACGCGTAATCAATGATTCTTATAGCTGGTTCTTCTGAATGAAAATCATCAGACATCAGAATTCTGTTAGAGATGATCATAATACATTGTCCTTGCATCAAGGATTACTGTGGTTGTTATTAGATCTCATGTGGGCTTGCTCCTGTAACATGCAATCAAATTGTGCCGCAATTGTGTCATGTTTTCCTCTGCTCCGTTATCTTCATGGAATAAGTGGAATATTAGCTTTGTCTGTGAATTGTGAGATCCAACTTAAATTAATTGCTGACATGTTTTTGGATCAGAACTATGGGAGTCTCCTTATGGATTTTCTCTACTTCTTTGGGTAAGTCATTAGCTGCTACTCTGATTCTTCTGTCTCTAGTTCGGGCACTAGATACACTTTAACATTTTTTTTTTTTTTATTTTGGTGTGCTATTTTTCTCCGCTTTCACCAGAAGATGAAAAATGTTAGGTTGAATACTGATGTATGACATTCTTTTCTTCAGGAATGTCTTTGATCCTCGCCAAATGCGCATCTCTGTACAGGGCAGCGGGATGTACATGAAAAGGGTTCAAGGTTGCAGGTAACTAAAACATCATGTTGATTTCTCACTTGCGTTTTTGTGTCATGAAGTGTTTTTATTGACCAAAAATACTTTCTCTTCGCAGCATCGATCCGATCTACATTGATGACCCTCTTTTCCCTGCAAATAATGTTGGGAGAAATTGCTTTCGGATCCATCAGTGTATTAAGGTAATTTATCCTATTGGCTCTAGTAATGAACATGTATGCAGTGATTCAAGATATAGAACACAAAGCGGTTTATTAGGGAGGATAAGATGCACCACTGGTCAGTTCTTATCCATTTAAATGCACACAACATGACAATCATTGTCATGGTAATAGTGATTGTCAGCTGCTGCTATATTTTGGTCGTAAGGGTATGGTCACATACTAGTGCTGTCAAGGGAGGAACAATCTTTGTTTGCAATTCATGTATCCCCGAAATTTTCAATTTTGAACGGCATGTAATTTTTAATTTATGTAGGCCTTCTTTTTCAAGCTTGAACGTGTATGATACCCATTCCATCCCAATTTGTTTCCCATTCTTTATCTTATTTTGTTTTTTAAAATGCATTTCAGTATTCTCTATATTTCATTGCATTCTCAATGTACTTTTCAGTTTTCTTTTTTAACTGAAACTAAAAGCGAACATGCAATTGAAAACATTTCATTACAAACACTTCACAATCTTGTTTTGTAAAATGTTATTGTGACTTGTTCATTTTTTCTCCTTTTTGTCACTGCTTCTTTTGAAATACTCCCAAAAAAACCCCTCTTTATTCGGCATGTATAAATTGGAAATTACCGAATATATGATTTGGCGGATGTTAAGATCACGAGGATAATTGAGGCTTTTCTCATGAAAAAGATCATTCTGGAATTTTTTTATGTTTTGCACTCTTCTCAGGTAGATGTTCAAGGCCAAAATCTTGGGGTTCATTCTACCTGAAAATTGTCACCATGTCCTGCCAAATTGCTCGCTGTTTCATTGTTATATGGTTTGCGATATGGCTTAGAAGCTTTTTCAGTTGATTACCGGTATAGTTGAAATCATGCCTATAGATGTTGCTTCTGTTCCAGTTAATTACCTGTGTAGTCTTTTATTTCATTGTAGTGGGGACATTTCTTTTGAGACAGCAATGATCTTTTTCTGATTTTGGTGATGCTTTGATTTTCAGAAGAAATGATAAAGAACTTACGAATAATTACTTGATGCAGGCTTTTGCAGATGCTTATTCCACTCTGGAAAATGAACTAATCTGCCTACCCAGTAATGATGACTTGAATGTTCTACCGCCCTGTAAACTACTTCCGAAAATCATTCCAAGTATTGACCATTCAGATGGTTCCTAATTACCAGATGATCCTGATGCTTCTTCTAGAGTGGTACGCTGTTTAAAGACATGTTATCCTGGGTTCCTATTAATTTGTAAGTTGTCTATGGTGTTTGAATGTGTTATTTCGTTCATCTTGTATGCTTTGTTGGCTGTTCTGCAGTTTATCAGGCATCTTCCAATGAACAGGATTAATTATATCAATGCCACCTGTTCTGGAACAGCTGGGCGAAGCTTCCGCTTGTTTTTAAAGTATGGCCTGGAGTTTTGAGGTATTGATCTGCGTGTTATGTGCATTATTCAGTAGTACAGTTAGTAAGACCCATTGGCAAATTGGTGATGATAAGATCGAGAATATTTTCGATTTCAAAATTGTGCAAGGATCAATTCCAAGCTTGTGGATGGAAGCAAAAAAGGGCATTGTGGGTGGTGGTGGTGGGGGGATGGAGCACAAATACTTTTCGGTTTTTCTTTTTACTTTGTGCTTACTACCTTAAAAAAATTAAAAAAAAAAAAAAAAAGACTACCTTAGTGTGGCATGACATGCTTCTACATCTTCGACAGAGAATGGGTTAAGCTCAGTCAATCTTAAGGGGGAAGATTGCTTTCTAGGGTGCTCATCCTTGCATCCCTGATCCATGGGGGCATCGCAGGTGCTGATTTCTTTTGCATTGGTATTTCTAGCGATCTTCACATCTTTCTGGCTGTTATTTGAAGATTCTGTTACACTTTATTTCTGTTGTATATAGTGCTTCTAACTTAACTGGGAAACTACCCAGTCTCAGTAAACTTACAGAAGAAGATCCAACCTGTGGGAGCAGCTTAACTTGGCAAGATCAGCTTCTGCCTTCAGTGTTCTCGGAGACCTGATATGGTAATGCTACGCCACCATTTTTCTTACTTTATTGAGATGATTGTATGGGCTACATGTTGGCTTCTTTTTTAGAATCAATAAGAAAAAGAACCCTGAAAGGAAAGCAGCTCCACAGTTTGCATGTCATGAATTAGCATGTCAAATACTGTTAATGCGTAATTGAGGATATTTTCTTATAGCCATGTGCAACAGAAGCCGTGTCTTTTAACAGATATGGCAAAGGATGGTGAATGTTTCAACACTGGAAGATGTAGGTAGGCTATTCCTCGTAGAAAGTGTACAGTGTAAGAGTGCAGCAGTTGCATGTATCTGTGTAAAATGTGGGTGTGGCGGGTGGGGATGAGTGAAATCAAGCAGTTAGAAATTATTTTGCGATCCTAGGTCTTTTTGGATTCTTATTTATACGTGATTGTCTTCGTTCTGAAATCTGCTAACATCCGAAATATGTGCCGATTTTACAGAGTGAGATGCCAGTGCAGCGAACTATCTTCCAAAACCCTGCACTTTCAAGTTACTGGCGTACAAAACCAATATGAGACATGAACTCTGCGTTGGCTGCCCCAGATTTGAGGTCTATCTTTTAACTTTCTGAAGCTTTAATAGAATGGACCTTCTACTTTTTCCATGCTACTTCAGCGGAGTTTTCACTAGACAGTGGACTGTAGCATTATTGCGAAATGATTAATTCTCATTATCTTGAAAAAAGTTGCTTTTTTCTTGAGCATTTAGCAAGTCAAGTAGCTGTGGAGGCTTAGTCCAATTATATGGAACTGAAGTGAAACCCAAATCTCTTTTAGGAGAACGAGAAACTGAGGATGTAAAAGCTTTCTCCAGCTTAGTTCTTGCTTATACAAAGACTGAAGGTCTCTGCTGCAGGTATTAAAGCATTTGAACTTAATTCCGTCTTTTCTTATTGTGTTAATCTGGAAGAAATTGTATCTGATTGTGGATGCTTGGCAACTCCATCGATTAGGTTGCAAGGTGTTTCCTTTCGGCTGCAGTAATGTTAAACATCCAGCATATTGACTAAAATGTTAGGGTGGGGCGTGTATGAGAATTCGATTTACAGTGATGATTATCTATAACAAGGGAGAAGATGATGATCTTGATACACAAGTTTTGCATAGAAACGGTTTACAGACCTTTCTGAAGACGTTAGATTTGTGCAGAAGGTTTTATGATGGTTCAGAATAACACAGACGAAAATTTCATGGTATTCACGATAACAAAATTTCCAGTAAAAAACCATTAGATATCAGTTTTTCTGTACAACAAAGGAAGGTTAAACTCTAAGAGAGAGGGAAAGAGATATGGTAGTATTTTTTGGCCTACGCTGAGACTAAACATTCCTGGCTGAAAACTGACGGAGCTTGACTTGGAGGTCCAATTGCTTGGGGAAGACAAGTTCAACTCCTCCTCCTGATTGTGTGAAGTATCTTTCAAGCAACATCTGCAAGTCAGTAACAATTCGAGAATGCTGAGCCTGGGTATTCTAGAGGAAAATGAGCTCAAAAGTGCAAACCAAGTAGAGATTGGCAGATACACACCGCGGCAGCATATGCATCCAGCCTTCCATGACGATCAGCACTGTTGAGTCCCCTGAAGCAACATTTGCAGATTAATAAGCCAATCTAACAACAATCAATATGATGAATTCAACGTCATGTCGCTTATCAAGCTTCCTCAAACTTTTTTTCCACATATTGTGTGAGAGGTTAGTAGTAAGCGGGCTATACTATTCCCATGACTCAAAACACATTCTCTCTGTCATTAGAGCACCACATTTATCATACAAACTTATTTCAACTGCTTAATAAAGAATTCATTCTGGTAGTTGTACAAGAACAGAGGTGAAGGTTGGCAACACACTTAATAGCGATGGAAGAGAGAGGAACATAATTAACTTACTCGTCTATCATCTTATGAAGGGCCTCAGTAGATGTCCCATGCTCATTCTGCAAGTAAACTCGCCAACCCCTGCATCGGAATTGACATCAGTGATAAATTGTTGGGGGTATACATGGTTCTTAAAGGCTAAGTTTTAAAAGACAACTAAACTAAGCAATTTAACGTATGTGTAAAGCCTTCAGTCGGTCCTGAAAGGATAACAGTATTAGTTGCAGAAGAAATGAAATTGATTGCAAAGCCTTGGAAAGAGAAGAACAATTGAGTCATGTAATACAAAAGGAAAAAATTTCAAACATTCCACATTCTCATCTTACAAATTCTATTGCAAAAAGCAAGTTCACTTCAGGTTGTGCATGAGTTTACCTCTCAGCAGCCCGAATCGCAAGCCTACCAGCAACACTACGAACTTTATTAGACTGCGGCGTTTCCTTCCCATCAATTGATACTGGAAGGCCTATAATAAACTCATCAACCTCCTATATTCCATGTGAAACAGAACAAAGTGAAATTTGAAGTCATTCACAGTAAAAGAATCACTTTAAAAACAAGAAAAGGAAAGCAGCATATGGAACCCGGCCAACCTTATACCCAAAAAGAACCATGATACAGATCACTAGAATTACACAAACAGCAAAATCCTCAACCTTTGGATTAAGGAAAGAATGTAGACATACCTTACTTTGAGCAATATCGAGAAGGCGGAGCTCCAGCTTTTGGCCTTTCAATTCAAGAACCTAAAACCTCTTTTTGTCCATCAGCCCATACAAATAATCCAAAAATAAACAAGTCTATCCAGTAAATTATAAAAATACAGTTCTGATTGAGGAAAAAATGAAAAAAAAGAAAAAGAGGGAAAGAAACAACGAGGCAAAATTGCCGAAACATATTAGTACTGCTTACAGTTAACGGACGAATGACGAAGCCTTTGCTGATGGCAAGGCCGGTACGGGCGGAACCCAAGTCTACTCCCAGGCTGAACCCACCTCTCCATAAGGAATCTTCCTTCCGGAGCCGTGCATTTGGCGGAATTTCATCTTCCAGTGACGGCGCCGCCGCTTTCACTGCTCTTCCACAGGAAATGGGATGAAAGCGTATGGTTTTATGCGCAATTTTACAGTTTCCATCGGGCAGAAATTGGGTTCTAATCGGCAGTGATTGGGATATGGTGATGGCGTTGATCGGTGCTGTGGCACCTGTCATGGATTATGTTCTCCTTCATTGGAATATCCCGCTGCTGAGGATGAAGATTTAGGACAGATTATTCGGGTTTGAAATTGCATCCTTGACCTCAAAGTTTGCCTATTATGGGGCTTCAGCCCTTCAAGTTTTCCCCCATCATTTGCCTGTTAAACACATGATCAATAATAAGGTGCAGGGAAATCATCAATTTATATTGCAAAATTCCATTCACTATCACTTTTTTTTTTTTTTTATAGAAAAAACCAATAAATGTTTAGTAATGATGAAGAGGCATGCCATGACAGTGACTCTACAATATTATCATTATACACATAAAAACAATATTTCAACTTTTAGTTTTAACAATACAATAGTGATATAAACATTTGACCAAAAAAATAAAATTGTCTCGTAAAATTGGTGTATTGACATATAAAAAAAAAGATGCAATAATTTTTATATATTTATTTGTTTTATGGGACAAAATATAGTTTCAAAATCATTTGCACCACTATTCAAGTTGTCGTGATGTAATCTTCTTTTGATTTTGCATGTTAGTTAAATATTTCTTAACGTTATGTCGATTATTAGTGTCAATTATTGTATAAAAAGATATTAATGTCAAGTCATACCCCCTATTACAAGTTGACAAATAAATGCTCAAAAATCTTCTTATTTGACAAACTAGTGCCCAAAAAATATTCTCTAGTTGTTAGTGGCTTTGTAATGTTGCCGATTTATCCCAAAGTTATGTAAAAAGAAAAGGCATAGTATAGGTCTTTTTATTTGAAGAAATGGATTCATAAAGTGATAAGTGGTGCTATGACATTTTACTTTTTGTTGGTAAGCAATTTTAAAATATCATGAAAACAGTTTCTCTTATCATCACCTATTCAATAATTGTTCTTTATTGATGTTATTAATTTTTTTTATACAACAAAAGAAATATAACATGTAATTTGAAAATTACGCTATTATATTATGAGAATATATAATACAATTCACGTCACATTGCACCCAAAGTTTAGTGAACATAGAAATTCAACCTATTTAATTTATGGTTGTCGTGTTTAAATTCATTTAAAACCTTGGATCAATGATGGCAAATATAGCCTTTTATTTTATTTTAATTTTTTGTATATTTTGGCAGAATACAGCCTTTTATAAATTTGAATGAACAAAAATCCTAAAAGCTAGGTATGATTGTTTGTACTGTTGGCGTTTGTACTGAGGGTAAGATACTAGAATTGAAGAGTTTGACGTCTCTCCAGAGGTTTTCAAATTAATTCAGGGACTGCTAAATCAATTTGTTCTAATTGATTGATAATTAGTAATTAATTTCCCATCGGAAATCAATTTCCGGGAAAAAAAAAACGCCCGTTTCATTTCTGCTTTCCACTAAACCCAAGTCATCTTCCTTTCCGAGCCAACCAGGGTTTAACTGATAAACCCTAAACCTCAGTCATGGCTCGGAGCGTGAGATCCTCCGCCACGCGCCTGCTGTACACCCTCTGTTCCGGCGCGAAAGCCACACCCATAACTCCACAATGCCCGCCGAAGTCCCCAGTTGCGGCTTTATTTGCCGGTGAATTCCAAATACGCTACTTCTCCGCCGGCAGCGCTGCTGCTGCGAGATTGAAGGAGGAGAAAGAGGCTATCTGGAAGGAATCCCTGGAGAAGGTACGGAACATCGGGATATCGGCTCATATTGACTCCGGCAAGACCACGTTGACGGAGAGGATTCTGTACTATACGGGTAGGATCCACGAGATTCATGAAGTGAGAGGGAAAGATGGAGTTGGGGCGAAGATGGATTCCATGGATTTAGAGAGAGAGAAAGGAATCACAATTCAGTCTGCCGCCACTTACTGTAGTTGGAAGGATTATCAGGTGACGTACTTACATTTCAATTATTTTAGTATCTCACTGTGGATATATCTTTTAATTGAAGTTCTTTTGGCTAGATGGTGCGAGAGATACTGGAAATGGAGATGAGTTAGGTTAGGAATCGAAAAGTTGGAAAGGAAGTAACTTATCGTTATATTTTAGTATCTCACTTTTGTCTTCACTTAGTTGCAGAATCAATTATTTTAGTATCTCACTTTTGTCTTCACTTAGTTGCAGTACCGCTAACTGATCTCTGTTCTGTAAAAATGAGAAGGAAAGTACAGATGTGGTAAATGTAAATGATTACACAGTGGAAAATGATTGGTGGGGGGGCTTGTTGAGCATTGAGCTAAATATGTTTGTGGTCTTTAAGTGAAGACAGCAATGGGAAGTTTGGGTGGGAAGTGTGTCAGATTTTGAGTTTTTGTGCTCAAAGATAACTTCAATCTTGACTTGAAATTGAAACAAATTAATAGACTCCTTTGTTTTATTTTTTGAGTTCTGTTCCGACTGCAAGAGAGGGATTTTGTGTGTTGTATGTATAATTTCAATTATCTGCATGTATTTTTATTCCAACATTCATATTTTCCAATGTAATAGTTTGGTTTACCTTTTTGTATTTTGTTTGATGTGATTTTCTAGGTGAATATAATTGATACACCTGGACACGTAGACTTCACAATAGAAGTGGAAAGAGCTTTGCGTGTTCTTGATGGTGCCATTCTTGTCCTCTGTAGTGTTGGTGGGGTGCAAAGTCAATCTATCACTGTTGACAGGCAAATGAGAAGATATGAAGTTCCGAGGGTTGCTTTCATTAACAAACTAGATCGCATGGGTGCAGATCCTTGGAAAGTTCTAGATCAGGTTTGTTACATTATTTAAACAAATGGATATACTGGTTTATAAGCGGCCATAATTTTCTTCTTGGAGCTGTTTTTAATTTTTGTTTGTTGTTTTCTATTGATTGGTAGGCCAGGACCAAGCTTCGACACCATAGTGCTGCTGTGCAAGTGCCAATTGGTTTAGAGGATGATTTCCAGGGCTTAATCGATATTGTGAATATGAAAGCATATTACTTCCATGGTTCGAGTGGGTCAGTTTTAATATATATCGTTCCTATGATTATGTTCGTCTTTACCATCTCCTTTACTTAATTGTATGAACCGTCCTTTTTTGCTTTTTTCTTTGCTGTCAGTGAGAAAGTGGTCGCTGAAGAAGTTCCTGCAAATATGGAAGAGCTCGCCATGAAAAAGCGTCGGGAACTTATTGAGGCAGTCTCTGAGGTTGATGACCAGCTGGCTGAAGCATTTCTAAATGACGATCCCATATCATCTTCTGAACTTGAGGTTTGAATGCCAAACCCTTTTCCTGGATCAAATTGTGATTAATTGGTTTTAGAAACTTGTTAGTTTTTCTTATACTGCTGTTTGTGAGATTCATTTTTTTACGTAGCAGAATTTTTATCCGTCATTTCTACTACGTGCATAAATTTTTTCACCTTGATTGCAAGAACATTTTTGTTGCCAACCTTGTGAAAAGCTACTGATCATGGTCTGTGCTTGTATGTTTAAATATACGTGGGCCTGAAGCTATACTGTGTCGTGACACTATGTTAATGAAAATTGTTGAGATTTTTAATTAAAGTTGTAAAGGAAAAAAAAAAGAGAGAGAGAGAAAGAAATGCCGCATTGTGATTTCGGTGGATAAGCACAAATTATGAACTATCTTAGAGTCAAGTTCGGATATTGATGTTTCTTGGTAGTCAGAGCGCTACCCTTAATTCACTTCTCTAGTTTCCATTTAACTTGTTCTAGTGCACACTTTTTGCCTACTGAAAAGATTTTTGAAACTTGATGATCCAATGTTAATCTTTGTTGATCCTGTGCTCTGCTCCCTTCCCTTTTGATAGGCATTGGGAAACCTCTTAAGGTAGTTCCAGTCTTGCAATTGATAGTGGACTCAAATTATAAATTATGGACTGCCAATTACTATGCACGTGTGGAAACTTGCCAAGTTGGACATACCTTTCCGTAAAGTTTTCTATGCGTTAGATGTGATGCTTCGAAATGCTTCTTTATCTAAAGCTTTTAAGTTGTTTTTTTGGGGTTTGATTCAAAATTTGAAGTATAAACATTCCACATTTTCTCTATTTTCCTTATTTATCAATATTGAAATTGTTTCTCTTACCTGGCAGGAAGCAATTAGAAGAGCTACTATTGCAAGAAAATTTGTCCCTGTATTCATGGGCAGTGCATTCAAGAACAAGGTCAGAACTCATAAGCATTTATTTCTTTAATTGATGAAACACAGTTTGTTTTATTCTGTTGCCAAAAGTTCGTCGATTCTAAGTGTTTTCTTTTGCTGGCATGCACATGTTCCACATCTCTTTTAGATGTGAAAAACTTAAGATAGTACCGCTGGTTACGCTCTGTATATTTGTTTTGCATTCCTGCCCATCAATTATTCGGAAGTTAAGTGGAAGATGAGTTGTTTAAAGTCTGAACTTGTTAACTACTTCCAAACTTACACACTTCCTCATTATTTATGAATGAGGCAGAGGGGTTGTAAAATGCTTCCCATGTCTTTTTTGGCTATTCTGACATCATCATTGATAATTTCTCACTTGCTTCTCTTACCTTTACTGGAGTTCCATAACTTGTCTAATCAAAAGTGTGCAGATTCTGTTTACTTATTCTTTTTGTTAAAATATCTTGTATTTCTGAGTTCAATTTATTTTGCGAAGAATGACTTTTTACTGTTTTTTCCTGCTACTTCTGGATGTCAGGGGGTGCAACCACTTCTAGATGGTGTGCTTAGTTATTTGCCTTGCCCAGCTGAAGTTACTAACTTTGCACTTGATCAGACAAAGAACGAAGAGAAGGTAACAACAAACTGGAATTCTAGGATTTAATACTTTGCTAACTTCTTCTGTATGAACTGTAAGCTCGTTTGGTGTGTGGCAGGTTGCTTTATCTGGGAATCCAGCTGGTCCTCTAGTAGCCTTGGCTTTCAAATTGGAAGAAGGACGTTTTGGTCAGTTGACATATTTAAGGTATATCACATTATTTACTGATTTTTGTGTTTAGCTCCGATACCACTTTTCTAATTGGTTAATTGCTTTATGATACTCTTGGTTGGACAGTAGTTTTATGCCTACTCTTCTGCGCAGGATATATGAGGGTGTCATTAGGAAGGGAGAATTTATGGTCAATGTTAACACTGGCAAGAGAATCAAGGTGAGTCCATCATGGACCATCCTCCCGTTACATATAAGTTCTTTCCATTCATGTTAACTCGGGTTTAGGACTTGCAGTGAGCACTATCTCATTGGATTAGAACTTACTAGTGCAGTATGATAATAGATGTACTTCGAAGGTGAAATGTTTGTGAAAATAACTCCTCTCCGGTTTCATTTTGTATCAGATTCCACGATTGGTCCGGATGCATGCGAATGAAATGGAGGTTTGATGTTTCTCCGCTTTATGTATCTTTATAGCGTACTTGCATTTTATTTTCACCTATGGAATTTGGTTACTTATATTCCATGATTTTCTCTCTTTCCTTTGTATTGGAATGGGTAGTTTTTGTTTTAGTTAGTAATTATTCTATCATTTTCAGACCATCGGAATCAATTTCCTCAATTGGCCTGAAACCAGTTACTTTTTCTTGATTATACTCTATGTTAAACGTCATGCCTTGTTTGGTCTTTTCATTGCCCTTTTGTTGTGCTTGGGGTTTTCCTGATACAGGACATACAAGAAGCACATGCTGGACAAATAGTTGCTGTTTTTGGGGTTGATTGTGCTTCAGGTTTGATGTTTTTTAATTTTTTCTGAAGAGTGATACTTGGTGAAGCTTTTGTGAAAGTTTTGCTTATAAGCTCGTTGATGTGATATCAGGAGATACATTTACTGATGGGTCTGTTAAATACACTATGACATCAATGAATGTCCCTGAACCAGTTATGTCCCTGGCTGTTTCACCTGTTTCCAAAGATTCCGGGGGACAGGTGAGTGGTGTTCAAAGTTATTTGTCTACACTCTGGATTCTTTTTTTGAATATTTTTTAATTGTTGTTACGTATCGTCTTTGGCAGTTTTCCAAAGCTCTGAATCGGTTTCAGAAAGAAGATCCTACCTTCCGTGTTAGTTTAGATCCAGAGAGTGGCCAGGTTTGCACCACACAGCTTGATAATTTTTATGGTTTCCCCTGCTTTGATGCTGAACTCCATTTGAGGGAGGTGGGAAGGCAGGCGGGCATGTAACGCCTGACATGGGTTTGATCTGTTTGTGAGCAGACAATTATTTCTGGTATGGGAGAACTGCATTTGGACATCTATGTTGAGCGGATAAGAAGAGAATATAAGGTGTCCTTTTTCCCCCTTGGTAGTTAGTTACAGATTGAAAATGTTCTACTGGAGTTTGAACTGAAAAGAGTTATGCTAAATTCATGATTTCTTTTTGGCTCATTGCTAATCTTACCTACTTTCCTTTTTAAGGTTGATGCAACTGTTGGAAAACCTCGTGTTAACTTCCGGGAGACTATTACTCAGCGAGCTGACTTTGATTATCTGCATAAGAAGCAAAGTGGAGGGCAGGGTCAATATGGAAGGGTTATTGGGTAAGTAGAAACATGTTCTTTCATATGAAGTCTTGTTTGTGTTTTAACTGCTTTGTTGTTTGAAATGAGGGATAAGTAGGGGCGTTGTCTGAAGTTCATTGGCCTCAAATTCATGTTTTTTTCCCTTTAATAATCTTCTTATTCTTATCAACTGGTGAATGATTTTCCTTTTTTGTGGTTTTTTGTTCCCTAGCTTCCATTTAAACTTTATGTTCCCATATTGTATATGTGAGTTACTAAATTTTTTGTTACTGGGGTTTTCTGTGGGGTCCTTTCTGGAATTGGTAGCTGTTGTTCCCGAGCTTCCATTTAATCTTCGTGTTCCCATATTGTATATGTGAATGATGGTTAACTATTATCTCTGAGGTTTTTTATCGGACTTCCACTCTGGAGTTCTTTTCCTTGACCACATTACAGATACAAAAAATTTGGAGAAGGAAATCTAAAACAATAATATTGGAGTATATCATCGAAAAAGCGCCTTGATGTGACAGTTGTGCTTTCTGCTGTCTCATTTTAGCTTTACTAAGTGGAAGTTGTGTTTGCTATCCCCTATGAATGGATAATCCTTGGTTCACTTACAAGGTGTAATGGCCTTATATCTAATTTAACCTTATATCTAATTTATTTACCTTCTGAGGCTTGATGTTCCTTTTTTCCCTTGTTTTATCTGGTAAGTTCTGACCAATATCACTTGATTACGCAGGTATGTGGAACCACTTCCACCGGGTTCGTCTTCTAAGTTTGAGTTTGAGAACATGATAATTGGACAAGTTATACCATCAGGCTTCATTCCAGCAATTGAAAAAGGTTTTAAAGAAGCTGCAAACTCGTAAGTCTTCTGATTTTATGTTTGACATTAATTATGGGTTTAATGATCAATACGAGTACAAGTTCAGAAGTTTTTTTTCGCATTATCGACCAAGCCTGAAGAGGCAGAAAGCAAACATGCCCTTCTGAGTATATAGCAAACAGTACAATATCCAATTGATGTTCTATCTCATGATTGTTATTTCTGGGATTTTGTATAATGTATCTGGTACTTTCCTCTGTGAGTCAATATTGTACCTGCCCTTAGCCATCAGATCCCTGCAAATTGTATATGAAGATGCATGAAATGTTTTTGCTTTTATTTTTGGGAGCTTTGGCTGCCTCGTGCTGTAAATTTATGACACTGTTGAATGTGCTGTTTCTTTATTGATTTTTTTTCCATCAATGATTCTGGTATATTATTATTCCTATCACCTCTTGTTATATCTTGGTGACAAGTTTATTCTCAGTTTCAATTATGCTCAAGTTGAAGACAGCTGTGGACTTGTCTTAAAGTACTTTTTCTTTGTAGATGTCCAGTTACAATTGCTTTCTTATGATTTTAACAGTTTCCTGCATGTTACAGTGGGTCTTTAATTGGTCACCCTGTTGAGAACATTCGTATTGTTTTGACGGATGGATCTTCCCATGCTGTTGATTCAAGTGAACTTGCATTCAAGCTGGCTGCTATATATGCTTTTAGACAGGTGTTTTATTTATCGTGATATCATTTCTTCATTTCTTCGTTTCTTTGTTTTGTTCCACAATGATTCTGATCTGTGATATTTTTTGGCAGTGCTATGCAGCTGCAAAGCCCGTTATATTGGAGCCAATAATGTTGGTTGAGCTGAAAGCTCCTTCAGAATTTCAGGGCGCCATTACTGGTGATATCAACAAGTTAGTAATCAGAAGATGCTTTCAGTTATGTTATGTCATCGTCTCAGTTATGGACATTATTCAAGGATTCATCCCTGACTTGTAACTCTTTTATCTGTTGCCAGGAGGAAAGGCATGATTGTTGGGAATGACCAGGAAAATGACGACTCTGTCATTACTGCCCACGTACGTATCACCTTCTTTGCATCATTTGTTACTCTCCCACTTTCATATACTTTCTCCTCTTGGATGAAAAATAATAAAATATATGGCAGTCTGTAATATCCTAGATTGTTATAAACTTATGATAGTAGAATGAACATATCCCCATGGAACTCTTGTTAATATCTTCAAAACTTTCTGTTCCTTTTTTCCTCAGGTTCCTCTTAACAATATGTTCGGATATTCAACATCTCTCCGATCAATGACCCAGGTAAACTAAATACCTACAATTGAAGTTATAGTTTCAAGCAAATATTGCATCTTACGCTCATGACTTTGTTCTTGACAGGGTAAAGGTGAATTTACAATGGAATACATCGAGCATTTACCAGTATCCCAGGATGTCCAGACACAGTTGATTAACACATACAAGGCCGCAAGGGGTGGCTCATAACTGGTGGTTTTACTAAGTACGAACCACATAATGTACTATTCATATCCGAATTTTGATATCTAAGTTTGTGATTAGTCTTTGAGAAGAACATAGAAGTCCATCCAATTTTGAGAAAAGCATACGAATAAAGGTTTGTTTGCTCGGTCATTATGTTATTGACTCGCTCACACACAATTCTGAGGGTTGTATCATAAAGCTAGTCATTTATAGTACGAACTTTGGTAGGAATTGATCTCTATTTTATAGCTCTGAAAGTTTAATATTTAAAGTAGAGCAGTTTTTGAAGCCTTTTGATGAATATAATACCCCTCCATTTTAGGTATAAGAGTATGCGTGTGAAGGAAATAAAATTAAGGATATAGTAACATATTTTGTGTATTGTTCTTATTAAGAATAGTGCAATTGAGCACTGGATTTTCGGTAATACTTATAGGTATTGACCCCGATTAGAATGATAGCTCTCTTTCAAGTTTCAAGTTTCTGCACATAATGCAATTGTCCAAGGCCAATTATAAATGCTACTACCTCCGTCCTAAAAAATACTCCCTCCATTTCAAAATAAGTATCATTCTAGAGTTTGTACATAGTTTAAGAAAATATTAAATAAGGTAACTAAATTACTAGAATATCCTCAATCAACCCCATTAAAATAAATGTTCCCCAATAATATTATTTCTTTTGAGGGTATGTTTAGAAATTTTTGACAAAAAATACATTGAAATTCGAAAACGATACTTATTTTAGAATTTCTCCATTTTGTCAAAACGACACTTATTTTGGAATGGAGGGAGTAATTGATATTGAGTTTTGTACTACTATATTTTTTGGACGGAGAGAGTATAAAACTAATGTGAAGAAGCAGAAGATCGTATGTTACCCAAATCTATTGAATTTCATTTAAGAAATTCACTTTGACTATATCTTGATCTCGGTTATGATAGACATTATAAAATATTGAACTCTCGACTTATTTAGAATATTATTTTTATAAAATACTCTTTCTGTCTTAAAATTATTATTCAAACCAGGTTTCACTTTTAGTACAATTTGAACTAAAAATGAAAACTAAAACTGGACAATAATTATGGGACGGAGGGAGTAGTTATATTGGGATGTTAAAAGTAGTATTTGTTTCTTATCGTAATATTTGATATTCTTAGTATGAAACCATAACGCTAAATAATAGAAAAAGAAAAATACTCTTTTTAAAAATATAATATATAATAATAAGAAGAAAATAGGATTACACGAGAAAAATGGAGGGGAGCAATAAGATGATATTCTCTACTCCTCAGATTTCTGGCGGGAAATACCAAACGTCCACTCCTCCCCATTCCTCCTAGGGTTTTATCGGGCGCACTTCTGCGATGTCATCCACCTTAGACGATTTCTCCCAGTTCGGCATCTCCCATGAGGTATTCCCTGATTCTCTTCCTCCCGGTTTCTTTTATCGCCTGAATTAACTGAATTGGGGGACTTTTAATAAAAACGAGGCCTTTTTTTGCTCCGAAAGAAGTAATTGGGAATCGGAAATGGGTTAAACAGGAGAAGGACAAATTGGTTGCGGAATTGATTCGCTATGTGTTGTTCAAGACGGAGCAGAACAACGGTTGCCCGATAAAGAGGGAAGAGCTCACTCAGATTATTACCGATAAGAAATATAAGCAGAGGAATTTGCCCAATTTTATCATCAATGAGGTCAAGTCAAAGCTCTCCACCATTTTTGGGTATGATATGCGGGAGCTTCAGCGATCTCGTCCCAGCAGTGCTACTGCTTCTTCACAGCAATGTAAGAAACCCTTTGGTTATTTCTTCCATTATAAGTCATGGCTTTCTTTTGTTACCATTATCTGTTTAATTCTTCTTTGGTTTTTGCTTGTTACTAATTTACAACTTATTTATATGTCCAACTTTCTTTTTTTTTTTTTTATTGATTCCGTAATTTTGAGTGAGTTTATTAGTCTTATTATGGAGAAAATGGGGAACTCTTGCTTTATAACTAAAGTAATGACTGTAAGGAAAGAAGTATGTTTTGAGTAATTTAGCCAGCCCCTCATTGTGGGATTCAGGTTTTTTCTTGTTGTTGAAGTGTGATTTGAGTAATTGGTGTTAGTAGATGATTTTCTGTTGAAGGTCGGCATAGATGATGTAGCTATTTTTGTTAGTTCCTGTCATTTTTGATTTTGCAGATAGTCTTTGAGTTTATTACCTTCTTTCTTGTTTCTCATTTACAGCCGATGCAAAATCTTATGTCCTCATAAGTAAGTTACCTGCTGATGTGTATCAGAAGTTTGTGGAGAATCATGATACCGTACATCTAACTGGTTTTACTTTCGTTGTTCTTGGCATTGTTCATCTTGCTGGAGGCAAGATCACTGAAGGTATGCCTTCTATCTGGGGTTTTATGCTAAGTATTTGTTATCCAAGCAAAATTCGTGAAATTAGTGCTCGAGTTAGTAGGTATATTGGTAGCCAATTTTATTTGCAAGTTTATTTTGGTTCATTGCTGAATCGGTCTCTCTTCTTTACTTCTGTGTTCATGCTTAAGTATTTTATTGTCTGTTGTTTAAAGATTGGAAAAACAAAGGATTAAGAAGTATTACAGGATAATATCGGAAGGAGGGAAACAAACTTCAGTTGTCTCTACTTAATTAATGGAACAGGCTTAGCATCATGAGTTGATCAGTGATTCTTGTTCATTTTTAACTTCCTATTTTATTTCAGTGAGCACTTGTATCTGTCTCTGGCGCTTGTGTCCATTTTCTTTTTCTTTCTGTCATTGTAACGTTTGCCACTTAGAGCTTGATGTACTTTCTGCTGCTTTGTAGAAAATCTTTGGCATCATTTCAGGCGGTTGGGTTTGTCTGATACGGAAGACAGTCATCCAGTTCTCGGTAACACAAAGCAAGCCTTGGAGGCTCTTGTTCAGCAAAGGTCAGGATTATATTCTGAAGTCAGTTTCTCCCCCCGCTGTATGTTGAATATTATAGCAGTTCAGACAAGTATTTTTGGCTGTTACAGTATGGGCTTTGAATTACTTTGTTTGTAACTCACTCTCTCTTTTTTAATTCTTTAGGTATTTACAGAAAGACAAAGTTAATGGCACTGAAGGTAATACTTTATACTATGAGTTTGCTGAGAGAGCACAAGATGAAGCGGTTTCTCGTAAGATAAAGGATTATGTATCTCAGGTAAATCTTATCATTCTTTCCTCAATTTGCTGGTTGGCCTATGGTGATAGGAAGGTCCGGAAATGTTTCTCCCCATCCTTATTCCAGTCTGAAGCTGCATAATATATTCATTCCAAAGCTTAATGAATAGCAGTTTGTGATCTTGGCTTGTTAATTAAAATTCCTAATGTTCAGATGGTGCAGAAAGATGTCTCCCCAACTGATGGTGATGATGCTGATGATTGATGGTTCATTACTCGTTGGAGATTAGGTAAAGTCTGCTGTACATAGCTGAGGTGTTGGTTAACACTCTTTGTGCGAGACCCAAGAAAAGAAGTCTAGTATCTTTGTTGTATGGCGGTGATAAAAGATGAAAGACAAATATTGATCTCTGGTGGAAATTAGAATGTCTACAACATTTGATCTAGTTAGCATTTGCTGTTTGATAATTAAAAATGTAGATGTGCAGCTGTTGAACTTATTACCAAATTCTACTTCCAGTTTTCAGTATGCAAATGCACCTTAACTAGAAACTAAAACGCAATCGTGTTCTTTTTATAAAACATTTTAATTTGTCCTAATTTTAGTTTTTCACGTTTGTTCTGTGTTCCCTTAATTATCATAAAGTATTTTGAATTCATTTCAATTGAAAAAACACAACAAATAAGAGAATCAAAACATCTTATAACAAAGACCGCAAGAGTAACAAGTAGCAGGGGATCTTGTGGTACAGTTTAGTATCACAACTTCGATCACTTTCATCAAGTTTTGACACGTGCATTCATCTTTTGTCTTTTAAAGGGTTCGTCTATTAGTTGTAACATTTAGCCATCAAAATATTGTCCTTAATGGTTCATCTACCACCAAAGTGATGACAATATGCACATTCTTATCGATGGAGTTTGTTTTTTTTGAGCTAAAATTTTTGAACAGTGTATCAATCATAGTAAGAAAGAAGTTTTAACACGAGAGGGAGCATTAAATCATTGGCAACTTAATCATTTTTATATATAGAACTATATAAAATTAACCAGATTCGTGTTGATTTTGCTAATTTCATTCAATCATTTCGTCAATTACAAGCTTTGGCCACGTATCTACCTATCTTGCTCTATTTTTCCCAGATTATACGTATTCGCAACTTCTAAAAACTCATTTCTCAATTCCCTAATAGGGAAAAAAATAATTTATCATGTTTAGTCCTTCATATTTTGATAAATTATTCGTTTTAGCCATCAACGTGTTGAAATTTAACCCCCAAAAAAATGGAGTTTTTGACCTAAACAATTTTCTTTAAAAAAAGGTAGACCAAATTAATTTTTTTGAAATTTTTGTGGACAAATCTATATCCTTCGGATTTCAAAAATCCGAATCCGAGGTAAACTCGGATTTCGGAAATCCGAATTTAATAGAAAACGGATTTTGAAAATCCGAATTCATTTTAATTAAAACTAAAACTAATTATCCGAATCCGAGGTAAACTCGGATTTCGGAAATCCGAGTTCTCAATTTTAACTATAACTCGGATTTCGGAAATCCGTGGGATATATTCATGTCCACAAATATTCTGAAAAATTTAAATTTGTCCACCTTTGTTTTAATTAAATTTTTTAGGGAAAAGACCCAAAAAAATGATATTAGATAGAATTATCAAATTAATTAAATCTCAAGCATCCATCAGAGCTTAATCAAAAGCATCCATCAGAGTCGCGTCATGTATAGAAACTTAATCCAGTATTGGAGACGACAGTCCATCCTACTCATCATCAAATTTTCATAAGAAACTCAACATTTTATGTTAATCATAATCAAACAGTGACGTTAAGTATTTGCTTAGATATTTCATTTCTTTGTACAGAAGAACGTAGATGTTTATTGAACAAAAATGGTAATCCCAATACCAATAATAGTTGTACTCCCATCAACTTTGAATTCCAAATTTCAACCAAAGCAACTCTTAACATTAAATTGCTTATAATACACCTTGTAAGCAATTTAAGCAAATTACTTTTGTTTTTAAGACAAGGGCTACATTTAGCGATTTTTTTTTTTTTTTTTTCACGATGAAAATCTCGTATCAAAATTTTAAGACATTCACGTTAATTTCATATATAGCTATTGCTAATTCACTCATAATTAAGACCCTTTTATAGTTGGATTCGTTTGGTAAAGAGCATCTAGCTATATGCTAACTGTTGTTAACGAATAAATGTGTAGTACAATAAGTTAAACCCTACATCCCCACACCTTATCACTTGCGAAGTTAAAAATTTTCTTATTTACCTTGGTGTATTACGGGAGACGGAAAAAAAAAAAAAGGCTATTTGGCCATACATTATAGATTCATAGGCTTTCTTAATTTTACTTTTTTTTTTGTTAATTAAGTACAATAAGAACGGAAAAATCTAAAATATCAGATTGTGAAATTACGTAGATAATCATGGTATTCCTAGATTCAGGGCCTTTCACAGGCTTTCTTAATTCTAATAACAAACAAACAAAACGAATTTCATGATAAAGTGACCACATTGTGAAACGTCCAAAATGATCAGTTCTATTTTCCAATTCATGGTAACGGTGGACCACGCACTAATTATTTTCCTCGATTCTATTCAAGGGAATTGTGAAAATGAAAAAGTAAACTAATACAGTCTTTTTAATAAGCAATTACCTATAATTCTAAATAATAATGAGAGAAAATCTATAATGTAGCATTTTAATCATAGCCAAATTAGATGAATTTTCTAATCACCACAAATTTCTGATACAAGTGATTGGTAAAAAAAAATCATATGTTTCGTCACAAAATTTACGATACTATGCTCTATCTATATGAGTTAAGTCATTTTTTTTTCTTCTTTTTCCAAATTTATCAATACTCTCTCTGTTTCAAAATTATTGTTCAGTTGAGATATTCATTTTTAGTTCCATTTGCATTAAAAATGAAAACCTAATCTGAACAATAATTTAAGGATGGAGGAAATAAAACAACACAATTACACAAACCATGCATATACACCCAACACATCTTATCGTACCGCCACCATTTTCATAACGCTCAAGTTATCCACCTCGGCGATAACTTCATGTATCCCCATAAATAAAGCCTTTTTAGCATGGGGAATATTGTAGACGTGGGAAATATTCAAATAATACAAATTTAGTTGCTACAAGTTTTAACTAAAGGAGCTGGCAAACACTTGTATATAGCCCAGACAACATGAATTAACTGAAAGTAGCTTTATGCAAGAATGGCAATTTAAGCTTGCGTTTGCATGCATATGAATTCCAAGTTCAACAAGAAATCTTCTTTTCTTTTTTTCTTTTCCGTTATATCTCCAAATTCTTTTTGCCTTATTTTACTCACATGATCAAACTACATGTAAATAATAAATATCAATTTAAATTTTTTTTTTATACTAAAAAATACTCTTCATTAACCTCTTTGTTCTTGTGTGTTAGCTCTTCTATAAATGTCCTTTTGGTACTGCTTCTATTTCAATATCCTTAAACCATAATAAGTCTCTAAAGAAGAAGAAAGCAACTAGTCTTTCTTGCTTTCTTCTTCTTTTTTTAACTTCATTCCCAATATTACTACTGTAATAATAAAGGGAAAAAATTTTGTTGGCATCCGATCCAAGAAGGTGAGCATTTTGGCCGGAAGAAGAGTAAAAGAAATGGGAGGTGGATTGTTGCCTTTCTTGGCTATGGCTTTTGTTCAACTGGGCTATGCTGGAATGAACATTATATCAACAATTGCCATGGATTCAGGGATGAACCCTTTTATTCATGTTGCTTATCGACAGCTTTTTGCCACCCTTTGCCTTTTTCCCTTAGCTTATTTCTTGGAGAGGTACGTTATTAAATGTTATAAAACTGTCTTGTTCTTGTGAAATTGGAGTATTTCAATCTCTTGAACTACAATGCGTATTGAAGTTTTATCTGTTTTCTTGAACGCTCTGCACAATTTGTTGGACTAATTTTGGGTTCTTGAATAGTAAGTAATACAGTACTGATCAAAGTTACTGTTACATTCAGATAAGTTTATTCATATTGATGGGGGTTTAGAAGATGATTGTCATTGATTACGATTTCTACTGATTAGAGCACCAAAAAAGAAGCCAACTTTATGAAGTGAAGTATAATTTAGAATCCCATGGCCGACTAAAAAGATGCGTCCATGCATGCTTTGAAGCTTGGTTAATTCACGTGTTTTAACCTCTCCCCTGTTTTCTTGCTTTTATATGTTATCCACCTTTTCTTTCTTTTCGTGTGGATTTGAAAGAATTACATATGATGTTGTTTTAGTATTCCAGAAACGCATCATAAAGAAGAACGGATTCAACCAAATGTGGTAAAAGTGAAGTTGATGATGCAAACGCTATTAGATAACGGCTAAAGATACATTCTTTAATCTTTTTTTTTTTTCTTTTGCTATTTTTTAATTTTTATGGCAACCAAAACAGAGCCCTTCATCTTTATCAACAAATTGCTTATGTAAACCAATGGTTATGCATCCCAATTCGAACTCAGCCATGAAAATCAGGATGTTTTGGTCATTCAGAGTATCTTACGATTCTATTTAACTTCTAACTGATTCTGTGGAAGTAAAGGGGATTTTTGTTAGCTCCTCTGTTTTGCATCTGAAAATTTTGTATCTCTTTCTTTGCTGCAGGAAAACATGGTGCCAGTTAACTCGTTCCACGGTTTTCCAGATTTTCTTGTGCTCCATTTTTGGGTAAGCACTTTGATTATATAAGTTTATGTCTCTTCATAGAACAAAGAATTTTCATAGGTTATGATATCTGCTTTTTTTTTTTTTTTTTGGCTGAAAAAAATGCAGGGCAACTATGAATCAGATCACCTACTTTGTTGGGCTTAAACATTCAACTCCAACAATTGCATGTGCGTTGACAAATTTGATTCCAGCATTCACTTTTCTCCTTGCTGTTCCACTTGGGTACTAAATTTTTTCTTTCCACCTTCAGTTCTTCAATTCACAGTAGAAAAGAAATATTGATGTTTTTAATACTAATCCATCTATTATGACAGATTAGAAAGAGCACAATTTAGAACTAAGGCTGGACAAGCCAAGATATGGGGAACAATCATTTGTGTTGGTGGTGCTTTTGTGTTGTCCATGTACCATGGAGAAATTATCAAAATAGCCCAATCAAGCATTGACTGGAAATTAGCAGAACAATCAAGAAATAACAAAGTTAGCCACCATGGGAATTTCTTCTCTGGGATATTCCTTCTGATCATAAGCTCTGTTTCCTGGGCAGTATGGATAATCATCCAAGTGAGTCAGGACCAATGATTTCATCTGCATTTTCTTACCTAACTTTTTTTTTTCCATCAAAATGAACTCATATCGTTGCTTCTTTTTTCTTGATTTGTCATTAGGCAAAAGTGGGTCAGATTTACCCAGCTCGGTATTCTAGCTCAGCATTGATGTGTTTTATGTCCAGCATTCAGTGTGTGATCATTAGCTTATGCGTTGATCATAACTTATCAGCTTGGTCATTGCGTCCACCCATCCGGGCTATTTCAAGTCTTTATGCGGTACGCAATCTGCAAAATGAGGCCTTTTTTCAAGTTACTTAGGGAACAGAGTAAAGTATAATCTTGTTGGGATTGTGTATGTAAAAAAAGTGAATGAGAATGATGCAAATTGTAACTAACTTTTGCGTTTCATTCAGGCAATTGTATGCACTGCACTAGCATTTTGCATCCAATCATGGTGTATTGAAAAGAAAGGTCCTTTATACGTCTCTGTTTTCAGCCCTTTGCTTCTTGTCATAGTAGCTATTCTCAGTTGGGCTCTTCTTCGAGAAAAACTCTACCTTGGGACGTAAGTAAAATTAAAAACCCTCTGCTTGATTAAATAATTGAATCGTGAAATACCCTTTTGAGTCAAATTATACAATGGATTAATGGAAGTTGATCGATTCGTATAAACAGAGTTGCGGGATCTGTATTGATTGTGATGGGGCTCTACAGCGTTCTGTGGGGAAAAAGTCAAGAAGTTGAGCAAATGGAAGAAGAAGAAACGGATAAAGATGATGATGATGGAGCAGTTCATTGTGAGATTGAGATCATCAAGGATGATAAAGCGTTAGAGTCATGCAAAGTGTGACAGATGATGTATTGTTATTAGGATTATTATTATTATTATTATTATAATTGACCACAATTTCTTTTGACATCAAACATGTTTTCTCATTTCTGATAACGACTATTACGAATTTGTTAATGGAAGTCAACGAACTGCAAAGTGGTACAATAGTATATTTTGGTAATATTAAAAAAATCATGGTATTCTCTATGACCAATCGCCATGGTCAATACTTTGTCAATAAGCAAGCGAGTAGACTGATGGTCAAATTAGATAGATACGGATTCAACCATGAAAAGGAAAATAAAAATGCACGTTTGACTCATCAAACTGCTAACCATTTTAATCATAGAAAAGATTGCCATTTTTCTTTCTACTTGAATCCCACTGCTTCGGTTCTTGTAACATTGTGGTGGGAATTTGATTTATTTGCTGAACATTTGGGAAGGTAAGTGAAATCCGTATTTGGCTATATATCACATTTTCATTGCTTTCTTAATGTTTATTTTCCTAGGCAAAATTGGTACTGTGTCGGTGGACCATTTTGAATGTAACTTCTCTTTTCTTGGGGGAGGAGTTGGATCTTTCCTCGGTAAAGTGGTTTGGTAACTTGGTTTTGCCAAATGGGAAGGGTGAATGAGGGGGATCGGCTGTAGAAAAGCTTCAACAGATTAAAACCTTACTGGTTGATGTTATTTGGAGCTTAACACTTTCTCATAATAGTTTTGAGACTTAAATTAAAGCTTGGAATTTTACTTTGGTAATTGATCTAACACAAGAAGAGAAAAGCGCAGGAAACGATTTTTGTTTCCTTTCGTTCTAGAGCTCTGGTGTCTGTGTTGACAGTATCAGTTTGTTTGTTTTCCTGGAGATGTTTGTGTTCAAAACTGAATCTTGTGAGTTAAGACTAGGAGATGACTGGTGAAAACTGGAGTTTTGCTGCAAATAGAATTGGACTTGGTCCAATAGTTATATGTACAAATGGCAGGATTTGAAGGAAATATATATAATGGGTCTAGGTTCTTACTGTTTTTCTTTAGTAATATTCTTCAACTTTTGATTGTGTTCATTCTGATCTCGGCCTTGTGTTATAAGTTTAGGGATCCCACTGTGCTTCAATCCTGTCAACTTGATCAAACCACTTGAAAATGTGTAAGAGATATCATGACTAAGAGAGCTAATCATTATGATTGACAACTAGTCAGCTTTGCTTGAAATTCCTTGACGCGGCTGGCTGCTAATTGCTGTTTAACTGTTGCTTTCCCGTGTTACCTTTCTGAAATGGATCTCATTGCTCACCAGAAACATCAGTACCGGCTTTCCTAATTCATTTTCTGATGCTACACATATCAAAAGGATAGAAATGGGTGCGTCGCTCGCCAGGCTTTTCAGTACTGGATTATCAACCAAGAAAGAGATCAACATCCTGATGGTGGGTCTTGATGGTGGCGGTAAAACAACAATTTTGTACATGTTGAAGCGGGGAGAAATTGTTCCACACATTCCCACTGTCGGTATGTGCTTTGTTTTCGCTTCTGGTTTATTGCAATGCATACAATTCTAGTGGCCGAGGAAACTTGCATTTAGAAAGTCTCAAGTATTGTTCTTACCAGGTTATAATCTGGAGATTTTGGAATACAATGACCATGGACTTGTGACCAAATGCATAACTGAAAACTTGTTAAGACATGGACGATGACCTAATTGCCGAGGAAAGAAAGCTTATAATAATGATTGGCCTCTGAAGTTGAAAGAACATTGCAGCATTCTGCTTCTATGAAATGGCAACATATATCCTGCAATACTAATTTTACTGCCTTTTTTGTTTCCAGAGACCACCATATCTCAAGTGCTACTATCAAAATATTCGAGGGATTATTTATGTTGTTGACAGCAATGATCAGGATCGCATTTTTGATGCTAGGGATAACCTAAAATTACAGTTGGAAGAGGTATCAATCAAACCTGAGGCCCTCTTTCTTTTTGAGGTCACATTCTTGACTGATCTGCTTTCTCTTTTTTCTTTGAAATCCATCATCATATAAGTATGGCCTTAGAAATGTTTCCTTAAACAGTTTCATTTGGCAACCACAGGAGTTGCTGAAGGATTCAGTTCTGCTTGTTCTGGCAAATAAGCAAGATCTTCCCAATGCAATGAATGCCGAGGAAATCATCCTCAAACTTGGTCTTCACTCTCTTCATCCTCGCCTCTGGTAACATCAATCGCTTCACATATCTCTTGCTTTCTCGCAATTTCTATGTACCTCATACCAGAACATGGTTTCAACTCTTTGTCCCAGGCATGTTCAGAACACACGTGCTCCCAATGGGGTTGCACTCCATGAAGGGTTTGAGTGGCTAGCAAACAATGTATCCTACAATGTAGCAATCTTCTGATGTCTTTTCCCAAAAGCCGATAATTTGGAGTATAACATCTTGCCTGAATCACTACTTCCATGTGTTGTTGTTGCAGATACGGTAAACTAGAACTTGAAAGTCATTGCAATATATATGCTTGACTCTCAGTACTACATCAATGCTTAAATCTTCATTACCGGATCCACTGGAGGCGGACGCTTTTGATCTTGCTAAGTTGTCATTTAGGTACTGATCAATAATGTTGTCCTGGACTCTATCCAGCAGGTAATGGATCTTCATTGTGCAAAGAAAAATATGAAGGCTAGTATGGTTGTAAGTGCATCAAGCATATCATAATCTCTTGTATAAACTCCCAACTTGCGCGTTCTGATAGGGATTTCTTCTCATTTATACTTGCGAAACGGCCAAGAAACAGCAGACACTAATCTTAGGCCTCTCTATACCTACAGTTGGTTGGTTTTTTTGATGGGATTCTGATCTTCATATACATTCAACTATAAATAATAACTGCTCGTCAGTATAACACAAATCAATATAACAGATGAATCAATGTAACACAAATCAGTAAATAGCTATTCAACGAATTACTTATTTCTACATATATTAAATCAAGAATGATATCAATCCAATAGACAGAGGGAGATTTCTTTTGATTATGAGACAAAAATGACCAATATTGTTAACCGGAATGATAAAATTACAATAAATTTTGATTACTACTGATTAGAAGACGACGTCAACCGACAGACTACTATTGATCAGGTATTGACAATGGCAGTTTTTGATTGGTGCTGATCAGAGGACGTTGGTTGCCGGGATGACATCGGCGGTCGGCGGGGATCACTGCCCATCTAAAGACGTCGATGAGGTCATGACAGCCAGCCATTTAGTCCACAAAGTAGGAGGGTCATGTGATTCAGAAATATTACCAAACACCATATCAAATGAAGGCTTTTTTCGCCTGATTGAGAAATATTACCTTCTTGTCTTATACTAATTACTATAAACATTATATTCATTATCATGTAACAGTGCATTCAGTATCAGTAACTCTTGGAAATAGTAAAACAGAGTAGGCGCCACATTATTTCTTGGATTCAACTGTAATTTATAACAAAAAAAAAAAAAAGACTGAAAAATTTAATATGGAAGCTTTCATTATCAACTTCACTTTCTACATTTTCATAGCATTCGTTTCAGCATCAATGCTGTGGGAGGACTCAAAATCAGGTCAGACATCTCCTTGTCTCTCTCTCTCTCTCTCTCTCTCTCTTTTTTTTCTTATTTATTTACTGATTGATTGATTGAATAAACTAGCTCTCTAATGGAGTACCATCTTATTCATTTCACAACTATTGTCATCGAAAGTAATATTTACTAATCAGTTAATTAAACAGAGGGCTTCAGTATTAAGTATTAACTGTTCTTCTTACATATACAGCAGAAAGCAGAGGAAGCAGAGGAAGAGAGATTTGAATTGCTTGAAGATGGAAACTTTGACGGTCAGCTTGGTTCTTCTTGCAGCATTTCTTTTGACAGTTTTCGGCCTTTTGAAGGGATCCAAATCAGCCCAGAAGAAAAAGAAGCCACCTCCATCCCCATGGAAGCTACCCATAATTGGTCATCTGCATCATTTGAAGGGAGCTCCACCTCACCATGCGCTCAGAAGATTATCCCAGAAATATGGTCCCCTGATTCACTTACAGCTGGGAGAAATCCCCGCAATCCTTATCTCATCCCCGCGATTAGCCAAAGAGGTAATGAGAACTCAAGATCTCGCGTTTGCTAGCCGGGCCGAATTCATGGTTGGGAAAATCATTAGCTATGATCATGCCGATATTTCGCTCTCTCCATACGGCGAGTACTGGAGACAAATGCGCAAAATCTGCACCGTGGAGCTTCTCAGCGATAAAAATGTGCGGTCATATACCTGGATCAGGGACGATGAAGCTCAAAATCTCATCAGATCTATTGAAGAAGCTCTTGTAGATAGTTGTTCTACACCAATCAACCTGAGAGACAAGTTGGCCCAATACACCAGTTCCGTGGTGGTCAGAGCAGCATTTGGGAAAATCAGCAAAGATGTCCAGAATGAGTTCTTAAAGGTTATCATGGAAACATTAGGCCTTGCCAGTGCCTTTGAGATTTCTGATCTGTTCCCATCTCTGAAGATTCTGCATCCTTTCTTCTCTGTCAAGGGTAAGATTATGCAGCTGCACCGAAAGCTGGACAGGTTGTTGGACAACATTATCCAACAGTATCTCAGTGACAACGACTTAGCAAGATCGAAAAAAGAACGTGGTAATGAAGACCTAACTGATGTTCTACTGAGAATTAAGGATAGCAATGACCTTCAACTTCCAATTACAAACAATAGCATCAAAGCTGTGATGATTGTAAGTTTTGATTAATTTTTTTCCGACTCCTTAATTACACACATTCAACCCTGGATGCCAAAACATTTCAATTTCAAAAATTTGTGCAGGATATGTTCACAGGGGGAACAGATACTTCATTAACGACGGTGGAGTGGGCAATGGCTGAGTTGATTAGACATCCTGAGGTGATGGCCAAACTCCAATATGAAATCAGGACGGCTGTCAGGGTAAAGGGAACAGCAATTCAAGAGGATGGTATCCAAGAATTAGGATACCTAAAATCAGTGGTCAAAGAAACTCTTAGGTTACACCCTCCACTTCCTTTAATGGTTCCGAGAGAGAGCAGGGAACAAACCGAGATTGATGGTTATATCATCCCTGTTAAAAACCGAGTCTTGGTTAACGCATGGGCGATTGGAAGAGACCCTGAGTATTGGGACGATCCTGAAAGTTTCAAACCCGAGAGATTTGAAGACAGCGACATAGATTTCGCAGGAAATCATTTCGAGTTCATACCATTTGGCGCTGGAAGAAGGATATGCCCGGGAATATCTTTTGGCCTTGCTAATGTCTATCTTCCATTAGCCCTTTTACTCTACCATTTTGATTGGAAACTCCCGAATGGAATGAACCCTAAGGATTTAGACATGGCTGAGACTGTTGGCATAACTGTATCAAGAGCAAATCCGCTTCTCTTGATGGCAAAACAAATTGTATGAACCTTCCCTTCGAATAAACCCTCGTGACCGTGTCATGTGGTGCTTACTATCATCTTTTCATCTTGTTTAGTCAGTTTTACTTTTCGTGAGAAGTGTTTTGATTCAAACACATGGATCATCTATTGCCACTGGTTACTCAAGGATACAATGTTATAAATTGGTAAATATTTGTTTCATTATTCCGCTGTTTATTACTTAATAAGGAGTATAGTGTTAAATTTCAAATTGATTAATTTTTAATTTATTTGAAGGGTTTTTGTTTTAGCTAGGTTTTAAAATGAAATCCAATTCCAACAGTCCATTCTAAACATCTACAGATAAGGAATTGATCTCTATGAACTGGGACTACATGTGCGGTGTAAGATATTGAAAATGTCCATGTTTATGTTTTCAATCCAGGGAGAAACCACTTTTTTCTTTCAACAATAAAACATCCCCTCTTTTTGCTTATTTCATTCTTCGCTGTTACTTTATATTTCTCTTCAAATGGTTCAATCGGGCGATCGAGTTCAAGGAAACTCCCACCTTCACCACCAAAACTTCCTATAATTGGAAACTTTCTTTTTTTTTTTTGTCAAACTTTAGTTCTCTTCCCCATGGATCCCTCAAATCATTAGCTGAAGAACATATGGTCCTTTAGTGCTGCTACACTTAGGAAGCAAACCAACACTCATTATCTCATCTCCTCAAATCCCTGAAATGGTCCTGAAACACATGATCTCGATTACACAAGCAGGCCTAAAGCAAAATTAGCTGACTTTTGCACAAATTTAAGAACATGGGTTTCTTGCCGATACGGTGAATGTTGGAGACTACAGAAGCATTTGTGTGATTCAACTTCTCAGTTATACGAGAGTTCAATCATGTTTGCGCCATGGTTTAACTCTAAACGGCGGACCTCAACCATTGCAAACCATTTGTTAGCGATATCAAATAATCAACTACAATTTTTTTTAATAAGAAATTTGGTTTTGAAGTTTGAATCGGAAAGAATATCAGTTTTTTTTTCTTTAAAAAAACAAAAATTTAACCAAAAGGAGGAGGAGGAGGAAGCAGAAGCTATGAAATCCTATTTCATCGACATTGATAAAAAAGATACTCTCATATGAACTAAATCATATATATATATATATATATATATATATATATATATATATGAGTATGTACCCTGATGAGTCTTGGACGGGATGGAGGAAGAATACACCACGTTCATGAGAAAGTACTGATCCATTGCGACAAAATACAAAACCAAAAAAATCAAAAATATTAATTACAATATTGGTTCAAAGAAAACTTTTGCAATGTGGATATTTAGGGTTTTCTTATCAATGAAAGCAGTGTAGTAGTAAGCTCTGGCAACAATTAGAAATGTTTCCTTCACGTTTCGATCGATGATGTCATCCGAGGACTCATTTTGCACCACCAATTGCAACAACTCTTGCATGCTTTTGTCAATCTCCTCTGAGTTGATCCTCCCCATCTTTTGATTTGGCTTTCCATTTGTAGCCCCCTAGGTTGTAAAACGTACATGTCAGTCATGAACACCGATTATTTCTGAAGCATATTTATATTTAACTTGTAATTTGTAAATAGAGAATTGAGTGACGAGTCCATATCCATCACCAATATTGGACCGGTCCATCAACAGAGTAAAGAGTCCAACCGACTCTATTAAGACGGTTTGAGCAACACGAAACCTAATAGGACTTGGTTATCTCCCAGATAACTTCATGCCTATAAATAGGGTTGGTTATAGCACAATTAAGCTATGCTATCTCTAGCACAAATTACCATTCATATACGTTCTTAAAACCCTTTTACTGACTTAAGTATCGGAGTGTCTACCCTCAGAAGACCCCCGAGACCCTCTTTTGCAGAAAACCCTAACTGGAGTTCCACCACTAAGCCGGCGGTGTAAATCCAGGCCTCGTCATCGTGCAATGGCCTCGCGGTTAAGGTGGATGGCCTTCTTAAAAACAACACATGGTTGATTCCCTCCGAGTTGAAAGAAAGGGATTTAGGATGTGGGTTAGGGGGGAGGGGGTAGGATATAAAAGTAGGTAATAAAAAATATTATGAATACTCTTTCCGGTTTTAATTATAAAGTACATATTTAATTTTAATTTATGTCTTATAATCAGACCAGAAGGAATATAATATAAGACCGTATTATATCTATCTAAAATACCTTGAAAAACGAAAATATGAAAGTTACCTTGTTTTTCTGGTACTGACGAAGTTGAAGACAAACTTTGTCAGTTAAATAACATAAATGCTTGAATGACTTCTCCAGGGACAACAACTTGATTGATGAGACACTCGTAATATTTCCAGAGCAAAGGTTTACGATATGAGACAAAAATGCACCTTCGTGTGGGAATCTTCCATTTTCAAAACAATCTAAGGACTCAATCAGCCATGTCTCCCACTGTCAGAAAACGAGCACAATAATTTAAACATCCCATTAATTCTCACTTTTCTATTCATTAATTAATTTTTTTTCACACACATATTGTATTAGTCTGCAAACTACAGTTGAATGTAAAACATCGAAGGGAACCTCCGGGTGTCAAGTCTTTCAAATGCCTATAGGTAGAATGAGAGCCAATTCTCCCAATATGAAGTGAGGAGTTGAACTCAACACTTCCTTTAAAAAACGAGAGATATTTTACTACGGAACCAAAACATCGTTAATTTGCTTTTGATTTGTTAATTACTGGCCCTTTAAATTGGCTCAACGTGTCATGCATTTTTTGCATGATGTTTTTTTCTCCCTTAGCTTTTTCTTCATCAGTTAATTAATGTTCAAAGAGTTTGCTTTTATAACAAGTTATTTCAATAAGTTTAATGTATTTTTTTCAAGGTGGCCTCACAAATTTGACACATTTTCAATATCCGATTCGTTGCATGACACAATTTTTCCTCAATTATTATCTCCAGATATGGCTGTTTCATGTCAATATAACGCACCAAAATTACAAGCGATGCAAGAAATTCTCTTTCTAAATCGTCTTAGACCAAAAAGGAAAAAGCACTCACCAAATTGGTCAATTCCTGAAGCATATCTCTTCTCAGCGTCTGAAATGAATGAATTGATAGCTGATATATGAATTCTTGTATGACCCATTGTAGCCCCTTTCCCATCCTGGATCAAACTAAGTCTCAAATTGAAATCCGAATATTCCGTTGGCCAAGAATAAGATCAAATTAAAAGTCCTCTTTGTTTTTGCTAAAACGATTTTAACGATACTTTTATTTTGAGTCGGAGAAAAATATAATTTAGAAAAACAAATTCTCTTGAAATTATAAATAAGATTCTCAGTTGAAGACTCACTCATCTAAATGATCAATTGGGCCGTCGGCAACGCGTTTAAATGCACAAAAAAATGTATTTCTTTTGTCTCTTGATACGGCAACATTGTTGAAGTGAACTTGGAGTAGTTGAATTATTGCCCAAGATTTGGTCCATGCACAGCGCTCTACTGATCTTCCTGATTCAAATATACTGGCTGCAACCACATAGAAAGTGACCAGAAGATCTTCCCTTCTTAATCCATACTCTTCTAGCTTGAACTTTTTCCACCACCTTCTTGTATTAATTGTGAAAAAAAAGCCAAAAAAAACCCAAGGTTAAATTATGGTAAGAACTCATGAAACAGGAGGTAAAGCTTACGCACAAAATTGATTGTGTGGTAAATTGAAAGGAATTTCCCTTTCCTTATTAGTTAACTTCACTTCCGAGTCTAATTATGTAGCAACCTTACTTGAGAATATTCGTCCACTCATGTAGATGCTGAGCCTGACATTCATTGAACTCTAATTTTGCAACCTCCAAATAGTGATGGTTGCTTATTTCGGCCACCCTGCAGTAATTCCATTTCAAACATATAAATGTTATTAATGGTGAATATATATAGAAGTGGGTGCTGAATAATGAAAAGAAATGATTCCATCATGTATAATCTTCGTCATTATATTCTTTAATCGTTAGCTAGATAATTCAATACGCCAGGCGTATCAGATTATTTCTTAAAGATTAATTGTAAAATATATCCCGCACGATCTACCAAAAAAAAACAAAAAAAAAAAAATTACTGGAGTCATTTCTATGGTAGAATGCACCTGTAGAATGTCTTAGCAATCCATACATCATCTGCACCGCCATATTGTTCAATGTAGAATCTCGCTTCAACCCTTGGTAAGCATGCATACCATGGAATTTCAACTCCAAATTTCAACTGCAATTTTGGCAAATGTGTTTCTTTTCGGCCATTCAAAAAAAAAAAAAATGTGGGAACTTCTTTGAAATGGTATGTTATACTTTGTGACATTGATTAAACGATGAAACACGTGCTTAAAAAGTTAATCTATCTATCTATCTATATATCTATCTATCTATCTATAGGAACACATGCCACATAGGATTTAATCCTATATGGCATTTTCTTAATTTCTTAGACTTAAAAATGCACAAAATAAAATAATAAAACCAAAAAAAAACAACTAAAATAATTTTTTTAAAAAAACCAAATAATAAAAACCGAACCCTTATTTTCATGAACCAAATCCTAACACAGAGATTGATTGGAGAGAATACCAAATCTTAACAAATTTTAGAGAGATCTGCATAAACCTTATCACCAGTGAATTTAAAATGTCATTTAAAAAAAATAAATTCCTGTAAATCCATGTTTAAAACTGAAGTCATTACATATTTTATAAAAATATAAAATTTATGTAAAAATATCTAAATGTGTATGCTTTCCCCGTCCATCGGACGGGTTTAACACCTAGTTACTAATACTCTAAATTAAATAGTAAGTGAAGCCTATTTGCCCAAATATTACACTAGACTTTTTGCAATATAACAATCACAAAAATATCCAACATAGTAGTATCTACGTACGTTTCCTATTTGATTATAAAAAAATTAAAAAAAAACACCAAAAAGAAAACCTTAATTGAGCTAATTATGCTTTTATATAAGTAGTATATGTTGATACCTCTCCTGCAAAGTCCTTGGATATAACCCATTTATCAACAATTTCATTTTCCAACAACTTTTCCTTTAGAAAGTTGTAGGAGAAGATTTCAGCGTCATCAAGTATATTTTCGCCAGGAAATTTCACTTGACAAGCCTTATAAAGATTCAATAATGTCGTTGGAGATGCGTTTAGCTCACCACCAAAGCAACAAAACTTGTTGTCATTTGACTTGAAATGCTTAAAAACGTCTGAGAAGGATAACAAACAACAAATACAATGTTTTGGAAACAGGATATTAGAAAGACCAAATTAAGGATATAGGGGAAATGAGAAAATAAATTTAGTACTCCCTCCATTCTAAAATAAGTGTCGTCCTACATTTTGTACATAATTTAAGAAACTCTTAAATACGGTAATAAAATTACTTGAATATCTTCAACTAACCCCATTATAAAATTGTCCACCAATAGTATCAACTCTTTTGAGGGTAATTTTATAAACTTTTTCCAAAAAATACATTGAAATGTGAGAACGACACTTATTTTGGAATTTCTTCATTTTGATAAAACGACACTTATTTTGGAATGGAAGGAGTAATGTATATGAGTATAAATTGATAAACAAAAACGCTGAAGCAAATGAAACTCACCGGGACTAACGTTATAGCCCTGTAGCCTTAAAAGCCTAAAACCCATGGAAGTGTCATCCAAATCACAAACTGGTGAATTTCGTGCACTGAATACTCCACTGGCCGTCCAATATCTGAAATTCATAAGTTTTCCTTTTTAATTAATGGGACAAGGACCAGAAGCAGTACAAACACTTTAGTTTGTATTTTATACAAATTTGTAATAGAATTAATTGTACTCAGAAAATAAAAGGGTGTGCGTATGTGTGTGTGTGTGTGTGTTTTTTTTTTTAAAAAATAATCTAATGTTGATAGAGCAACCTATCGCTAGCTAACTAACATGTTACGTGTTTGACTCTTTTTTTTTTTTTTTCATTAGAAATGGCCCGGGGGAATGGTACCTTACAGGTTGCAATATTGTTTTAATTTTAGAATGACCACAAAGTATAAACCACAAAATCAACCCATGCAAACATTAGAAAAAAAAATGATATCCAAAAAAATAAAAGAAAGAAAAAACGTATAGAGAACGGAAAAAATAGACATTAATTTTATTTATGTACGTACTACGTACCTGTGGACATAATTCAAACACTCCGCAATCTGTTCTGCAAAAATATGAGAAATTCCAAGGCGTTGTAGACGGTCGACTGCCCAAAGTCTTGCAAACACATCAATTGGGTAAACCGTGGGCGCTGAAAATGAATGAGGTTCGAATGCTTTAACTACTACTATTTGAAGTTGAGTGGTGCGAAAGGGGATATGTACAAAAATATTAATTCCTCCGTCAAAAAAAAAAAAAAATAGTTTTCATCTAGTTTTACAATCACATACTTCCTCCATCCCATAATTATTGTCCAGTTTAGGTTTTTATTTTTAGTTCAAATTGTAGTAAAAGTGAAATATCAAACTGGACAATAATTTTGGGACAGAATGAGTATAATTTTTTTTTTTTCGAGATTTGTACTATTTTAATATAAATATGAAACATCAATGTAGACTATTTTCTTAGAATACATGTAATATTATAAGTCGTGGATTCAATATGAAGTCAATGGAACATTAGTCATAATTGTCTTATTTGTTGAGAAAAATGATATTAGTAATTACCTCCACCGCTGAATTTTGTGACAATGTTTGTGAGGTACTTGAGGCATTTATCATCCCCAGTTTGCATAAATGCAAATGCAGTGGAAGATGGAGATGTTAAGAAACACCCGTCTTCTGTGATTAGTTTCAGTAGCTTATCCCATTTCAACGATCCCTCGATCCCTTCCAAACTGAAAAGTATTGCTGTTGGCACCTCATGCATTAGGCCCTTGGGGATCCTAAAATCTTAGAAACTGTCCAATTAATATTATAAGAAATTAAAATACTAAAAAAATACACGTATGAGATCTTTATTTTCTAATAATTATTATAAAAATGATAAATAAACACGAATTTTAGTGTTTTTTTTAAAAAAAATTGAATTATTTAATTCCTAGCTAGGACGGAATGAGTATAATTAACTTTTTTAAGTTAGAGTATAAAATATACAAACGAAGTAAGCTTTTTTTTTTTTTTGGGTCAATCACCTTGCAAACTTTTGATCTCGTAGAGCTATGATTTCTTTCAGGAACGGACTGTCGTGACAAGGAATTTCAATGCCCAAATTTCGGGCTCTTTGGAGAAGAGGAGGAAGTATGATCTCAAATCCACAAGTCAAGCTGTCTACATGCGTGCTTTCAACTCCCATTAAGGTCTGTTTCAGATACCGTATTCCTTTTTATAAAAAAAAAACAAAACTCAAATTGACAAATTATTTCGAAACGAGAGGAGTATAATTTTATTTATTAATTGTTATTATTATATATAGTAGTATCTTTTATGGTAGAAGAAAATATTACTACGTACCTCTTTCACAATTTGAGCGGATGCATATTCCATGTTGTCAGTGCGACCACACAAGCAAGTGTATTCAACAATCGATCATAAACAGAATAATGCGAATCGCCCCATGAGCCATCTGACCGTTGATTTTCCGCAATCCATTCTATCGACGATGGAAACTGTGGGGACCCACCTCCATCCACATTTGGAATGAGGGCAACCCAAGCGGTGTCGTACGGAGAGATGCTGATTCTTCCATCCTCAAACGTGCTCAACATCCATTTTATGTGTGCAATCGAACTTGTGTGTGCACCTAGTTCAGCTGTCCATTAATAGAGATTCTCACTTAATTTAAATTTACCAATCTCAGGAAATTTCTTAGCTAGCTAGCCAGTTTCACATTCTCTCTCCGTCCCGGAATTATTTTTCTGGTTCGAGTTTCATTTTTATACAAAATAAAAACTAGACATGAAAACAAAATCGTATTGGACAATAATTATTGTGAGATAGATGGAGTTTTATTTTCTGTTGATACTCTATTGTTTTTGCGGTTTCCCTCCAACTCAGTTTTTGAGAAAGATATGAAAGACATCTAACTTGATATGGTTTTACATACGATGATAGTATGTTTGTAAAATTGTGAATGTGAAACTTTTTGGGAAGTACGTAATTGTGATGCTTTTACTATGGCAATGTTGGGAAAACGTGTTTGGATCACTATATGGGGACGCATTTTGAAGACCATTATGTTCCGTTACCTTGGACTTATAAGAACATTCTTGTAAGTAGAACAGTGTTAAAACAAAGGTTTGATCAAATAAGAAAAAAAAGACCGTAGATATGGTGGCATCCGTGGAACAGTGTTATTTTTCATTCCCTTGGACTTGTAAGAACATTCTTTTAAGGGGATATTTCACATTTGACATTAAATTTGTACGTAGCACTATTTTGAACTTAAAGGTACCTTCACGCCCTGCTTTGCATATGTTTCTTTTGATTCGAAGGAGATGTGATTGCTTTCCTTCCAAACCTAGAATTGCTGAAAAAATAACTAATGAAATCAAAATTATGCATTTCTCCTATTATGAAATCAGAAATCATTTAAGTTGTACTAATATTTAGCCTTAATAACTAAACTAACTTTATTACTCCAATTAAATATATTTCTCCTCTATAATAACAACAACAGCTAGTTCATTTACAAGGTTTAGTCAACATTGATATTATCATTTAGTTAAAGAAAAGGATACACTCGAAAAAAAAAAAAACTAAATGAAAGTTAAAGAGACATAATGATAATAATAATAATTAAGACGAACTGACTTAAAAATGTATGTCTTATAAATTGAATCGAAGCGAGTATCACTTACAGTAGTCAACAATCGTCACCCAGTCTAGATTAGATAAAACAATTTTCATTATAAATTACTGTCTGCTTTTTTCAGATGCAAACACGTTTAAGAACCAAAGATACATAAACTATTCACTCATTTATCGTTTTTCTAACGAAAACTATGTGAAACAGCATTACAAATAGGAGGGCACTTACCGGTCTTTGGCTCAACGGAATGCCAAAATGAGGAAATGGGGGGATGACATGAAGCACTTTTGATGTGAGGTACTAAGTACGAGGTTGGAGGAAATGTATTAACTTTCCACATGTTAGACTTTTCCCCAAGTTTGCAATGCTTTATAATCTAAACTAAGTGAAAACACATATAATGGAAGCAGGTGATGAGGGCCTGTTAAATGGCAAGTCTTTATCCATGTGAAAAACACTTATATTGTCTTCCAATACAAGATTTCACATAATGTACAATTTCATAAATCACATTATTCTCCAATAGACTTACCAAATACACTATGTTAGATGAGTAAAGACTTAAACTAAGTGAAAGCCGCCAATTTGAATTTATTTTTGCTGTTTCTTAATTACACAAATGAATGCAGTGGCTAAGTGGAATCTTTTCTTAATCACAAATAAAAAAGGACAATACTTTTCCTAATTAAACAAGAAATCTGTTTCCCAAAATATGGACAAACGCAATACTAGTCAGCTTCCTCACTGTGATGTGAAACCTTGCCACTCAACAAAAGATAAAGACTCGCAGAATGTGTATCCTAAATTGACTTCTCATTCGTATAATGTGTATGCGAGTCTTGTTTTGGGTGTTAATCAATTTTGTTTTTTTTTTTCTGCGTTTTGAAAACCAGGACGGGAAGGTCGAACCGGTTCGACCGGAAATTAGAAACCTTCTCGATCTGATTTTGACAAATAACCGGTTAATTGAAGAACCGGTCAAACTGGAGTAAAATTGCGATTCGACCGAAATCGATACCGGTTGAACTGGATTGTGAAACTAAAAATTATTTTTAAAAATATTTGTTATAGTCGATTTTCACTGGATTCAGAGAGCAATTCGAACCGATTAAACAGTGAACTATTGAACCAATTAAATTGCTGGTTCACTTTCCATTCCGATTTTCAAAACCTAGTTCTTTTTAGTTTTTACCTTGGAATTCCTATACTACTACTCATCAACAATTTTCAGATTCAGTGGAGGCCAGCGACTGCTACACAATATAAAAATCAAATTTTAATCATTTTGTTTTGTCCCTATACGGTGGCCAAGTCAACATATTTTAGTTCGTATATTACAGATTATTAATTTAGCGGGACAACATAGAGTATTCCTCGTTAAGAATTGTTAATCATGTTTCACATTATTACAGATTGTCATTCCCCGGAACAAGAAACGCATACAAACACACATACACATAATAAAATTCAAATTTAGTGGAGGCGAGAGACTGCTACACAATATAAAAATAAATTTTAATCTTTTTGTTTTGTCCCTATACAATCGCCAAGTCAACAACTCTTAGTCGTTTATTATAGATAATTAATTTAGCGGGACAACATAGATTATTTCTCGTATTATAGATTACTCCTTCCATTTCAATTTGTAGGTCGTTTTACGTTTGGAAAGATTTTTTAAAATGTAGATCATTTTACAAATTTTAGGCAAATTAATTACTAATTTTCCAACTTTACCCTCAATAAATGATGACAATCTATTTTCATTTAGTTTTGTTTATAGTTTCAATATAATTAATGAAGAGTAAAACAGATATTTAACATATAAATTAATTGTTACATGATTGCCTCCTTAGTTTACGTGCAAAGTCTAAAGTGATTTATATTTTGAAATGGAAGAAGTATCATTTCCCACAACAAGACACACAGACAGACACACATTAAGATATTATATGACCGAAAAATCACTTTAGGAGGCTAACAAAATATGATGGGACCAACAAAATATTTATAATATGATATATATATATAATATCAATGTTTGCAAATTAATAATGATGAAACCACTAAAATTTATTAATTTAGAGTATTATTAAATAGTTAATAAATTAATAATTAATTTATAGAGTTTTCTTGATGGAAAAAGAATCCTTAATAAATTTCTTAATTTTCAGTTCTTCTTACCATTCGAATCAAACAATTATTGACACTATTCTCAATAATAAAATCCAAACATAGTTCTTATCATCTTCAAAAAAACTAAAAACAAGTTACAATAGCTTATATTTTATTAAATATTTATAGTTATTATTATTGTTACTATTTTTTATTTAAGGTAACCATTAGTTTCTGCTGACCAATAAATATATTAGGGAATTTTATTAAATATTATTATCTTATTATTTTATCGATTTTGGTCATTTTTGTACTAGTCCCAAGTTGGAACGAGAGAAATTTATTAATTATTCAAAATTATTAATTTATAAATTATTAATTTAGCGACTTTGTACGGTATATGTATACATATAGTGTGGTTTTTACTTTTTATTATGCGGTTTTGGCCCAACGATATTATGTTTTGTCATGCAAATTTTATTATGACAAAAAGTTATACTATTTTATCAACAGAAATTGAAAATACTCAACTACGTATAGTTAGTTAAAACCAAAAAAATCCAACTTAATAAACCTAGAGATCGACTTGAGATGAAATAATTTACATTAATGGCAATTGTTTATTTTAATGAAATAATTGAAGGACAACTTTAGTAATTTACTTTGTTTTTGAAAACTAAATAACTTAGGGTATGTTTGGATCGCTTTTTCAGTGTGCGTTTTAGGTGGATTTTTTTTAATTAAAAATGTAAAAAAGTGTATTGAAAATGTAAAAAGACATCGGAAATTGGACATTTAGTAATTAATTAATAATACCATAAAAAAGGAAATTATACAAACAGAGCCAGAGAAAATGAATTAAAGCTTTGGCTATTATTTGGCCTTGCTTTTACTCCTTGGAAGAAGATGTAATATCCATCACTTAAAAAAAAAAAAATCAAATGTTTACTTGCATTGAATTGCAACATCTCATTCAGACCAATTAGTGTGTTTTACCCTTTCCATGTTAATTCCCCCGTTCGTTTGTGACTCTTTTCTTCCTGGAAACCGAATTTGTTTTCAAGAATAATGGTGGTTCATCTGCACCGAAACTTCATCCTGATCCCCAAATTCCAATCTGGTACGAATTGAACTTCCTATCAAAGGAAGCAAATGTTGTACGGAGTATTTATGACCAAATACTGATTCACTGTTATCTCTATGCAGTCGTCAATCTTTCTACTTCTTCATCATCAAGAATAACATGCAGCCTAATGTCCTCATCAGTAAGAATGAGATTCAATTTCTTTTTCCTATGTTTTATATATATATATATATATATCTCTACTTCTTCTTCATTATGTTCCAGAGGAATACAGAACAAATTGACAAATACCAAGTGTTGTTCATGAGTATAATATATTAGTGAATCATATCATTTTCACGTTGGGGACAGCAGGATCATGAAGAATCCGCTAGAAGAATCGGAGAGGTGGTTTTCAATGAAGTAAAATTCTCAACATCAGCTTATGACACAGCATGGGTTGCCATGGTTCCCTCGAGGGAGTTCCCCGCCGAAAAGCCGTGTTTCCCGGGATGTTTGGATTGGGTACTTGAGAATCAGCAGAAAGATGGTTCATGGAGTGGCCTTCAGTCAGCTCCAGGACAGCACAAGCAGCAGCTGCTTCTCAAAGACTCACTCTTGTCTACACTTGCCTGTTTGCTTGTTCTCAGAAAATGGCGAGTTGGTGAGCAACTTCTGCTACAAGGTAATGATTCATTAAACTTTCTCTCAATTCATAATAATCTAATAAATTAATATATGATTTTGAGTAATTCATAAATTTCTCTCGTCCTAAATTAAGACCATACCAAGAATGAGAAAAATTGATAAAATAATAAGATAATAATGATTCAAAAAATCTCCTTATATATATATATATATATATATATCTATAAACCGTCCCGGCCGGCCATACCATTAATTAATTATTATTCTAAACAAAACTATAATAATAATAACTATGAAAATATAGTAAAATATGAACGTACTTTTTTTAGTCTCTAAAGGTGATGTAAATTATGTACATGTTTTGAAAAGAATTTCAGTCATGCTTGATTTGGATAGTAAAGATGGTTGAAAAATTATCTTACGTAATAGGATTTCTTATATATTTTAAAAAACAACTATTTGAATCAATTATTATTAAATTATTAACTCATTTAATAATTATCTAAAATTAATGAATTTTTGTGATCTTAGCATTTATTTTTTTGCTCTTTTTTCAAATCTGTTCTTTTTTTTTCCCCTTTCCAGGACTTGAATACATAAAATCAAATGCTTTTGCTGCTTTTGACCCGCATCAAGTTTCTCCAGTTGGATTTGATGTGTTGTTTCCTGGAATAATCAAACAGGCCAAACTCCTAGACTTGAATATGCCTTTAGATGCGACATTGCTGGATCTAATCCTTAAAAATCACGAGCTGAAAATTGCAAGGTGGTGCGCGCGCATATATAGAAACATGAAAAAGAACATTATACTAATACTACCATTAATTAGTTAAGAGAATTTTATGTTCATTTATTCTGATATCAATCATCAACTGAACTATGTGCACATCTGATTCTCATCATAAAGAATTCAGGGAAATGAAACAGCGTTAGCATACTTTGCTGAAGGAGTTGGAACATCATGTAGCTGGAAAGAGGTTTTGAAAGTTGTTCAAAGGCCAAATGGCCTAATTCTAGGTTCACCAGCTGCAACAGCTGCTGCTTTGAATCAGCATTTTGACTACAAGCTCTTTGCAAACTTGTGCAAATTCGTGAACCAATCCGTCCAAGGGGGTACTCCTCATACTTTAATTCCTCTGTAAATACAAGATAAATACTACTCCCTCCATCCCAAAATTATTGTCTAGTTTGAGTTATTACTTTTAGTTTATTTTGTACTGAAAATGAAAATCCAAACCGTACAACAATTTCAGGACGGAGGGAGTATGTGTTCATATAAAGACTTCTGTCATGATTCACCTTTTGAGTATTATTGTTGATTCTATCTACTTTTTTTCTTCTGTCATTCTGCAATTAATCTCACAGTACCTACCATTCATCCACAAAGCATGTATATTCCCCTGAAGTTAGTCGATGTGGTTGAAAGGCTGGGGTTAAAACGATATTTCACCCTGGAAACAGAAAGAATTCTTAATGAAACCTACAGGTTGGTTGTGCCAGCTTTCACTATCTGGATTGCATATTATTAGAAGCAATAATCTTTCAATGCCCTAGATTGAGTAACGATGTTAGCAACTAACAATCGCAAACTTGAAACATAAAACATTTATACCTAGGTCATGGAAGCGAAGAGATGAAGACATTGTATCAGATGTAACCTGTGTTGCCCTAGCATTTCGACATTTAAGATTAAGAGGGTATGAAGTTTCTTCAGGTACGCCAAAAAGTTCCAATAATTAATTTGATGCTTTTCCACAGCTGCTACATCATTGGGTTGCTGCTAACTTTTGGTTTTGGGTGCAGAAGAATTGGTGGGATTTGCTGATGAAGAAAGTTTCTTTCGTACAATAAGTCCCCAATTCACTGGAATGACTACCATTCTGGAATTGTACAGAGCTTCGCAATATTCCCTTACTTTGGGAGATGAAGTCATCCTTGGAAAGATTAATGCTTGGACTGGAGCATATCTGAAGCAGCAGCTGTTAAATCAAAGCATAATCGATAGAAGATTACGTATGGAGGTAATAGCATTAATACTTACTGATTGCACGTAGACACTCTGTCCCGAAATTATTGTCCAGTTTGGATTTTTAGTTTTAGTTTAAATTGTCCTAAAAGTGAAATCTCAAACTGAATAATAATTTTGGGACATAGAGAGTATCTTTATAGACACGTTAAATATGATCTGCGCGCGAATTTGTTGTTTAAGGAAATGAAGAAGTGATACTGTTTGCATGACAGAACTTGTCGAATTTTTTGCGAGCTTTAATTGGTTTTTTGTTCTCTTAATACCTTCATGGAAAAGCCTGGACTATCTTGAACACTTTTTTTCCATTTTACCTTAGGTGCAGAGCACTCTGAAAAATTATCATGGTGCCCTAGAACGTGTCGTAAACAGGCAATTCATAGAGCAATATAATGTAGATGAAGTTCAAATGCTGAAGACGGCTTACAGGTAATATTAAGGCAAATGTAATTGATCAATTATGGATTTAATGAGAGGAATAATACTAAGAAACACCTTTTCAATCCAATATATCATTCGTTGTAGGTGCTTCAACATATCCAACACGGATCTTCTAAATTTTTCGATATCAGATTTTAATGCATGCCAATCCCTTCATCAGGATGAGCTTAAACAGCTTGAGAGGTATACTGAAAAATCTTTCTTTGCCTGGTAGTAATTATCTGACTAAGTTCTTCTCGTTTTGGAAATTTGATGAAGATATTAATTTAAATCGTGTCATCAGATGGTTTGGAATGAATGGGTTGCGGGATGTGAATGCCCCAAAGAATGTCTTGCATTCTGCTTACTATTTGATTGCAGCTGATATGTTTGAACCTCAACTCTCCGGGGTGCGAATTTCATATTCACAAACTGTTATCCTGTTAGCAATTGTTGATGATATGTTTGACAAGGCTGCCTCAAGAGAAGAGCTGATTAACATTATCGACTTGGTAAAAATGTGGGTTCAATTTCCTTCACAATTGCACAATAAACAATTCTTTCATTCATTGCCAAGATATGTGCATATAATTATCACCTATTTATCAAGTTCTCTCTATTTCAATAAAATCTTAGTTGGGATAAACATTCAGCAACAACTGGAAATTGGTCTAAGAAAGTTGAGGTCTTCTTCTTGGCTCTTTACAACACAGTAGAAGAGATGTCGGAGAAAGCTTTCGCTTATCAAGGGCGTTGCATTAAGCAACACTTGATAACTTTGGTATGTATTCGAGATCTACAGCCATTTGGGAGAGTGTTACTCCTCTGTCCCAAAATTATTTTCGAGATTAGATTTTCATTTATAGTACAGATTGTACTAGAAGTGAATTCCTAAAACGGACAATAATTTCGGTGTTTTTTTTTTTTTTTTGACAACAAAAATACTGTATAAAACAGTGGCAAGAACTTTTGGAAGGGATGATGACAGAGGTAGACTGGTGGTGTGAAAACCGAGCGCCTAACATGGACGAGTATTTATCCGTTGGGGCCAGAACTATTGGATGCGATGTATGCATACTCACTTCAATTTATTTCATTGGCCCTATTTTATCACAAGACGTAATTACAAGTGAAGAAATTAGATCCTTGTGCAAACATGTCGGCATTGTTTCCCGACTTCTCAACGATCTCCAAACATGGGAGGTAAGTTAAACACCACCAAATCACCAAAGAGATTTTTATTGTTAATTCCTAAAAAGTGTCAAATTCTTGACAGAAAGAGGTCGGAGAAAGAACGCCGAATAGTGTGTCCTTACTTATGCATGAAAGTTGTGGCGCCAACAAGTCGATTTTAGAAGTTACGACAAGTGTGCAGCGGATGATTGGAAGTAGCAGACAGGAGTTGCTAAACTTAGTTCTCCAGACAAAAGGAAGCATTGTACCGAGAGAGTGCAAAAACCTATTTTGGACAACTAGCAAAATATCATTCCATTTATACAACTTCGCGGACGAGTTCAATTCTCCAAAGGAAATCATCAACAATATTCAATCAGTGATTTTTGAGCCCATCATCCATATGTCCCAAGTCCCGGACCAATAGTTATTTAGTCGTGTTACTTTGAGTTTATCATCAAAAACATACATTTAATGTTCGGATTAACCTATTATGCATCGAATATTTATTTGATCTACCTGCGTCTTTTGTTTTTTGTATTTATCAGTGCTAGAGGATTGTTGATTTTGGTATTTTTATTAGTTTATTTATTTATTTTTTTGGACAAAACTCATTTTTGGCCACCAAAGTGAAGCATAATTTCACGCTGAGTCACCATAAAAATTTAACACTCAGTTTTGACCATCATTAAGTTTTTATATAACTTTGTGTTTTGCTCTTGCGCAAAACGGTAAACTAACATAACCTTATATATACTAAAATATATTAAGTCCACAGTTTTAGAGAAAATTCGTTTGTCACTAAAAACTTCAGTACTAGATGGGAATTTGGGAAGGATGAAGTTTTCGTGCATATGAACCAATATTACTCTTTCAAAAAAAAAAAAAAATTAAATGGAGCTTCTTGAAAGCACTAGACAAATTGATCCGGTGCTGCAGTTCAACGTAAGCAAGGTTTTATTTTATTTTATTTTTTCTTTGAGTGTGATGGATATAGACTTGATTCCATCTTGTTCCAAGGAGTAAAAAAAAATGCCAAATGATAGAAAAAAAAAATTAATTCATTTTCTATAAGGGCAAACATATTAGTGTTGGTTACCAATTTAGTGATTCTAACTTGCTCCTCCTTTCTATTCAAAAATAGGTGTACAACTTCTACTTAGTTTAAAAAATATTTAGTTGTAAATTTCTAAATTACTAAGTTATCCTTAAATTATTTCATTAAAATAAATAGTTTTCATGAATGTAGATTATTTCAGAGGAGCTGTGGAGGTGTTTCTTTAAGAAAAATATGCTTTGACTTCTCTATAAGAACCTTAACAAATTTTTCAAAACTAGACTGGCTGCCAATGCCGACCCCAAGTCGATGGATCCACTTTCAAGTGATCTGGCAACCTATGCAAGTTTATTGGCAAATCCTGCAAAGGTCGCTAAACAACTAGAGATCGAGCCAATACAATATTACAAAGGAAAGCCTATAGTTTGGTACAATGATGAAGAGTTCGATATCTTGATTTCATGATATGAATTTTGTTCGGTGAGAGACTAATTTGCAGTTGTTTATTTAGTTTTCTTGAAATTTACTGTTTTTGTGGGTCTTGTAAGATTTACTGAGTCACCGCTAGGTGTAAGATTTTGGTTGGAATATGATGTAGTCGGTGTTTCATGCCAACGAATTATGGTAGTATAATAGTATTTGATAATACTTTTTTCTTTGTACCAAAACTTTTCTCGGATTCGAGATTACTAAAACAATATCCAGTCAAGGTGGCGAAAGCTAATGATCCTTCAAAAATCCTTCCATTTACACAACAACGAAATCCATCATATACCCTCCACACTTGAAAAAATAAATAAAAATCTTTCTGTTTGGACATCAACGAAATCCATCATATATCCTTCGCACTGAAAAAATAGTCTACATTGAGTTTTGATATTCCTACTAAAATTGGTAAAAATTTAAAAATTTTGTGTGGATATTTTTTATTATTTTTTTAAAACAGAGGAAGTACTAAATTTAGAAGATTAATCTGATGAAACTAATTGAATTTGTTGAAACAAATTAATCTTTCGGGAATGTTCAAAATCTGTAAGAACGCCAGTAATATGGCCCTCAATAAATGAAGTTTCACATTTTCTCTTTTTCTTTGTTTTCGTGCACACGTCTTTTTTTGGATGATATTTCATGAATCATGAGTGTTCATCTTCTGCTTCTGATGGGCATTTGGATGGGGGCTACATTTCAAAGTGCTATACTCTACCACCACCAACCCCAATTATTTTACTTGTCACATCAAACAACATTGTCGAAAATTGCTCATATGTTTATCATGTAAATATATACAAGTTGGCAACTGGGGAAAAAAAAATAATTGCCCTAGTCTAGTGAAGGGTTCATTTCTTAATGGTTAAACTTTAAAACTATCAATAGATATAGTGGAATAACATCTGTTTAAACATAACAATTTTACTATTACAACTGCATCATTTTTCATTTGACCAAAACGAAAAAATAACTGTTTTATTAATCAAAGAGTAACACACATATTACAACTAACAATCTGGCCTCGAGCTAAGGCGTCCCACTAAAATCATGAAAGTAAGGAACCAAACAAAGGTTGTTTTTTCTTACTGCAGTACTTCCGTAAGCCTCTCTCATATCTAAAACGTCATGTTTAATATCATATGGGAGTTTCCAGTCGAAATAGCACACTAGATAAGCAAGTGGAACTTCAAGGTTAGCCAAACCAAATGAAAGACCAGGGCATATTCGCCTTCCAGCGCCAAATGGTAAGAACTCATAATTTCCACCTAACATGTCAACAGAGTCATTCTGAAATCTCTCAGGTTTAAAACTTTCAGCATCATTCCAATAGTTAGGGTCTCTTCCATTTGCCCAGATATTGAATATTACTCTTGTTTTTGGAGGGATTAGGTATCCATCAACTTCACACGGCTCCCTAGATTCCCTAGGGATCAAGGGGGCAGGAGGATGAAGTCTTAAAGTTTCTTTGATTATCAATTTCAAGTAACTAAATTGTTGGATATCGGTTTCTTCAAGTATTTTGTTTCCAGGGGGTAGTGCTTTTCTTATTTCATTTTGTGCCTTTGCCAACACATCGGGATTTCTTATCATCTCGGCCATTGCCCATTCCACTGCAGTGGCCGAAGTGTTAGCTCCTCCGCCAAACATGTCCTGGAAAAAAAAAAAAAAAAAAAAAGCAATGAATATATTCTTAATGAATGCAAAATCTGTGAGTCATCAACCTTAAATAAGTATGCTGACGGATATTTCCCGTGCGACAACATGTTTAATACTAGTTGTTACTCTGATGCACGAATCAAAAAGTTACTAAAACAAAATGAAATCTATATAACTCACCAAGATGACGGCCTTGATATGGGTGTTGGTTATTGGAAGAGGGAACTCGCGGGATTGCTTGATCCTCAGTAGAACATCAATAAGATCTTCTTGTCCGAACTCACCGTTCCTCCCAGTTGGGTTGTCGAGATGCTGTTGAATTATGGTATCCAAGATTTCATCAATCTTGTCGTGTAACTCCAACAACCTGGGTTTGTTTCCCATCAATCGGTGCAGAATCTTCCAGGATGGAAAAACATCGTAAACATCGAACCCGCTGCTCATGGTTATCACTTCCTGCAGCAGTTGAACCAGCGCGCCTCGATCATGACTTCCCAATGTTTGACCGAATACGGCTCTACAAATCATCGAACTTGTGTACGCACAAACTTTTCGGGTCACGTTTACAATTACACCCTGTTTGATAGATGAAACAAGTTTCAAAACCTCGTCTTGGCGAATCGAACCCAGTGAACGGACATTCTTTGTGCTAAGAAGTTCTTGAGTGCATATTTTCCGCATCTGCCTCCAGTAATCACTATACGGACAAAATATTATGTCCGAATAGTTATAGAATATGATGTTGCCCACCGTAAAACTCGGCCTATCTGCAAAAGCTACATCGTGAGTCTTCAGAAACTCTTTTGTCGCGCGTGGAGATGATACCACAATGGCTGAAACTTCTCCCAGCTGAAGGTGCATCAGATCTCCATGTTTTTGGGCTAATTTGTGGAGGACGCGATGGGGAAGCGAACCCATCATTTGATGCAGGTTTCCAATCAAAGGTAGCTTCCATGGCCCCGGTGGCTGTTTCTTCACTTCCCTGGATCTTTTCTTCCGTTTCTGGATCAAATTGAGACTCAAGTAAATCACTACAAGGGAAAAGGGAATCCAGCTAATTAAAGCCAGATGATGCATCATGGGTTGATCCATTTGATCGATGATTAATGTATCTCTCTTTTTTTCTCTCTTGTTTTTTTTGTTTTAAAAGGTGTGTGTGTGATGTGCTTATATAGTCGTTTTGCTGATTATATATATATATATGCTGCCTCAAGTGGATATATCAAACATTAAATTACTCCTTCTGTCCTTAAATTATTATCCAGTTTGTATTTTCATTTATAGTATAAAATAAGCTAAAAAGTGAAACCTAAACTGGACTAATTTTTGGACAGAGAGACTAATTCACTAGTTCCACCCTCCTTATTACCAAAACCCTTGATATATACTCCCTACGTCCCACAAAAATAGTCCACATTGAGTTTTTAAATTTGTATTAAAACTAATACAAATCTCAACATTCAATGTGGACTAGTCTTTCGCACTGATTGGCCAGAGGAATAAGACTCCATCTGGATGGGTTTTTTCAGTATGTTCTTTTTAGCATTGGAAGTCTACAAAAGATATAGTGGAAATGTTAAAAATTATGCCCGGGGTGAAAAAATATGTAAATAATAAAGAAATAAAAAGTTATGAATAACCTAAAAGGAACCAAACAAATTATTGCTGGTCGTGTTTAAATTTAAACTTTTAATATAAATTATACTAAAAAATGAATATATAATTATTTCTGGTCGTGTGGTACAATTTGAAAATTGTAATATGAACTACATTTTCAGACATCGGAATACCAAACAAAACTAGGAAAAAAAAAAAAAGACATCTAAAAAATAAAAAATAGAAACTCAACATAAATCAAAGATTCCTCGGCAATTAAGGCAATATCATTTTTAAATGTTAATAGTGAATCTATTCGTATTGTTAAGGCAGAATAAAATTCCCAGGGTACCCTAGATGATTGTAATCAAGAAGTGCTTTTTCATTTACTTTAATGCCGATGAGATCTCTTTCCCCGCCGACCAAACCAAGGTCAGAAACCCTATCTCAATTTAAATATTCAATAAAGAAAGACATCATATGCCTAACAAGAAGAAGCAAACACCGTTTAATTTGTTCTTATCAGGTACTTTTAATATAATCTTGAGTCGTCATGGATCACGTTGAACCAGACCAGGTTTTCCGATGAGCTGGAAACACATAAGTGGTGTTGTTATTTTATATAAAATACAAACTAATCGGCGAAAACATAAGACTCGCTGTTTGATATGTTGTCCTAATACTTGTGATTCACCATTCCACCTTAAATGAAATATGATAATCGAACTTTTAAGCTAGATTTAGAATTTTATTGCCCGACTAAGTATCATCACATTTCTCGCTGTACTTGAAGTGTTGGATCACAGTTCTTCTCATAGCTCCTCCACTGCAGCCGAGTACGACGAGGTTGGAAAGAGTCGATTTCATATTAAGTCGAACAAATTCAAGACTTTGGTCAGAGTAATACTAATTCAAAGGAATTTGAAGTACTCTAGCTCTACTTGGTACGATCTCGTCATCTAGTAGCTACTAGCATTAATTAAAAATAATACTGCCAAAAGGAAGGGAAAAAAAGTCAAGGGTCACGCCAAAATTACATTAATTACTTTTTTCTTGTTGAGTACGTAATAACATTTACTTGTTTGAAAAAATGTAATTTGGATCGATATATCAATAACCGAAAATACCAGTGAATACAATGGAGGAATTTAAAGACTCCTGATGAGTATAATTTTTTAAAAACAGATTCGGGCTTTCTCAAATGTATTTGGCTATTGAATCACCTTCATTTCTCATGATACAATACATAACCTCCAATAGAATAAAAGATTTTTCTTGGAGAAGTTATGCAAGAGACCCTTAGAAGGAAACTCACAAGAATATATACCTCTAATTATATTCCAATTCAAAGTGTCAAGCTGTAATAAGGAAAACTAAAATGTCCATTGCATCGAGTGATAACTACACCTCAATATGTGTACGCACAAAGTCAAAACTAAAATCCAAAATAATGGTAATATATATGAGCACAAAATTAAAAAGTACAATCCAAAATAATATTAATGTTGACACAATGTTTATCTTCTAGTTTTTAAGCCCCTATTAATACTTTAGAGGTATCTAGACTATTATAACAGGGTAGATATTACTGGAAAAGGGATAGTATTATTACGGGGAGACTCTACTTGCGTGTGTCTCTTGTTCGTTCTGTCCGGTCTTTCAGACTTCCTGCCTGCTTAAACTGGTTGCTGTCAGCTACCTGCTTCCTCCTTCATCTGCCTGCTTCCCGCGTCCGCAGTAAGAATCGGACTATCAATTTATGGCTGTTATTAGCTACCTGCTTCCTTCAACTGTCTGTTTTTTGCATCCGCAGTAAGAATCGAACCCTCAATCTCCGGCTCCTATCAGTTACTTGCTTCCTCCTTCAAATGCATGTTTTCCACGTCTGCGGTTAGAATCGAACCCTCAATATTACGGTTAAAGGTACAACCATAGTTTGCAAGATCGCGATCCAGGATCGTAGAATCATACGATCCTACGATCCTGGGTCACTAAATCAATCCTGGATCAATTAGGATCGATCTTTGCCGCGGAATCGGAACTAGAGTCGGTGGGATCGTTTAGAATTGGTGGATCGTTCGGTCCTATCGGTTCCATTGATCCTGGAGCAATTGCTTAAAGCAAAATTTAAAAAAAAAACGACAACACACATTGTGAAACTTGAAGAAATTGAACTCCAAGGAAAGATTATGGCATACAAGGAGCAAAATCAGAATCTTAAAGAGGTGGATTGCTTATTGGTACCATCGATTCACCGTACTTTTTCATCCCGTTACTTCAGTTTGTATTCCACAAATAGATTCACTTTTTTGGGTTTTTCTTGGAGGATATGTCGCTCAAAAAATAGAGAGAAACAGAGGATAGAGAGATTGTTTTCAAAGATTCCTTGTTTTTATGGCTCTGTTGTTGTGGCTGCAGTGTTTATTGGTGCTCTATTTTGGAAAAAACAATCGGAGAATAAAGAGTTGTCACTTTGACTGAGAGCATCAATTTTTTTTATTAATAAATTTTTTTATTAGTTTTTGTGTGTGATCAGAATTCTTAAATCATCTCGAGTGAGGATTCTTGATTTAAATTTGAAATGTTAGAGAATTTGTTATTAACACTTCTTATATTACTTATACTTATTAGTTATTAAATTTATCCATTCATAATTTATAATAATGCTTAGACATTAAATTCTTTTATGAAGATAACTAAAACCTAATTATTAAAGTAACATAATAGTAATTTGAGCACACGTGACTAGTCATTTGGTAATAGTTGTGTAGAAATGTCTACAAAGAGGATAATTTTGTAATTTATTGTACATAACATATATAAATATAAAATTGATTTTGAAAATTCTACGATCTTACTATTCCAATCCTATTTACGATCCGATCCTGTGACTCCATTTCGATCCTACGTAAGATCACGGTCCTGCAAACATTGGGTACAACATCCAAACCACTGGGGCACGAGTCAAATCCGATTTCCTAGTTAAATGTACGAAGGGATGAGAAGTAAGGTATAGATCGAGTGTTTTTCTCTTCTTTGCAAGTCTTGAGGACAAAACTCTTTCTAAGCGGGGGAGTTTATCATGTCTTTAGGGTTTTTTAGAATTATATAATATTTAGAGGACTAGATTGTAATAATTAGTTTGTTATTGAATTAGTATTAATATATTAGCATTATTGTATTGGAGAAAGTATCTGTTAATCTGAAATTTACTCTCTATCAAATCTCGTTTCTTTTCCAATTTTCTTTTCCCCGGTTGATTAATTTCTCTTTTTTCTCCCCTGTTCTTTTCTTCTTTTCTTCAATCCTTTTAAAGTCTAAACTCTGAAATTTTTATCTAAATTGACTTAAAAATGCCATACCATTACAGACAATCCAACCAATACCAATAACCAAAAACTTTAAACGGCCCAACCCAAACCAAATCAAGGGTAGCTAATCATCCCAAATAATCCAATAAAATAAACCAAGAAGGTGTCCCGGGCAATAAAGGACCAAAAAACTAACCAAGCAAGCAGCAGCAGCCCAAATATTTGAAGAAATGGCCAGCAAAATAATGGAAAACCAGCCGCCCAAGAAATGACTAACCAGCAACAAATCCAAAATTGCACTAGAATTCAGCCGCCAGTGAGTAAGCCGCGGCGTCCGTAGCGGAATGAGCCGTAAAAAAAAAAAAAAACACAGCAGCAGAGGGCAGCCGAACTATAACTAACAGCCACAGCCCATATCCGAAAGAAAAAAAAAAAAGAAAAAAAAAAAGAAAAACAAAAGATGAAGAAGCTCTTGATGCCATGATAGAATGGAAGAAGAATTGTATATTAATATTCTACATACATTGTACAAAGATTAATATCGTACTTCGCCACATTTTCTTTTGACATCAAAGATGTTATATCTCATTTCTGAAAGCGAATATTACAAATTTCCAATAACTTTGCTTCTACCATTGTAGCCCATTTTAAAGCAAATCGAAAAGAAAAGGAACTTGCAAACTGAACTTTACTCTTGTTTTATTAACGCAAGTCAACGAACTGCAACGTAGTATTTTGTGGTAATATTAAAAAAATAATGGTATTCTCTATGACCAATCGCCATGGTCAATACTTTGTCAATAAGCAAGCGAGTAGACTGATGGCCAGATTCGATATTCAACCATGAAAGAGAGAAAAATAAATAAATAAATAAAAAAATAAAAATGCACGTTTGATACATCAAACATCTTTGGCTCTGCTAACCATTTTACTTGTAGAAAAGATTGCCATTTTTCTTTCTACCTGAATCCCACTGCTTCTGTTCTTGTAAAATTGTTGTGGGATTTTGATTTTGAGGTGACATTTGGTTTTCTTTGGTGAACATTTTGGAAGGTAAGTGAAATCCCTGTTGGCTATGTCACATTTTCTTTGCTTTCTTAATGTTTATTTCCCTTGGCAAAATTAGTACTGTGTCGGTAGACCATTTTGAATGCAACTTCCATTACCATTTCGTTATATATTGTGTCCTCTTTTCTTGGGGGAAGTTTGGATCTTTCCTTCATAGAGTGGTTTGGTAACTTTGGTTTTGCCAAATGTGAATCAGGGTGGGGATCGGTTGTAGAAAAGCTTGAACAGATTGAAACCTTACTGGTTGATGTTATTTGGAGCTTATACTCTTTTTCATAATAGTTTGAGACTTAAATCAAAGCTTGGAATTTTACTTTGGTAATTGATCTATGAGATGAAGAGAAAAACGCCGGAAAGGATTTTTTGCTTGCTTCTGGTGTTGGAGCTCTGGTGTCTGTGTGGTTGTTTGTTTTCCTGGAGATGCTTGTGTTCAAAACTGAATCTTGTGAGTTTAAGACTAGGAGATGACTGGTGGAAACTGGACTTGATGGAAATAGTATTTGAATTGAAGCATTTTTGGGTCTGCTTTTTCTTTTGTAGTATTCTCGAACTTCTTGATTTCGGTGTTTGTGTTATAACTTAAGCTTACGGATCTTGTGCTACAATCCTACAACTTGATCAAAACACTTGAAATGTGAAGAGAATGTTGACTTTGATATTATGAATTAGAGGGCTAATATGATCATTATGGTTTCAACTATAAGGCAGTCAATTTGCGTTTAGTTATTGTTTTCTTCTGTGTCATAAACACATTTCAGCTGGGGAGTATGAAAAAGACTCCTTTGATTTTAAAGTGAACTAATAGAATTCCTTCATGTGGTTGGCTGTTGGTTGTTCTTTTCACATGTTACCTTTCTGAAATGGATCTCATTGCACACTTGAAACATCAGTACTGGCTTCCTAATTCATTTCGGATGCCACAGATACCAAAAGGATAAAAAATGGGTGCGTCGCTTGCCACGCTTTTCGATGGATTATCAACCAAGACAGAGGTCAACATACTGATGGTGGGTCTTGATTGTGCCGGTAAAACAACAATCTTGTACAGGCTGAAGGGGAGAGAAGTTGTTATAGACATGCCCACTGTCGGTATGTGCTTTTAGGTTACTGATGTTTTCGCCTGTGGTTTATCACCGCAATGCATACATCCTAGTGGCTGCAAACAATTGAATTTAGCCTAAACATTCAAAAAAATTCTGAAATAAATTGTTTTGTTCTTACCAGGTTTTAATCTGGAGACTTTGGAATACAAGAATATCAGCTTTCAAGTCCAGGACATGGCTGGTCAGAACATGGTAAAATGACCATGGACTTGTGACCAAATGCATAACTGAAAACTTGTTAAGACATGGACGATGACCTAATTGCCGAGGAAACAAAGCTTATAATAAATGATTGGCCTCTGAAGTTGAAAGAACATTGCAGCATTCTGCTTCTATGAAATGGCAACATATATCCTGCAATACTAATTTTACTGCCTTTTTTGTTTCCAGAGACCACCATATCTCAAGTGCTACTATCAAAATATTCGAGGAATGATTTATGTTGTTGACAGCAATGACCGGGATCGCATTTTTGATGCTAGGGATAACCTAAAAGTGCAGTTAGAAGAGGTACAAACCAGAGGCCCTCTTTCTTTTTGAGGTCACATTCTTGACTGATCTGCTTTTTTTTTTTTTTTTTTGCCGTTGAAATCCAACATCATTTAAGTATAGTCTTAGAAATGTTTCCTTAAAACAGTTTCATTTGGCAACCCCAGGAGTTACTGAGGGATGCAGTTCTACTTGTTCTAGCGAACAAGCAAGATCTCCCCAATGCAATGAATGCCGAGGAGATCATCCTCAAACTTGGTCTTCACTCTCTTCATCCTCGCCTCTGGTAACATCGATCGCTTCACATATCTCTCGCTATCTCGCGAATCATGATCTCTATCTCTCTCATACTGAAGAATGGTTTCTTGTACATTTCCAGGCATGTTCAGAACGCATGTGGTATCAATGGGGTAGGACTTCATGAAGGGTTGGAGTGGCTTGCTAATAATGTATCCTACAAGGTAGCAATTTTCCGGTTTCTCTCAACAAAAGCCGATAATTTGTTCTATATAAAAAGTACTATGCCTGAATCACTATTTCAATGTGTTGTTGCAGGCCTAAATGATTCAGTATCAATGATTTTATGCATCTTCTCTCCAGGCAATTGGGCGCACAGATATTTGTTGTTATCCATTACTACTAAGTAGTCCCAGAAAGCGGAAAAGCATATGGCCCTGCAAATTTGGGGGTTTTATTGTACAAAGGTTCTGCACTGCCCTTCATGTTTTTAGGAATGTTGGTTCAAATCTTCTTCCCGATATTCAAATAGCCCAAATACAAATGTGGTTTTTTTTTTTTGGTTACACTTAAAGTTGGTGTTGCGCTATCAAAATTCGAACTTCTAACCTTTATGGCATATATATATATATAGCAAGCGTTGCTGTTAACACTTACCAAATATATATTTAGATCAACCATTAGAAGGTTATGGTTATAATACTCTGATTATATCGTGTTCTAAGCACGATTTGGTTTCCGATAATGAGTTTTGAATAACTAACGACGCTAATAATTTGTTACAAAATTCACTTATAGAAAAACTGTTTGATCTCAACCACCCAAGCACGCTTCCGCAACTCTGGAATGCCATATAGCATTAACCCTAACAAATCATGCTCTATGATAATAATGCTTAAGTTAACAACTTCAGTGACATTCCGCCCAACTATATGTTGATAATACATACTCCCGTCAAATGATTCAAACACAGTTCCTCTCGCGCATCATATACTTTGTATCATTGGAGGCTACAAAAATGTAGATTGATTGGGTCAAAATTACACTTTAAAGGAAAAAATTAATTTTAAAATGGTACTCTTATTGTTCCAAAAAAAAAAAGAAAATTCACTTTGTTGAACTAAATTGATGCAATTCATTGGATTAATTTTTTCTTAGACTAAAAAGTATCATAAGATGAATTAATTATTTAAATAGTATAAGATCCCTTGGGAAGATATATACAACCTGCAGGTAACAAAATCCAGTGAATGCGTAAAGTAGCCATTTATGACAAACAACTTGGAAACGGAAGTCATTTCTTCTGGAAAGAAAATGGGAAAGAAGGCGACAGTTGATTGATGATGATGATACGGTGGACTTCAAAATGCTTCTGGAAAGAAATAAAAAAATAAATAAAATGGAAACCCCATAAAATGGTGCGCAGAATCTATTGAAGCTTATTTTATTATACAATACTATTTCTTTACAATAGTGTTGAATTTATTCCATGATACAGTATAATGTTTTAACGAATAATAACGATCAAAGAATCATTTTATGCGGAAAAATAAATGACTGCAATCAAATATTACTAAACAACTTTTGAGATCGAATCTCGACTGAAATGTGGTCAGGGACTCAGGGTTATCATTATTATCGCAATAGAAATTTCCAAAAAAAATAAAAATAAAAAATTTAAAAGTTTAGTGGAATTACTATATATAAATATAAGTTCGAACTTGAATGTATAACAGTCAAATAGTGATTTATCGAGTTGGATATATAATATACTAAAAAATAAAAATTTATTTTGGAAGAAGCAACTCAACATTTTCGATTTTAGCTATTACTTTTCAAATAAATTTCTTTTTTTTGGTTCAAACTTCACATCTTGTCATATCAGGCTTTTAACACTTTATTGTAGATTTCGACCTTTTCTTACTGCGTGGCTAAAAAAAATTAAAAAGCATCAAAGAAAGAAAATAAAACAAGAAGAGGTAAAAGAAAAGTCTCTATTCTGTTTCTTTTTTAGCATGTTTTTATTTTGTATTTTTTTTTTATTAATATCCCTCTCATTCTAACGTATATTTTTTATATTTTTAATATACTTTTTACATTTCTAATATAAAATACCTAAACTCACATATTAAAAAAAATTCATCCAAACATATTTGTTAAATTCGGTGGCCATATAAATAATACAATAATGAGACATGTATCTACCAATAGGCGAAATTTTTAACAAATTTATAAGATTTGTACTTGTTAACGTTAGGATTAAACATCTTTACACATTAGTCAACTCATTTCGTAAGATACTTTATCTTAAACTCGTCACAAACATTTTAAGATTAACTTATCTCCGATCGACACGTATTAGAGTATTACACTAGAGAAAAAAAGAAATATGTTCCAATGAAGCAAAATTTTTAATGCAAAAGCGACCTATGCTCAAATGAAAAGCCCCTAGTGAAAATAAATGACATATAGTTTGTCAACCTACAAATCTATTTTAATTTAATTGTTTTTAGTTTTTATCTCTGTTTTTCCCACAAACTTTTTTTTTTTTTTCATGATAATTTTATGATTTTTGAAAAACAATTAATTAGAGACCAACAACAAGTCCCAAAGCACACGGGGGACTGATATAAAAGGCCCTTTTGCTCCTCACATCTTTCTCTACCATTGGCTTCACATATTTTTGCTGCTCAGCAACGCAATATATTCTTTGTTGGGCTTCCTCTGTCAGGGCAGACTCTCTCAAGATCTGCCCCCTTTTCCAATCCTTCTCTGATTTCTACTGTAAGCTCCTTCTTCCTTTTTCCATGTTAACGTGTTTTGATTCGTTTTGGATCATAAATCTGTGTGTATTTTGTTGTGTAATGCTTTTGGATTCAACTGCTGTTCGTGTGTAGTTTTAGATCTGTGTCTGTTCGGATCTGATCCCTTTATTTAGATCTCGTTTCCGTGAAAATTGTGTTTGTTTTGGGTGTTTTGTTGGTTGAGTTTGAATCCTGTTTGATTGAATACGATACAGATGTATACATATATGATATAGAAAGGTTGGATCTTTGTTAGTGGGTGATCTTGGTCGATGTTTACCGGGCTCTCGATCCTATGTGTTTGTTTTGAGAAAGGGAAAATCGGAAGAGGGTAAAGAGGGTTGGGCTTTAACTTTGATTTCCGAAGCTTGTCGTTTAGGTCGTGATGTGATGTGATGTCGTGAAATTATTTGAATTCTGGGATGGGATCAACTTCTGGAAATGATTTTTGTGACATAGGTAATCATTGCAATTTCCAAACGTGGATTGAAATCCAGGGTGTTGTGATCAGCTTTGATGGTTTGATGAGTGTTTTATTACTGTTTCTTCTTATGAAAATTTGCCTGTTCACCTGATGAGTTGTTTCTTCTCTTACCATTACTTGGATGTGTGAGCTTGGAAAATTTTGGCCACTGAAACTTAATTTTGATATTGTCTAAAAGCAAAATGTTAAATAGTAAAAGAGGAAATGAAATTTAGTTTTGGTTGTTAGATTTCTCTCTGCATAAATTGGGATCTAGATCGGATTTTGTGTTAAGGGATTCACATTGCTTGGAGATTGTAAATTATTCATCATTACCTAGTACCATTCTCTTTTGTAGATCTTATGTTCTTTAGAGCCTTGTTAGCTTTTTGTTTCTAAGAGCTAATTTTTAACAGCTAACATCTGGTTGTGCAGGCGTACGAACATTCCAAGATGGGTTTATCATTCACCAAGCTTTTCAGCCGGCTTTTTGCCAAGAAGGAGATGCGTATACTGATGGTGGGTCTCGATGCAGCTGGTAAAACTACCATATTGTACAAGCTCAAGCTGGGAGAAATTGTTACAACCATCCCTACCATTGGTATGTCTCATTGCAGTAATGTCTTCTATTCAATTGTTTATTTATCTATTTTTGGTGCACAGTGGGATAAATTTGGCAACCTTTGGTGTTTTAAAGTATATTCTTATTGGTCTTTTACGCTTAGTTGGCTGGTTTATTTATTGAAATGCAGTAATAATGTGCGATGTAGATGTTGGTTGCCTTCTTGTTAGTATGATATTAGTTAAGGTTTGGAACATACAGAAAAAGTCAAAAGTGAACAGAACCTGTACAGTGATAAGTGAGTAGGGAACATGGGGGTGTGTGTGTTTTGGGGGAGTTACTTTTACGTGGACGTTGTTTGTTACCAAATGTTTGTTAAGCCTTGTTCATTTTGGTCCTTAATGCCAGGATTTAATGTGGAGACTGTGGAATACAAGAACATCAGCTTTACCGTGTGGGATGTTGGGGGTCAAGACAAGGTATGTGGCACTAGTTTATTGCAATGTCATTGCTCTGCTTTGGAGACCTGCTACACCCAATTATTATTTGGTATTGTGAACATGTTGTATGTTTAATCCTGAAGCCAACCCCACATAGCTGGAAAAAGGCTTCTTGTTGTATGTCTCCTGCTTCTTAGATGGACGAATCATTTACTATTCATTCTTTTGCTGTTATTTGCATAAGCAAGATGTCTGTAACTGTTGCTTATATTCTCTGGATATATTGTCTGTGTTGCAGATCCGACCATTGTGGAGACATTACTTCCAGAATACTCAAGGACTTATATTTGTCGTTGACAGCAATGACAGAGATCGTGTTGTTGAGGCTAGGGATGAGCTGCACAGGATGTTGAATGAGGTAGTAAATCTGAATAAATCATACTCTATTACTTTACCATTATGTCTGCTGGGAGATGTCGGAGAGTTGTGACATTAGTTCCTGCTTTCTGCTGATTAGTTTCATATTAGCAGTAGGTGCTTGATTGCTACTTCCTCTCGGAATGTAGCTTTTATTGAACTGATAATGTAGCTTTTATTGAACTGCAATTGGTGTAGGAACTTATGATTGCACTGAAGATTAAATATATATTGTTAACATTGCAAACATGATTCTAATTTATGACTGATGAACCAGGATGAGCTGAGGGATGCAGTCCTCCTTGTGTTTGCCAACAAACAAGATCTTCCAAATGCAATGAATGCTGCAGAGATCACCGACAAGCTAGGCCTCCACTCCCTTCGTCAGCGTCACTGGTAATCTAGTCTCTCTTATTCTGCACACACACAAACTAACACTCACATGCACACATCCAAACATTATATGGTATTGTGTAGCCATTTTAAGTCTCGTTCTGAAAACTCTTTATTTGTCTTTTGCAGGTACATCCAGAGCACTTGTGCTACCTCTGGGGAAGGGCTCTACGAAGGGCTTGACTGGCTGTCTAACAACATAGCTAACAAGGTAGGGAATGCAACTTGATTATTCAGATCCTTTAGAGTTTATAAAAGCAACTTGGTATTCGATCCTTATAGTTCAAAGCGACTTGATAATGATTCATGGCTCAATATGTGTTGCAGGCCTAGATGATGAATGATGGAGATGAAGAGACATCATACTTCATGATTTTGCAGATCAGTCTTTTGCCTAAGTGGACACCACATATTTCCTTGTTATATTATTATATTTCATTCGTCTTGCATCTGCAAGATCAAACTGCGTTTATTCCGTTTAGTGGTCTGTAATTCCGTATACACTTCGACATTTTGATCTCTGATTAGTTTCAGACATATTGTTAAATGTTAATGGGTATAGTTGTGCAGTCGGCTCTGCATTTTTAGTCCATTATTTCCAATCATTCTTATTCCGTTTTCTCGGCTGAATTCAAGCAGTATTTTTATTTTTCTTTTAATACGCTTGGTACCAATTCATTTGTCAGCAATCTGCTAAAACCTCCTACCTTGGATTTAGTAGCTCTACAGTTAAACATGATTCAATACATTAAACTATTTCTATGATCAAAGACTGAGAATCAACTAAATTCCGATTCCATATTCAAATGTAATAATGCGATCCCGAAATTTTGATATGAAAAATCAAGAAAAAGCTTCGAACTGATCCAACAACACAAAAGCCTGATTCTGACCTGCAGTAGTCTCCCTGCTGACACTACTTGCACTTGGTCGCAGATCCTTAGTTCTCTGATCATTTTCAAGAACTTCTTCAAGCTCTTCCCTTTCATCCAATCACGCAAAAGCTGTCTTCATTTTCTTTTTTGAGAGTAGAAGACATGCTGTTCATGTCATTCCTCATTTGAAAGAGGCAATCGAGAAAGGCCAGCTTTGTTGCATACTTCTCTTTCGGCCCTTTTTATCATCATCTCAAAACTTATACTCCCTCTGTCCCAAAATTATTGTTCAATTTGAGATTTCACTTTTAGTACAATTTGAACTAGAAATGAAAATTCAAACAGAACAATAATTATGGGACAGAGGGAGTACTAGCTTCCTTTACCCTCGTCTCAAATTTCATGTCTCGGTAATCTCCCGCATACGACAACGCTTTCTTCATTGCTTGTGATTTTAATGCGTGCAGCTCCATTCGAAACGCCCCGCCCATTGGCATGCGGATCAAAGATGATCTCAACTTGAGGAAATCTCCTGGGAGCTCTTCCAATGCGCCTGTCTCAGAGAATAGATTATTTGAACAAGTCAAGTACTCATGTTTTGCAAATGCATGGTTTTGTATAAAGTGAAATAGTGAATGATACACCCCGTAAAATTAGATTAGCGTGGAAAATGTGAATGGATGTTCGGTTAGTTGTTTTTGTTGTGAACGAACTTTTTACTGATTTGCTGCTTGGACTTAAAAATTTAAAATTCTCCATTAATTAATGAGGTTGTAATAATTGTCTAGGTTAAGATTTCACGAATTGTACTAAAAATGAAATTCTAAATTGGACGACCATTTTGGATCAAAAAGAGTATTTCTTTTATAAACTATATAATATATCAAATGCAAGATAAGACATGATTTGATGATTTGATCTATCTTTATTACTGGTCAAATTGCCTGTAGTAATACAAGCCTGTGTTCCTCGAGTCCTTCTATGCCGTGTCCTGATCTCGGTTCCTGGAACATCTTTGCTGCAGTATCTACTACACCAAGGCTAGTGATGAAAGCTCCCTTGAAAAATGCATTTCGGAATTTAAGAAAGCAATTTGGATCCGATTCACGAGGCCAATTAGCGCCGCATAGGTAGGGTCGACATCCCTTTTCACCATTGGAGCAAATTAACAAGACAGGGTTCATGCGGAGTCTCCATACACATGAAGCACCTGCCTGGTTTCATCCCACTCCCTTTCTTCAGGGGAATAAGGTGGACGCAAAAAGCTTCCAATATGATGCAACCACAACCATTTGACTTAACGCCACGAAATGATGCCATTTCTTTCAACGGATTCGGTACACCTCGATTCTGAAAGATGATGCTACCAAGCTCTTGTAATAGGAAAACAGAACTGCAACCGAAATCATTAATCACATTTCTGAATTAAGTTAAAAAAACCCCTAAAGACATGAACCCAAACCAATGGCTTCCTTCAGGGCCTCCCTAGATCTTACATAGAAACATATGCATTAGATTAAAGAACTGCAAAGAAAAATCAAAGAGGACAAGGACCCAAAAGCTGAACCCCTCAACCCAAACCAATCTCAAACTTATTTTGCCTTTTCTTATCATCAAACGGTTAACTTCAAGTTAGTGTTAATACATCAAATGATTTGGGGATGTCGAGCCCCACGAAGCTAAAAAACCCACGGAAAAAAGAATCTAAAAGTTTTTGGACTGAAGTGAACACAACATTCCTATACATCAAGTGGCAAATAAGTGAACACAACATAACTTTTTGCTCAAAATGCCATCCAAACAATTTTTTCATTTACTATTACGTTTTCACTTAAAACACGTTCCACTTTTAAGTTGTAAATGTAAACTAAGTGGACGTCCAAACAATCACTTAGAAACTTGAAACCCGAATCTGCAAGACAAATAATCCACCAATTCTCAAGGTCAAACTTTAGCAACACAGCATGCTATTGCTAGCCTATATGCCAATCAACAATTATGATATAGTATTTTCTTCTCCACTACAAAGGTTAAACTAGAAAGTCAATACAACGTCCAATAGCTCGATCCAATTAACTACTTCAAAATCATAGGGGGAAAAAAAAGAAAAAAGAAAAAGCGCAGACGGGCTAACCTAAAAGGGAAGAGCACGCAACGATTGAATTGATATGGGAAGGCAAATTTGTTGCTGATGCTTAAGGAGAATTCTAGTAAACAGCCCTTCGGAATCAGCTGCGGGACAAAAGGGGAAGAAGGCCAAGTGCCATATAAATAAACAAACCAGAGTTCTTTTTTTTTTTTTGGAAAAACAACTTTCATAACATTAACAACATGAGTTACTTACAACGTAAGTACAGAGTTCCAAAAGCCAAAAGTTTCATCAGTTTCCTTAGCAACCACAACTTTTTTGCAGGTCGAATCATCATTAACCTAAGACGCCGCTGGATTGCGCCTCATCAGTTTCCTTAGCAAAGCCTGTGCATATTGTCTAGAAACTCTCTTTTCACTTTGCTGATCGTACAATTTTGGATTTGTAACACTGACTTACAATATCCTGAATCTTTTCCGTAAACTTCCTACTTATCAACCTCTTGGCATCGACAATAACGCAAGGATTTTGTCATCAATCTGATCGCATTAATAATTTGCTCAAAATCATACATATATTTATTGCGCCTCAAATCCAATTTCAATGAAGTTGATGTTCAGTTCTTATCTCGAAACAAATTGTCAACTAATAAACCGAAGCTGCCACATATCGTATACTATCTCTCCGGTCCTTAATATAAGGCATTTTGATTTGTACTAGGTTTAATCTACTACACATTTTTAATTAACAAAAAAATCTTAAAAATATTTCATAACGATCAGGGGATTACTACGAATATGAAAATATATTTTTTAAGTTTTTTTCATCAATAAAAAATACGTACTAGGTGAAAATAAGACAAAATCAAAATGCCTTATATTAAGGAGTGGAGGGAGTAGTTCTCATGTTTGTGAAGCAATTCAAAGAAAGTGGATTCAAATTTCTTAGAAGGAAAAAGAGAGACAAGAGTACATTGTTCCAAGTCAATTCCGATTGCCGGAGTACTTTCTGATTTTTTCACTTATTGTAACGGAAAGAAAATGGTAGCAAATGTAGTCAATCAGAGGAAGAGAGAAGACTTTTGAGGCTAATGCATAAGGAATACATTATATCCTTCTTGCCGGTCAACCATCACAACTCCACGAAATTTCTCCTATAAAAAGTCTGGTCAATTGCTTCCTTATTAGAGCCAAGTTGTATGTGGATTGTGGATATATCTTCGAAATTATCATAGCTCAAGCCATCTTAAAATATAGTACTCAACCTTTTGAAGTCAATAATAAATAATCATATGCCTAAAATTGGAGGAAAATAATCATGAACTTAATCCCTCTTTTCAGTCATAATTAACTCTTTGGTCTGCATCAAAGCTAACAGAAGCAATTGGGAAACAAAACGATTTGTTTGAAAGCCAGCAATAATTTTAAAAAAAAAAAACCTAAGTATTTTAATAAATGTTATGATCATTTTTGGACGGAAAGATTATAGATAACGTGTTAAGCTCAATGTAACTAACAATATTCAAGAAAGCAACGCAAAAATCCTCTGTATTGCGAAAATGTTAAACTTAAACATAAAGTTCCTGAGCATGTGTTCTTGGTTTCTTATGTTTGAATTATGTCAATTCTCGCAACAACCACAAGGCATCACTTGGTTTCCAAATTCGCATCAATTGCTTCTTTTTGTCTTCATATTCATGAACCTCAGCAAGCTCATCTTTTTCATCCAACCATTCAAATGCCTTCTTCATTGCTTCTTCAACATTCTTCTTCTTGCGGCTCTTGTTTACATCATCCCTCATTTGATACAAAAACTCCAAGAAGGCCTGCATTGCTGCATTCTTCTTCAGGTGATTATCATCCTCAGCCTTTAACTTGTTAGCTTCCGCGATCATCGTATCAATCTCATTTCTACACAATCTGCCACTCTTGATAGTGATTCTTTTCTCTGTCCCGGTGAAACTATCCTCCACGGATACGCGCAAAATACCATTGGCTGGCACATCAAATATGACGTTGAGTTTTGGAACTCCCCTAGGGGCGATCTGAACGCCCGCGAGCACCAATTTGCCTAGGAAATAGTTGTCGCTTGTTCTCGCTCTCTCGCCTTCAAACACCTTAACTAGAACTGAAGAGCTGTTATCGATGCTACAGCTGAATGGTTTTGTCACTCTCGCGGGAATGATGGTATTCCTAGGTATCACAACATTCATCACTTCCCCTTTGGTTTCGACACCTAAAGATAATGGTGTAATTTCTGAGAGCACAAGATTCTGAAACTTTTCGTTCCCTTGACCACTCAACATTGCGGCTTGAATTGTTGCACCGTAAGCAACAGCTTCATCCGGGTTGATGTTTCTGCAAAGCTCCTTCTTGTTTAGTAAGTCTTGTAACATCCTCTGAACCTTTGGAATCCTGCTCGAACCGCCCACCAGGACAACATCATCTACAGCTTCCTTGTTTATATTGGCATCTGTCACACATTTTCCCACTATCTCCATGCACTTGACGAATAAATCTTTGTTCAAATCCTCAAACTTGGGTCGGGTTATAGTAGCTGAAAAATCAATGCCTTCAAATAGGCAATCAATATCAACTACAGTTTCAAAAGCTGTAGAAAGGATCCTCTTAGCTCTCTCACAAGCTGTTCTTAATCTCCTGATTGATTTGGGATTTTCACTGATATCCCTATTGTGTTTCTTCTTGAATTCATTAATAAAATGGTTCACCATTCGATTGTCAAAGTCTTCCCCACCAAGGTGACTATCACCAGCTGTAGCTTGGACTTCAATGTTACCCTTTTTTATGGTGAGAATTGAGACATCAAAAGTACCACCACCAAGGTCAAAAATAAGCACATTCCTCTTCTTCTTTTCTTTCAAGCTGGAATGATGATTATCAAGTTCATACGCGATGGCCGCAGCTGTTGGTTCGTTGATGATGCGCAGAATGTTAAGGCGCGCGATTTCAGCAGCATCCATTGTGGCCTGACGCTGCGAATAATTGAAGTAGGCCGGAACCGTGACAACTGCATCTTTCACCTCTGACCCAATGTAGGTTTCAGCAATCTGCTTCATCTTGGTTAGAACCATAGCTGAGATTTCCTCTGCAGCAAATTGTTTGGTGTCACCTTTGTAATTGACAACAATCATTGGCCTATCTTCTGTACCGGAAATCACTTTGAATGGCCATAATTTTATGTCACTATGTACTGACTCATCGCTAAACTTCCTTCCAATCAATCTTTTGGCATCTGTAACGCGAGAACTTCATCATCATTGTGATCAAATTATTAGCTCAAAACCATAAATAATGTTGCACATTTTAAAGCTTAATTATGAAGACTGATTAAATGAGAATGTGACAAATAATTTACTGAACAAAAATTTAGAAACAGAGGATTACATACCAAAGACAGTGTTGATCGGATTCAGGGCAACTTGGTTGTAAGCAGAATCACCAATGAGACGTTCATTCCCGGAGAAAGCAACATAAGAAGGAGTGGTCCGATTGCCCTGGTCATTGGTTATAATCTCGACCCGATCGTGTTTCCAGTAACCCACACAAGAATATGTTGTCCCCAAGTCAATTCCGATTGCCGGAGTAATTCTGGCCTTTTCATCCATTGCAATGACAGAAACCGGAACGTGCAGAAAAAAGAGATGGAAGTCAATTAGAGAAAGAGAAGACCATTTGAAAGTTAATGATGCAGAAATGTAGCCCTCTTGCGGGTCAAACAAGAACATGTATATCATATAAACTCCACGAAATTCACTTACAAAGTTATTGAAGTTTGCTACTTATACTAGATTAGAGCCAAGTTGTATCATGTATGTGGATTTGAGGATGTCTATGCAATTATCATGCCTTGAGTCATTTCAAAAAATTTCGTCAACCTTTTGAAGTCAAATGATTAATTATGATTAGTTTTTTCTTTTTCAGGTTGACTCATTCATTAATTCAAAACATGCAACTTCTTCTTTTTTTAAAAATTATTAAAAAATGCTATTGTCCGCCTTCCAATTATATATATATATATATATATATATATATCTTACTATATTAGAAACAAAAACCACACTTAAAGAAAGCAACACCATTTGACATGTGGCATTTCCACATCATATTTTTAAAATAAATTTTTATTTACACATCTTCTAGACTTAAAAGTCAAATCTAGTCCAAATCCACCTTCACCTCCTATTTTTGCCAAAACAAAACAAAAAAAATCACGTGTTCATAAAAAATCTAAATCCTCATCCCTATCTCCACGACAATCGACTCCCTAATCAATTCTTTCTCCACAATAAAAAAAAAAATTCATCATCAATCATCAATTGAGAATATGTGGTGAAATATACTCCTTTCCTATTAGCATGTTAAATTTTTTCATTAATGATGATCAACTGCATCTTAATCGGATAAAATTTTGACTTCAAAAAATATTCTCTTTACCTCTCTATATAAACACAAAGGAAAAAAAATTCTCATTGATCTTGCTTCGGCTGTTGTGGTGGTGCAATTACAGGTATTAAAATTTAAATGATTTTATTTTCACAGAGCATTTGTTTGGCTTTTATTATTTTTTATTTTTTCCCATTCAAGAATAGTGTTATTACTATTATTTTTATGCGGCCATCTGTTACAGCTACCGTAGCCGTTGTCAGGTAATATGATGTGATTTCTTATCTGGTTAGTTAGCCTAGAATATTTGTATGATTTTAGTTCTGTTTGAATTGAATTGATTAATTGAATTTTTGTTACAAAGTGTAGTTTTTTAAATTTCTTTTTTATGTTTCATTCAATTAGAGTAGTTTTTTTTTTTTAATTATGGAGTCTCAGTTTTTTTTTCGGTATATGGTCAGTTATGATGTGCTTTTTCTTTGTTTAATTTTTTTTTTATTTTGTTTCATAATCCCAGTTGACCAATTATTATTATTATTATTATTATTATTATTATTATTATTATTATTATTATTATTATTTTATTTGCAAATGTAGCACATTTTTTTTCCTTTTTTTTTGTGTTCGGGCTTTCAAGAATATATTTTTTTAGATTTGGTTTTTGGACTTTTTTTAGTTCCTCATAATATAAATAGTTCAAGTCGCTTTTTCTAACTAATTTATGGGGAAGCCTTTTATGAATTTGAGATGGAGAGGGAAGGAATGGTGTTTCTACATTTATTTTTGTTTTTATACATTATTTTTACCTACAGAAAAAAATAAATTCCTCAATTTTTAATGGGGCTATCTTTTACTTTCTTTTTTTTTATTTGCCATGGTGAGGTGAATTCTTTTTTGCTATAACTTGAAACCTATGCAAATTTACATTATTTTCATTCTCATATTTGTGATAAACCAATTTCAACAATTAACCAATTTCAAAATCATATTTTTTGATATTTTACTATCTATAAACTTTTGAAAGAAATAGTTCCAATAATTAAGCGTATATCCTTTGGAGGAAGCTTACTACAAAGCTATTATATAAATCTTCAAAACCAAATATTGATTTGGCACAACCAATGAAGAACATTAATAAATCATCTTACTAATATTTAAATTTATTAGGATGCTTTTATATTTTGTCTAGCATTTATTTCAAAACAAATATTTGATCAAGTTTATTTATATTTAGGAAGTAACACTTATAAAATATTTTTAAAATCTTCAAATATTTTTAAACATTTCTATGATCACACTTATAAAATATTTTTAAATTCTTCAAACATTTCTAAAATATATCGGGCCAAATACAAAATTTTTTTTTCCAGATACAAACATTTCTAAGATTTAAAGATATATTGGGCCATGGTCGCGCTTTGCACGACCAGACATCACCAATATATATATATATATATATATATATATATATATATATATATATATATATATATATACACAACACTAAAGACAGATTACAATTGAGAGGCCAACGGTAAAGTTGCCTTTGTCATTCTGTGTAGATTCTCTACTAATGACCTATCAACCTCTAAGATATCACAATTAGGGATGGAGTGCACTAGATTGGAGATGTCTTCAACTATTTCAGCAGCATGGTATGGTATCTGAGATGTTGTTGCATCCTTCTTTGCCAAAGTTATATTGTCGGTTTGTAGCTGGCAATTTCGCAACCCTAGAGCCATTGCTTCCTGTAGTCCTGCTAGGCAAGCTTTCGCTTCAGAAAAGAGAGGTGAGATGGGTAGAAGCTCAATATTCCATTGGTAATGTATCGTCCGTTCTTATCCAATATCTTCCAAGCTGCCAACCCCTTCTTATCCTCCATTTTGAAGGCCCCATCTGTCCTGATAATATAATCTGGGGTTTGTGTTTGATTCCTAGTGTGTGTGCCAATCAAGTGACTCGAAATAATGGAGATCATCAATCTGTTGTCCCATAGGTAGCCAACACGCGCTCTGCAGTACCTGGTGGAAACATAACTTGCACAAGCGACTCTCTCCATTTGTAATTCTCATCCAACAAGTCTCGGACTTTCCAATTTAGGAGATCCTGGTATATCTCCACATCTCTCAGAGGATTCTCTGTTTCTGGAATCCAGTTCTCATCAATTTTAATGGACTTACCGTTCACCACCTTCCACTTTAAGCCTCTTTAGAGGAGTTGCTATTAATTTCTAGGGGGTTAAATGCGTTTTGTTTCCCCTCTCCTTGATTATGACTGAGATTCGACAAATTTTATATGCAATTTACTATATTCAAATTTTTTTTCGCTCATTAAAATAAGCTAAAAGAAACTAGGGTTTCAATCTTTGCCTCCGAGAAAAGAGGGTTAGGACTTAGACCGAAAGTGGAACGAGATGTAATCCATTAATTGATGTTTAGGTGTTTAACTATTTAAATTAATTTATACTTCAATATAAAATAAATAACAAATAACTAAATATGTAGAGAGTAAAAGCCACACGGAACAGGAAAAAAACACACAATAGACTTTGAACTCTTTTATTATTCTTATTATTGAAATGTAAAATCAAGCCAATTTAGATATCGATTTTGCATAAATACAATGCAAGCCATTGTCGAGACTTTTTACCTAATTATTACTATTATTATAGCAAGCCAAAAAACCCAAAGCAAGAAACATAGAAACGATGATCGCAAGGGGCCAAAAAAAAGGAGGAGGACTTAAAGGAGAGATACCATAAGATGCTATCACCAAAAAACAAAAACCAATAAAACCAACGAAAACCCAAAAGAAAAAATTGTCTCCGCCTCGTCCACGCCTATCACCACCGTGCATCTCCATTTCCATTTCCTCCGATCGGCGAGAGTTAATAAAAGATTAAAGAAACTAGGGATGAAATTATTGTTTACAAAGAAACAAATCAAGCCACACTCGCTAGTGTTTTGTGTACTGCGATGAATTAATTACCTTCGAATTAGATACATATTTAAAGATATGTTCCGTGCAAATGAAAGCAAAAAACAAGAAGAGATGAAAGTATTCATTCGCGAATGGGGACAAAATCTTGATAACGGCCATTACCTATTGAAAATTTGAAAACTAAACATAATCCGTATATATTACACGAGATAAGTCTGGTTCAATTTGAAAAATGTCTTAACACACGTGTCCAAATTGATATGAAACCAGTATCCTAAAGTGAGTTGCTTAACGTAGATTAATTTTACTTTGTACAGCTTATAAAAAAGACTTAAATATCTCTAAACTCTAAAGTTTTCATAGTTTCACTCTTTTATACCATTTTCTCTCTTTATTTTTTAAATCAATCTCTCAAATTTTTTATGGTGTAAAAATTTCACCGTTTGTTGATAGTTTGAAATAGGAGAAAATCGAAAAAATGAAAAATAAGCGAAAAGAGGAATGAACGTCTCAAAAAGTAATTTTGTAGACAATTTTTTTTTAAGAGGAAAACTCCTGACAGGATATGTTACGCCAAAAGGGAAAACTACCGACATGGCAAAACTTGATGATGTAATCAGTATCATTGATCCATCGATATTCTATGTTGTAGCCTCGTAATAGTTTGAAACAAGAGTTTAAATTCATGTATGCTTGAAAATTTATTTATGGATTATTTGCAAAGCATTAAGGAATTGAGGTTTATTTTAATATCTTTTATAAGTTGTGCAAAAAAATAAAAAAAAAAACTGTGTTCATAACAAGGAAAAAGAGAAATAAAAAAATAAAGGAAAGAGAAAGTTTTAAGGGTATTTAAGTCTTTTTAATAAGCCATAAGAAATAAAATCAATCTTTGTTTAGCAACACCCTATTCTAAATCTTAAAAATCAATTGTTTAAATTTGAAAATGGGAGTTAATAAGATGAGAATTATATATATAAATTGATTTATATAAGATATTTGTTTGAATTTGAAAATAATACGTTCCCTAACAAATTTATCTTTAAATATGCAAGATGAATAGAAATTTGTATTTTTAGATTTGAACATTTTTAGTTTGAAACTAACACATGCCATGCTACATGTGGGGGGTAAGAACTAGTATTAATATACAGCAAAACATCTATAAACTAATAATTGATAAATTAATAACATTTATAAATTATAATTTTCCCCGAACCCACGTTAGAACTAATACAAGAAACAAAGGCAATCGATAAAATAATAAGATAATAATTTTTCAAAAAGTTCATATGTAAATATATGTCACGTCAATATCATAATTTAATAATGAGTTAATTTTAAAAAATAATTAGAAGCTGTAAAATATGAATCTAGTAACATATTTTTTTTCTTGAAATTTACATCTAAAGAGATTTTATTTTTGATTTTTTTCAAACAATAATTAGGAACTATAAAATAAGAATCTAGTAGGTATGTTTTTTTCTTGAAATTTACATCTAAAGAGTTTTTTTTATTTTTTTCCATTACTTTAAAAAGTTATGGTGTAGAATTTTCATATTCCAACAAAAAATTTCGAAAAGTTACTGACCCATTAAGTGCTTCATTTTGTACAATTAGTTTAAATAACACTAAATCATCATCATTTTCGCACTAGGTCAAAGTTTTAGTAACAGTAATTATAATTTCTCCAAAGATTTTATTAACTACTAGTTAATTTATTGATAAATTAATTCGATAAATAAATATATCTATAAATTAATAATTTTTTGGGGTTCTAATAATATTAATTTATAGATGTTTGACTGTATTACTATTAATTATTGATTCATATTGATCATTAATCTTTTTTTTGGGGGTGCACATATTGATCATTAATCTATTATTAACTGGTTCTTATTGATCCTCTATATAATTGATTGTAATCCTTTGACCTTTTTCTTGTCCTTATTGCTAATCAAATTCATGAATTTTTGCAATAGCCAAGTCTCCCTGGTACACCACTTCAAAAAAAAAAAAAGGTCTCCCTGATACCCTCAATTGGTGGTTTCGAAATGCGCATCATCGAGGTGCAACACGGTATTTGTTGTTGATTCATAAGGAAAAGTATACGTAAATCTCGCTTCTCTCCCTTGTGAAATTCCTGATTCTGTCAGCTAAGATAAAACTTGAGTTGCATTGGAAAAGCTTGATAAACTCATTTACTTGTATAAAAACAGTTATAAGGTGATGTGTTTCTTGAATGTATGATATGGAAGGATAACACTACAATGCCTTAAAACAAACTTTTCTCAAACCAATCCATATAAAGTTTAAAAAAGTCTGAATTCCAATTCCATTCATTAGTGTTCTTGGTTCTTGCCCTCAAATTCTTCAATTTTCGCGACGACAAGGCGCTTCCCCCTCCCTGTTACCACCGGCAACATTTGGTTTCCAAATGCGCATCAGTGCCTTCTTTTTCTCTTCATATTCATGAACCTCCGCAAGCTCTTCTTTTTCATCCAACCATTCAAATGCCTTCTTCATTGCTTCTTCAGCATCCCTTTTCTCGACGTTGTTCTTTATGCCATCCCTCATTTGATAGAGGTAATTCAATAATGCCAGCTTTGCAGCATTCTTCTTCCGGTGCTTTTCATCCTCAGCCTTGAACTTGTTAGCTTCTATGATCATCATATCAATCTCATTCCTTGACAATCTCCCACTCTTGATAATGATGTCTTTCTTGCTCCCTGTGATTTCATCCCGCGCAGATACACTCAAAATGCCATTGGCTTGCAGGTCAAAGATGACCTCCAGTTTGGGAATTCCCCTTGGCGCTATTTGGATGCCTGTGAGCACTAATTCGCCTAACAGATTGTTGTCACTTGTTCTCGCCCTCTCGCCTTCAAACACTTTCACTAGCACAGAAGAACTGTTATCACTGCTACAAGTGAATGGTTTTGTTACTCTGGTAGGAATGACAGTATTCCTGGGAATCAGAGAATTCATAACTTCTCCTTTGGTCTCAACTCCAAGAGATAACGGAGTAACTTCAGCAAGTACAAGATTTTCAATATTCTCATTCCCCCGCCCACTCAAGATTGCGGCTTGAATAGTTGCACCGTAGGCAACAGCTTCATCTGGGTTGATGTTTCTGCAGAGCTCCTTCCCATTTAGCAAGTCTTTTAATATCTGTTGAACTTTCGGAATCCTGCTTGAACCCCCCACCATGACAACGTCGTCTATAGCATTCTTATTCATCTGGGCATCCACCAAACACTTTTCGACTGTCTCAATGCACTTGACAAATAAATCTTTGTTCAACTCCTCAAATTTGGATCGTGTTATAAGTGCTGAAAAGTCAATACCTTCAAACAAGCAATCTATATCAATCAGTGTCTCGGCAGAAGAGGAAAGGATTCTCTTGGCCCTTTCACAAGCAGTTCTTAATCTTCTTAATGATTTAGGATTGCCACTGATATCCTTGTTGTGTTTCCTCTGGAATTCGTTAATAAACTGGTTCACCATTCGATTGTCGAAATCCTCCCCACCGAGGTGAGTGTCACCACCTGTAGCCTTGACTTCAATGTTACCACTTTTAATGGTGAGAACCGAGACATCAAAAGTACCACCACCAAGGTCAAAGATAAGAACATTCCTCTTGCCCATTATGCTGGAACGATTATCTAGTCCATAAGCGATTGCAGCAGCTGTTGGTTCATTGATAATACGGAGAATATTAACACCTGCGATTTTTCCAGCATCCAATGTGGCCTGACGCTGTGAATAATTGAAATAGGCTGGGACGGTAACAACAGCATCTTTCACCTCTGACCCGATGTAGGTTTCAGCAATCTGTTTCATCTTGGTTAGAACCATAGCCGAGATTTCCTCAGCAGCAAAATGCTTATCCTCTCCTTTGTAGGAGACAACGATCATCGGCCTATCTTCTTTACCAGAGATGATTTTGAATGGCCAAAGCTTCATGTCGCTCTGAACTGAGTTGTCAGTGAACTTCCTACCAATCAACCTCTTTGCATCTGCAATGTATAGATTTCATCATTAATGGTACTAATATCATACACATTGCGTCTCACATTAAAATTTTTAAGTTCTTTTAGTATAATGAGAAACTTTTTTAGTCTATTTGTACTTCCTAACTGCTGACTTTAATAAGTTAGCAGCGACTAGGAGTTCTCCTTCAAAATCTTTCGTTCCCGAAATTCAATATCAGCAACCACTAGTCTTGTACTTCTTGATAAGATGATCAATCTTTTTCCAGAAAAGTGTCCATGACTATTGCAGGAATGAACAGAAACAAATAAAAACTTTCAGAGCTACAACTTCATCGAAGAAGACAAGTCAATCATTGAATACAATTATACAAATGAATCCAGACTAGACTTATGCAAGATCCAATAAATTCCTTTCAAGTTCAACCAGTACTATATACATGCATGTATACTTCAACAGGATGAAGAAGTAGTAACTAAAACAGAAAGTGATAAACAAAAGATTACCGAAGATAGAGTTGACAGGATTCAAGGCAACTTGATTGTAAGCAGCATCACCAATTAGACGTTCATTGTCAGTGAAAGCGACATAAGATGGGGTGGTTCTGTTGCCTTGATCATTCGTTATAATCTCAACTCGGTCGTGTTTCCAGTATCCAACACAAGAGTAGGTCGTCCCCAAGTCAATTCCGATTGCTGGAGCCCCTACCTTTTCAGCCATTCTAATGGCAGAAATCAGTTCAGACCTAACCAATCAGAAGAGGAAGGAAGATTTTAGAGGCAAGTGTAAAATTGTAGAAGCATTGAAGTATCAATATTTGCACCACCGGTGCAGATATATATATCTTGCTGAGTATTTGTCAACCACGTAGCTTCACCATCAACTCAAAGAAATTTCCCGGCAGAATAATTGAGGTTGTGAGCTATTCTCAAAGTCAAGTTATATGCAGATATCTACCCAATTATCATAGCTCCCAGTCATTTTATAAACAAGTCAATCTTTCAGGGTCATTAAATAATTACAAGGAATGAAATAAGTCAATCTTTCAGGGTCATTAAATAATTACCAGGAACGACCGGCAAGGCACGCTTCATGTACTTTCCAATGTGCTACTATATCAGCAGCGTATATCAGAAAACTAAATGAATTGATTGATTAAGATTTCGCATATGGCAAGTCTACAGATGCATTATTCTATCTATACTCAGAAGAACGTCACTTTCTTTTCTTTTCATTATTGCAAAGACTTGCCTCTAAAATAGATCTTGATCTAAATGCCAGAGTTTTCTTAACGCTGTCATAGTAACACTTTTAGCTTTAAACTTCTGATCAATCGAATCTTAAGATGGCTGTAAACCTGAATTTTATTCTGAGCCATTAGCATTTTGCGTTTAGCAAAAATATAAAATGAGTATGGAAGGTATTCGTGATCCAATATACGTACATCTATGTAGGAAGTAAAAAATCGTAAACAGAATTGACAGTTTCTGCATTAAAAGAAACTATCTGAGAACCCTGTTTGAGCTCAAGAAGAAATTATCTTCACCAGCAATAGTGGAATGCATCCTGCCCCCGGCCCACCCATTGTTGAGGGCACGGGCTGGCCCCCCAGTCACCCGACTGCCATCAACTTTGCTCTCGAACTCTGGAAGACCTTTTGCCTTCCTCTCTTTCCTTCTTCTCCTGTCGTCATCTCTTTCTTTTCTCAGCCAACTTTCTACTGTTCTCTGCAAAAGGAAGCGGAATAAACATCCAAGTCAGTGGTAGCACAAAACATAAGCAAAAGCTAATAAATAATGCTTGAAATGCTTTGTTCAACATTGAAAAGACTACCACAAAAATTATTTCTTCCAAAATTTCATGAAGAACCAATTTTCAGGAAGGTATTCATCATCCTCGCTAAATGCTATATTCCCATTTAGAAACTACCTCAAAAGGTCCCAAGCTTAAGTCTTACAATATACGTTGGGGCGACATTGCAGGTTCTACGAAACCATAAATGACTTCAGAACAAACATGTTCTGAAATTGAACCTAAACTAAAGACTCAGTAGGGTACAACTAGAAATTCGGTATTTATAGGTGAGGAAATCTTACCATTAATGAGAGCTGGCTCATCTCTCTGACCTTTTCCATCGGCATTGCTAATTGCAATCTCCCATGAGCGACATACACCTATATAGAGTTGACCCAGTTTGAGAACAAAATACAGTAAAGAAAACATGAAGTCAAGCAAACAGGACGTAATAGACTGAATCGTACGATCGAAGAAGGCCAATCCTCGAGACCGTCAAAAATATGGGTTGCATAAATGATTGTAGCACCACGCTCTTGGCATTCCTTCTTCAAAAATTTCATAAGGTCAGCCCTCGCAAGGACATCTAGGTCAACTGTGATCTCGTCTAAAAGAAGAACCTACCAACACAAAAGTTCAGATTGAAGTAAAGACAAAAACATCCTCATATGCCAATTTATCAGACAGACGACAAGATAAACTTCACATAACTTGGAAGTTGGCTCAAAATGAATCAGATTGTACCTTGAACGGCTTAAGTAGACCCATACATATCTGAACTCTTCTTCTCTGACCATCAGACACTTTGTGCATCCGCCATGAGAGATCTACACCTAACACCTGCATTGTGAAAGAAAGCAGCTTGGAACTTAAATAGCCACAACAGAAAGACTGTAAACAACACACACACACACACACACACACACACACACACACACATTACTAAATGTAAGAATCTTACTGTCCTTTTTCTTGGAACAAAAAGAATATTCAATTTACATGAAGATTGTAAATCCATCTATTACAGAAAGTCAGATTGAAATTCGATTAAAAAGCACAAACACAAAAATAAAAACTTTTTTTCTTTTGTTAAGGTTCCAGCAAATGAATAAAGATTAGGCCATAGAAATGGTTAAACCCCAGAAGAAATAACTACCCAGTGGAAACCACACATCAGCAACCAAATCAGGTCCATACAGAAGAAGAACATCTGAGAACTAGTAATATATCCTAACAAATGCAGATTGGAGACAGAGACCCAAATTCCTATCATGTCATCCATTCTAGTTTCTTGAATAACATCAGTTCAGACAATTGGAAATTAAGGAGAAACGTCACGATCGAAAATACAAAATTTCGTTCCACAAGTCCAACCAAATGCTTTTCTTGGCACAAAGCCAGTAACTATCATTTCATTTTAGATTGACACGCAATTTGGAGTTTGGAGGGAGCCTTCTCAGAATACTACAAGCAAAAGAGAAGGCAAAGAACATACTAACACAAAAGAACAAAGAAGACAAGGTAATTAAATTAAAAAGAGGGCCTTCATACAGTTGAAATGCATCAGGATACTCAAAAGGAGAAAACAGGAACCAAAGAACGGAATGGATGTGTGACAAAGCTATGTACATCAATATGTTCACTCAAACAGTGGCATATTTAACCAAAAACAAAAACCAAGAAAATGATACACAACTTAATTTCATTTACGGGTAATATACATCGCATCCTAATCACACACCATACCTTAATCAGTTCCTCTCGTCTTTGAGGATCAACACCCCCTACACCAAATATCATTTTCTCAGCAGAAACATCAATTTGAATGGAGACCTCAAACCCAGCGAATGCAACTTCTCTTTTCCACTGCACAAATAGAAGATAGTGTTGTCGTCCAAGACAATAAAGGGATAATCAACATTGTCCAACATGCAAAATTACTTACATCCACAAACAACTATAACCATAACAAAGTATTTAATGTTGAATATCAGGCAATTGGCAACCCAAAACGAGAATATCTGACAACAAAGCAGCTAGAAACTCTTTGTTTTGCACAAAGCTGAAACATTATCATTTCGGAAATTTTTGAAAAGAACAAGATCAAACGAAACAGAACCATCCGTTATTATTACCAATATGCACAAAAAGCAACTTATATGGACTTGTTCATTCTTCAACTCTTTAAACAAGTTAATTGCGCACAATCATTTCATTTTTTCTACCCCTGTTGTCACAACTACACACAAACACAAAGCACGCCAAATACAAAATAAGAGCGACAAGTAAGAGCAAGGAGAAAAAATACCTCTCCACCTAGGTAACAGAGGTCTCCAGAAACAGTGAGAGCAGTGTCATGAAATGCTGATCTTCCCAGGACCCTCACCATCTCAGGCTCCACCATATGCTTTCCCCCCAAAATCTTCAAAATCGTAGTCTTTCCTACCATCGCACAACCAAAACAAAGAAAAAGTATTACGAAATTCAGCTTTTTCCACCGACATTACTCTTACACATTAACACAAAATGTCCAAGGAAGTAGAAGTACACTCGAAACATAGTAATCAAGCGAGCTCACACAGCTAACATCAGTAATTCAAAAGATAATTTCCATTGAAGAAAATAAGCAGGAAAAAAAAGGAAATGGGAATAAGAAAGAACCTGCGCCATTGGATCCCACAAGAAGGCAACGATCGCCGGGATAAAGAGTGAGGCAAAAATCCTGGATCAAAGGAGTAGAGCCAGGCGGAGGATGGCCGTCGATTCCTGGGTAGGTGAATTTGAGGTTATTGATCTCCACCATCGGTTTCGGACCTCCGTCGTCCTCCTCTTGCTGCTGCTTCACCGCCATTTTTCCGTCTTCTCCTTTCCAAATTGAATCGAGCAAACTGAGAAATCAGTTAGGTGCAATATATAGTATTTCCATCGACTACGTGGCAGCATTTCAGACGTCAATTTGATCATTTAATTAATTGATTAAACACTTTATTTAGAGCAAATAAAAAAATTAGGTGCACAGAGACGTGCCTTTCCCAAATCCCACAAACCCAAAAAGAAAATTAATAAATACTAGTAATTAATAATAATTCTTTACCCGTTTTGAAAAGGACCCGACCCAACACTGTGATCCACCCATTTACTTTTTAGGGAAAAGGACAAAGCCCCCGAGTTATGTCCAAAGGACAAATTCCCCCTGATATTTCTTATAAGTACAAAACTCCCCGAATTATGTCCAAATGACAATTTCCCCCTATATCAGGAAATCTTAGAGCGAAAAGACAAAACTACCCATAAATTTAGAAATTATCTTTTTCAAAACTAAACCTTCCCTCCAATCAATTCGTTTATTTTTTTAGAATTATAAATTCTATTATCTGTCATTTGAAATCCGTCACTGACTCTACTGTGATGCATTATTTGTCTATAGAAAAAAAAAAGCTTATCCCTTATCTATAGTATATTATACTAAGAGAGAAACCAGAGAGAGAAAACAAAAAAGAATTCTAAAGGTGCCACATAGGATAAAATCTTATGTGTCATTTTCTAATGGTTGAGTCAAAAAATATTTACAACAATTATACTAATAGTCTTTCAAATTTTATGTAAATAAAATTTTATCAAATGGCATTTAAAACTATAATTTAAAATAGGAAAATAAAAATTAATTAAATTTAATGGATGGGATTAATGAACATTAATGCACCAGAATTATTCCCTCCCCAAAAGAATCCCAAAGTTACTACTGGACTCATTCAATTAATCTCTCTCCAAAAAAAAATCTCCCTCCCAATCATGTAAATCAATGACTACAATTCAAAAAAAAATACCAATTATTCAACATTAATGTTATCTTTAAAATCTTCTCCAAAAAACATGACCCTGTATTTTTCACCAATAAAAAAGAAAAAAAAGGTACAAAATTTGCCTTCAATTATTACTAAAAGGATGGAATTTAACTATAATTAAATATTATCTTTTGAATTTCAAACCAATGCATTTATTTGTGTAATATCATATCTACCCAAATAAATATAATCTTTCCTTAATAATATCTCAAAAATTGTTATAAACTTTATCTTTATCACTGAAATTTTAGATATCAATTATCATCAATCCCAATTTATCTCTATTTATACATGCCACACAAACCATGAGTATGTTCCAGTGCTGCAAAAATTTTCCCCTCCCCAAAATAACCCGAAATCCAAAGATGAAAGGGCAAAAACTTTAGCCCTACAATTGGTTTGTTGTTCTGAAAGTGAAGAACTAATAGTGGGTCGATCGTGTGGCATGGGAGGTAATGATTAATTAAGGTTATTATGATTTTTTTCCCCTATCTTCTTCTACAAAATGATGTTTTTGAGTTTTTTTTTAGACGTTACTAAATTTATGTTTTTTTTACCCATAATTTTATTATTTAATTAATTATTATTTTCTATTGTCATAGCAAAAAGGGATTAAAGGGCAACAATTTTAACTCTATAGTTGGACTTTTTGGTTATTTTCTATTATTTATATTTTCTAAATTTATATGCATTATTTATCTTTACAATTACGCCTTTATTTAATTTTAGTTGTGTAATGTATCTTAATATGGACTCCAAATACATTTTACACTTTTTAAATTTCTTTTGTTGATTTTTTATAATGTATATAAATAAACCCCGCGCATCGCGCGGGTTTAACATCTAGTATTGAACAAAGAAAAAAACAACGATAGATGATTGTTGCAAGGGAGGAAACCCAATTCCAATATTCACCGTAGAACACCGCTATGAAAATTGTTGTGAGAGAGAAAACCCATCTCACTTAGCATTGGAATTTGAATTTTCATCTAATATTAACTTGACCAAATGCATAATAAGAGTTAAGAGGGATTAATGAAAAAACAACGGAAAATAAGAACCAAAAACAAATGAAATTGAATGTCAGATTTATTAATTGTAGATGAGAAGCAGACGGGCTATTGTTGAAGATGAAAGGGAGAATGGGGAAAAAACAGATGAGAAGGTTGAGAGGGAGGAGAGAGGAGGAAAGTAGGCAGATTTTTTTTCTTTAAAAGAATGGGCGAGTTTTGTGATTCAATCGAAGTAAAAAAGTAAGGGTAAAGTGAGTTCGAGAAGATTACTTGTTATTATTTTAAATCAAAAGTAAAAATCATGTAAGTTTTATATAAAAATATTCATATAATTGTTATTATATTAATAAATAGTAACGAGTCGAGATACTCATCGAGCTTTCGGCTGAATATTTACTACTCGATTGAGTCGATTCACTAATAATACTACTCGAATTCAGTCAAACTCGAGCCGAGCTCGAGTCGTTGACTGAGTTACTCACGAGTACTCGAACTCGGCTCGGTTAGTTTAACAACCCTACTTAGAGCAGAAACATCTGAAATGCTCTCCTCCAAGCGTGATGGGAGAGCCAATCATGTGTAGAATCTCATGGAACTCCAGCTTATGCGCTTCTTTTGGGGAGAAAGATGACTTATGTAGCAGCAATCTTGAAGTTTATATAGGAAACATATTCTTTCAAAAAAGTAGTACTTTTGGTGCGCAAAAGGGAGTACGTAGGAAGCATGAGTGCACACAGTATATATCCACCTTTTTTTATGTGTTGGAGTTGTAACTGTGTCTTAAGCTCTTTCTATACATCAATTTGATACAACAATTGGTTGTGTTTGAAGGATTATTTGATTAAAGCTATATGCAAGTATAACGTCATTGTGTATTGGCATGTATATTGAATCTTTTTGGTTTCTATCATGTGTTTTTTTTTTGTTTTTATCATGTGTTATTGCATAACCTAATGCTATGTGTATAGTTCTTTTCTGTAAAAGGTGTAAAGTTACTCTCGAAAAACAATAAAGGCTTTGCTTTGCCCATGCAATCCATCTTTCCGGAAGCAATATTACACAGAGAATTGAATCTATCACAATTTGGGTTTACAATGGCAACAACTCCATATTTTATCCAATTAGCATCTATATAAAAGGTTATAAGTGTGTCTTGTTTTATTTCCTGGAAACCCTTATTCATGTTTAATCTACACAGAACCAGTTGAAAAGTGTGAAACTCCTCGGTCGGTCAGTAGCACTGAGTAATGGATCTTTTGTAGGCCACTATTAGAAGAAAAATGTTGCTAAAAAGACAGAATAATTGAATTAATTTTACTATTATTCTTCATGAACCCATGAAAGCTAAATTTCTGTATAGACTTATTGTACATTTCTTATGATGGTGGGCTACAATCAAATTGTAATTTCTTATTATGTTTCCTCGATAGACTTGTCTTTTTACTCTTTCCTTCTGTGGATATTTCCAAGAGAAATCATTTGATAAGTAACAACTAATTTATATTTCAAATACCAAATATTTGGATTTTTTTTGGATGTTTCTTTTTTTTATTAATCAAATCTCTTTTTTATTTTTGGTTTTTTTGGATGGTTTCTTTCAGAATATCTTATTAATTAATAAATATTCCGTTTCACCATATTTTTCTAGATTTTTAATATAATTTTTTACATTTTCAATAAAAAAACCCCCAAATAATATACACCAAAAAAAAATCCAAATATACAAAATTTGAAGAATTTTGTCTTTATACATATTCATACAACACCAAATAACATTATATGCATCCTAAAGTTTTTTTTTTTCTTTCATCGACCCGTTTTACGTGATTTGGCTAGCTCATGCCTTTATCTACTAAACATGTAGTGACAATACATTCTCCATAGTTAAAATTTTGCTAGCCACATAAATTAAAATATTTTTTGAATGATATGTAATAAATCTTTCATTTGTTGTTGTTTTTTTCATTTCAAAAACTAATACAAACTATATTTTGTAATTGATAAAGACCAAAAAAATAAATAAAACAAAAAAACCTTTAAAATAAAAACATTAAATAAAACAAGTGAAAAAAATATGGCAATACAAATAACACAATTCTGTTATTCTTCTCACAAATTTAATACAAAATTACGGTATAATCAAATCACAAAACTACCGATGAGAATATTCCAAAGTGATTACGAGGATTTTCTGAACTCACTAAACCCAAAATGCTAACCTCCGCATAAGTTGGTACTAAAACCCAATTATCCTATAATATTTATCCTCAAAATAAATCCGACAGAGGGCCTCTATAATGGAGCTCGGTTGACAGGCACAGAGCTCGACAAACACACTATAAATGCAGAGATCGCATTTGGTCCACACACAGGAAACACCGTATTCTTGCCCAGGATACCTTTCATATTCGAAGACATAGAAATCAAAGGCATCACGTTAAAAAAATCCAGTTCCCAGTAAAACTCTGCTTTGCAATGATAATCAACAACTCACACAGACAGTCACTGGAGAAAATTGGATTATACTTACGTTAACAGGTCTTCTCTCACGGTCAGCTGTATGTTACTCTCTCTCGCGCCAAGACATCCAGATCTCTAAAAGTTCTCCTAATGCTGCCGACATTAGAGGACATTGTCGTGGGTACCAAAATTCAGAATGAGGTGTACGATAGAATATTGCAACTCGCAACAACTTGATATGGATTAAAAAAAATACAAAAATAGATTCATTTTATCCATCGTTTTATTTAGTACATAGTTATAATTGCTACAGTTTACTGTTATCAATCTGTACTGAATAGTTTACCGATTATTCTTACAATAACAAAATCAAATAACAAACCAAACTTCTTCAAAATCCAAAATAAAGACAACAAATTATTTACAGAATGTGTCGCGTAACGCGCGACGGATCTTCAGAACTTGTGTTTCCTAACTTGTATATGTTGGTATTATAATTATTAAATTTCAAAAATTTATTAACTTTTGTTTTTAATTTCTAGATTATAATCTTTTTTAAAAAAATTTAAATGAAGAAGAAAAATTCAAGATGAAGTAAACATGAAAATTATTAGTTAATCATTTTAAATCAAAAAAACAGAACAAGAAAATTAGCTAAGACAAGTTGTTACTTCTAGGTGATTTGATCATTTTCAACTCCACTTAATTATTTAATTATTAATTTTCACGTTTACTTCAATTTGAATTTTTCTTCTTCATTTTTTATAATCTTGAAGTTAAGATACAAATGAAATATTAACTTTTGAAATTTAGTAATTATAATAGTACCAACATATATAAGTTAGAAAGTAAAAGAAAAAGAATTGTAAAAAAAATAATAATATATTTTAAGAAAAATACAGAATGATGAAATTACCCATGGACCCAAAAGTATGTGAAAAATAACTTTTCGTCCTGATTCAGCGTCTAAAATAGATTTCATCTAAGAGAAGTAGTTTCGTCTACGTTATTTTAGGCGTTAAATTGTGACAGAGAGATATTATTCACATGCTTTTGGGTTCAAAGATAATTTCATCATTTTATATTTTTTTAAAAACTAACAATATTTTAATTAAATTTTTTTAGCAATTTTTCTTATTTTAGTTCATAACTTGTATATGTTGGTACTATTATAATTATTAAATTTCAAAAATTTATTTTTCATTTGTATATTAACTTCCAGATTATATAAAAAAAGAAAGAAGAAAACAATAAAGTAGAAAATTTCAAATTGAATTTAACGTGAAAATTTAATAATTAAATAATCAAATGGAGTTGAAAATAATTAAATAACCTATAAAAGGAACTTTCCTTAGCTAATTTTCATGATTAACTTTTCACTTCATTTTATTGTTTAAAATGATTAACTTTTAATTTTCATGTTTACTTCACCTCAAAATTTTCTTCTTCATTTTTAATTTTTTTTAAAAAATTATAACATAGAAGTGAAAATACAAAAGTTAATTAATTTTTGAAATTTAGTAATTATAATACCAACATATACAAGTTTGAAAGTATAAGAAGAAGAATTGTAAAAAAAAAATTAAATTAAATTAAAATTTTTTAAAAAAATTAAAAATTTAAAAATAACAAAATGACGAAAATACCTCTAAAACCAAAAGCATATAAAAAGTAGCTTTCCGTCACTATTTAACGGCAAAAAATAACAGAATGATCTCGAATGAATTTTTTGCTTAGGATAGTAACCTATTTTACAAATAAATTTCATTGATGCCCTTTGATGAAATTACCCAATAATTAAATGACATGTTTTGTGGTTCACTCTAAATTATGTTTCTTTCTAATAAAGTATTTCAAATGAACACACTCTATGTGTCAAACACTTAGATTTTTTTTTCTTTTGGTGAATAACACTTACATCTTATAATTAAAAAAGTGCGTGATTGTAATTCAAATCCTTAACTTAAAACTCAAAAAAAAAAATAAAAAATCTCACATTTTCTCAATCTAAGTAGTATTAAATGAAAGTAGCACTAGCGCACGACAGGATAGAACTAGGTTCCTCAAATGCTCAACGGACAATTGAATTGATGGTGAGATAAATATCTTAGGGAGGTTTTTGATATTCCTAACAACTCAGGGGTTTTTGAAAATGAATCAAACCTCGGGGGTGTTTTTATTCAGCCTTTAAATAATATACTTCCTCATTTCAAAATTACCTTCCAATTTGGATTTTCAATTTTAATACAAAATGAATAAAAATATAAACAGGATAATAATTTTTCGGGTAGATGGAGTATTTATCTTTGGCCTTGTTCTTAACTTCTTATCCTTTCCACCTTCCTCCTCTTCCTCATCTCCGATTTTTTTTTTTTTTAGAATTCCTTCCACTCTCTCTCTCTATATTTTGTCGCGGGTTTTCTCTCCAGTAAAACTCAATGTTTTTTTTTTGGAGGGGCTGATTTCTTTCGATTCCCTTTGATTCTTTGCCAGAAATTACGGTTTTTAGTCATTTTACATATCTTAACGTCTGACTTTCAAGTTTTACCGATCAAAGGGTATTTTTAATATTATCATAAAAAGGGGAGGGTGTTTTAGATAATCAATTGTATCTCGGGGGTATATTTGATATTAACCATATTCTAAAATTTGGTTGAAGGGGTATAATTGAACTTTTACCCAATCTTTTGACGGGGTTGATTTCTTCCGATTCCTGCCGAATATTGCTAGAAATTACAAGTTTTTTCGGTCATTTTTATCTTATCGTTTGACTTTCAAATTTTACCCGTCAAAGGGTTTTGATATATCATAGAAAGAGGAGGGTGTTTTAGATAACCAATAAAACCTCGGGGGTGTTTTTGATATTAATCTTTTTTTTTTTCAATCCCAAAATAGTTGTTTGGTTTATGATTAGTTTAGTATCATTTTATTTTTTGCTTTTAATTTATTGATTAATGGTACAAAAATCTAAATACTAATTTTAAAACTTAATAAATCTTTTTATAAAATCAATTTGAATACTTTAGATTATGATTTCATTTTGAAAACAACTAAATTATTTTGATTTAGTCCCAAAAACTCTTATTTCAATATGAATTTGATGATGTAAACAAATTCTATATTTCAAGATCAATTTGAATTATATGTTAATCAATTTAAATTCTTATCTAATGATGTTTGTAATTTAAATTTGACTAAAAAATTTTAAATAAAACTTGAGTTTATAATTAAAGAAAAAATTTTATTTTTATGATATAATCATAAATTTATACAAATATAATACTATGAGAAAAAAAAGGATAGGAGAAAAGAAAAGTTGCAAAAAAAAAAAAAACGAAAAAAGAAAAGAAATCAGATCAAAACCCGACTCCCCTGGTGGGTTTAGAAAATTCCTAAATAGTTGGGTCTCAATCCATTCATGTTAATTTAAAACCCTTCAACCAAACATAAAAAATTGGAATTATTTCATTTCTTCATTTCAAAACCCGTTTTTTTTTCCCCCATTCCAAAACCCACCATGCAAACACACCCTGAATTATTCTACAATGAACATGTCATATTCCAAGGGGTCCAATTGAATGTAATTGATAGTTTAGGGTCAAAGTATAATTAGCAGAAGTGGAGTCGAACTTTATAGGTTGGAGTGAAGGACTTAAACGTCACTTTTGAGTCATTGAGAATGAAATTCCAGTTGTGAAATTATCTTTCCTCTATTGCTCTCTCTCCCCGATTCTATTTCTGAAACCCTGACTCCCTCCTTTCTCTTCTGATTTCTCAAATTTCTTGTCGAATTCTGTATCCCTTTTTGGTTGGTTCTTAACCAATTAAGTCCTGGTGCTGACAGAACAACACCGCCCCTTTTGATTAAGGATGGACCCATTTTCTTATTTGAATCTTTCTTCGCCGTAAGAGTTTTGGACATGCGAAAACCACAAAGGAGGTTCTAGTTTTGAAGGATTTCTATATTACTCTCCTTTTAGACTTTTAGTGATTAAAGGATACATCTTGTCTTCATCCACTTTTTCATTGGTAGAGAACTGAGAAGATCTTCACTTTTTCTTTGAGTAATTTTTATTTACTCCCTCTGTCCCAAAATTATTGTCTAGTTTGAGATTTCACTTTTAGTACAATTTGAACTAAAAATGAAAATCTAAACTGGACAATAATTATGGGACGGAGGGAGTATATTTTTTGCAAGATTCATTGGTAGAGAACTGCGAAGCTTTTCCTTTGATTTTTCTTTTTTTTTTTTTTTTGAGAAACTTATTTGGAAACGGATCGAGGCGAGTCCGAAATCCGTTTGTCTGCAGGAATCGGATTTATTTACATCCAAACTTCCTTTAAATACTCGTTAGGTTACCCTTCCGTACCATAGAATTCTGCTCTCAGCGGCTCCGTTCTGCTCTCAATCTTCTGTCAGATATCTGATCAATCAGCCGAATTCTTCGACAAGCACCTGTAGGTATTGCCTACTGCTCCCCTTTTTATCTTGATTCGTTTTGTTGATGTTAATTTGGAAAACTGATTTACCTCTTTCTTATCTTGATTTGTTTTCCTGATTTTATTCTGGAACATTAATATATCTCTATAATGAAGATTGGCGCAACCGTTTGTATTGGTTTTGATTGAAATTCTTTTGCGGTTTCCTTAAGTATTGAAATTCTTTTGCGGTTTCCTTAAGTATGGCAAATAGAATTTCAGAACGCTCAATGTTAAACTCGAGATTATTTGGGTATTTGGGCTTGTGGGTGGTTGTGGTGTTGGTTGAGTAAACTAACTATGCAAAACAGAGTACAAAAGGCTAGTTAAATCTTCAAGTACACTTGGAAAATTTTGACCTTTGCACCTTTGATGTTTACCATGGTTGAGGGGCTGGTTCATCTTGTAGGAGTGAATATTGCTCATAACTTTATTCTCCAATAGGTGGGTCTATATATAGCTTTACAAATGTGATAAAGTGCGTATGTTGCCGAATCTCTTGTGATACATCCCTAGTTAATCTTGAACCACATCTTTTGTTAAATCACCTCCTAGAAGCCAGTGGCAATGGAAATTAAGAGGCAAAACCCAGATGTTGATGTTGAATCTGTTATGCATTATTTCCTTTTTTATAAATTTCTTTATTTTGTTTATTTTCTCCTTACATGCATAGGGATCCAGATTCGCAATTCATATTTTGAATACGACTAATGGTGATACATAGGTTGACAATTCATATTTCGAATACGCTTAATAGTGATGGTAGTGACTTTTTTTTTTCCTCCAGAAATGTCATTCAGGTGCTTTAGATGGATGTGGGATGTTTTGTATGTGTTAGTTCCCGCGGTTAAATTATTACATCCGCATAATAGAAGTGTATATCTTCCGGATGATGTTATGATAGAGATACTCAGCAGGTTACCTGTAGAATCTTTGCAAAGTTGCCAGAAGTTGTGCAAACAATGGAGATCATTAACCACATCCCCATTTTTTATCAGATTGCACATTGAAAGAGCCAGCCCTGTCATCTTAATGCGTGTCGAAAGTTACGGCTCCTTTAAGCAACAAGATCCAGTCTATTATCTTTATGAATGTACAAAGATTGGGACATTGAAGATCAGTAAGTTAAGATTCAGGGAAAGTATATTATTCCATGAAAGAACGCAACTCATGTCATCTTGTGGGGGATTTCTTATATTTGGTTCCGAACGTCGTTGTTACTTTCTAAATCCTGTGACACAAGAACATTTTGCCGTAGATTGTCCTAGCTCGGGTTTATATTGTATTTTTTGTGGCTTCTTCTACCATTCTAGCAGAAATGAGTTTAAAGTTCTCTATGCCACGGGTGTCCCCGGTAACTCTTTCTGTTATTATATTTACACTCTTGGAACAAATAATTGGAGAATGATAAACCCCCCACCATTTCCCTATGCACCTGTTATAGTCGCACCATGGGACCCAGCAGTTTGTAATGGTTTTTTGCATTGGATGGCGGGTTGGCTATTTGCTGATTTTAGTCCTGATCCACCTCACGCGTGTGGGATCCTTGTGTTTGAGATGAACTCGGAAGAATTCTCCGTGCGGCCCCATCCTGGGCATAAAGAGTGCTCTGACAAGGTGAATCATTGGACAATGTCTCTGTTAGTGAATGATGAACAACATTTGGTATTCTGCAATTTAGAAGGTCAGATGGGACTGATTGATATATGGATGTTGGAGGATCATGCGAGTTGGTTCTGGGTTCGGAAATGGAAGCTGAATTTATGCACGTTTGACCTACCAGTTAGGCCTTTAGTAGTATATATTAAACCCTTGCTCATTCACAATGGAGTGTTATGGTTGGATTGCTGGGAAAGAGGGTTATTATTGCATAACCTTGAACGTAATAATGTTAGAAGAGTTAGAGGACCGCCTTGGAGTCCGTTTGTTGCACTAGGGCTAAGGTCTGTTAGCCATAGTTGCATTGCTTATGCTAGGAGCCATTTGCTTCTCCCCAAGTCCATGTAAAATGTGTTATACACATCTACTGCAATTTCTTAACATTTGGCTGCAGTGTTGGAGGTTTTCTTTCTGGATGTCTCTCAATATCATTATTGTTTTTCTTGTCTTAAAATTTATCAAGTTTATGCTTTGTTTGTTTACTCGGTTTACGTGCCATTTGGTGATGCTATGTTTGCCCTTCTTAACAAATACACCTTAAATTTATATCGTGTGCCATGTTCATCTATAATGGTGTTTCGGTTTTTCTGTTTGTGAAACACCCAAGAAAAAAGTGAGTGAATTTTTCCTAACGTATTTTAAAATTTTCTCATGCACAACTGATTCAAGTTAATTAATTGCTTAACTGTTTCAAATTTTTCACTTTTTTCTCCCAAAAATAAACTATTTCTAAAATTAATCTGATTTCTCTCCTCCTCTCTGTGTAATTAGAGTGTGTGTAAATTAACTCTAATTCAACAGTTTCCATAACAATTTATATGAATATTGTGCGTCATATTTATGAAAATTGTGGCCAATCTATCATGAAAATGTAAAAGTATGATGAACTCTTTTTTACACTACATCATGAACATTATTTAATGATATCTTGATTCTTGAATATAGGTAGTATCATAAATATATGGGTAATGAAAATATAAACATTATATCCTATGGTTATAAATTTTTTTTTAGTATCAACAATGTGTAAATTTATTATGAACATTGTAACCTATACTTATGAACTTTGCAAATTGTAAGATAATTTTTTGAAATTTGTGTTCCTTTGAATGGTGAACGTTGCCCAGATCATTATGAATTATGTTTAAGATGGGTATGAATGTGATATCACTGATAAAGAATGAAATTGTATAAATTGTAGTATGAAAATTCAACGATAAAATAATGAAATTTGTTCATAAAAAGAATAAATTATAGTATATATTAAAAAAAAATCAATCACATTACATGAACAAATCACGGTGAGAAATTTTATCCTAGTCTCTCCTTAAAATAAAAACCTTATCCTAGTCTCTCCTTAAAATAAAAACTTGTGTTTGAGTTTAGAATCTCGAATCTGATTGGTCAGGAGGCTTTTAAGTTCAATTAGAGCAGTTGATATGATTCAATCCAATGGTGTAAATCAATTTCACCGTCACAACTTAAGTGGGGTCAAAATCGTAAATTAATATGATGGATTCTCCCCCTTTTTCTGTTTTTTTTTTATTAAAAATAAAACCTGGGCGGATAAAACGACACCATTCCCACTACCCCTTTCTTCCTCCAAAAAAAACTTCTACCCCAAATTTCCTCCGGCGGGCATCGAACCAGGCGGTGGACAAATCAGTGACCATAATTCTGCCCCAAGTGCATCAAAGCCGTCAAAATCAGAGCTGACCATTGAAGAAATGGGCAAAATCCGGGCAACCTGAAGACAGCAACCTGGTTCGCTTTTGATGAATTCCCGATGGCCGAATCTCCGGCGACAGCTATCTCCCGGGGATTTAAGGTAATCTCATTAAAAAAATTTAGCTTGCCGATTGGATTGTACTTTCTCTGAATCTCCGGTGGCCGCCATGTCTCAGCGGCAAGTGGTAATTGAAAATTTATAAAAAGAGAGTAAGATACAAGCTGATTAATTCGGGTTGTTGCAATAATAATTTTACAATAATTATGATTCGGAGTTGTAACTAGATTAAAATTCTAATGTTATTACTATTTTGTTGTTTTTTATAAAACGTATGAGAAGAAGGAATACTTCTCAAAGCGGACTGCAATTTGTCCAACAAGTTGGTAACATTGCTGGTGGCGTATTGTCTTCAATAACCATGCTAAATAGATACAGAAGGTTTGGTATTGCTTGTCATGTTTTCTTCAGTTTTTGGGAACAAATAGAAGGCTAGGAGCTTATTGATTTACACGGTTTTGTTTAAATTGCTCTACTGGCTAGATTTTTTTTTCCTCCCCCTAAAACGAACAGAACTTGGTCATATGAGAATTGAAATAGCATCGGGTTTTGGGGGAAATTGAAACACGGATTATTTAAGTTGTTGAGCATCTACCTGCCCTATTCTTTATATTTTGAAAATTATAGTTAGATTTGAGCTCAGCTTCATGGATTTTGGACAGAAGCTCTATGCCTTCACTGTATGCTTCTATTGATTTATTCTATATAGAACTGTAATCTAAATCCTACTAACGGTGGGCTGATTACTCCTATTCTTCAAGAATGGTGATACTTAAGACCTAGCCACTATTGTTATTCTTGGTGGGTGTTGCTGTGGAAAGGGTCCTCCCAACCTGGATCAAATCGGTGACGTAGTTGGAGCCGTCAAACCGGACTTCTAACTCCTTTGTCTCCACCGCATCCACCAAAACATCCGGCTCTTCTACGCAGCACCTCAGCCAAATATTCCCGCCTCCAATTCCCTCCATGCTGATAAATAAATTTTGACTCCCAATTGGATTAATGAAGGTACGAATCTCATATTTGCATTTTTCAAGTTGTGTTTAGCTACATAGGTTTTGCCTTTGTCCCCCCAACTAATTTTCGTCTCTTTTGTTTTGGTGATGCTACCACTAAAATCCCCTAGATCTTGCGATAATGAATTGTGTAGATTTGTTTGAGCTTTTTTCTAAAGCTTCCGTTTTTGGATTGATGCTGATAGATTTTTTTTTTTTTTTTTTTCCCGTATCATTCTAGAGATTTAGAAACTAGAAATACATACAAGTCATTTGCAAACAAAATTTGAAAGATGTACTCTATATAGGTTGATGATATTATTATCAGATGTCTACAATTTTGTCTAAAAAAAGTGTTTCCTTTTTTCAAAAAGTCTGTTTAATTCTCTTCTTTTAAATCCTTGTGTTAATTTCTCTCCATTGTGACTGTCTTTGTTCTCTTCTGGTTGATGAACCATCGATTGGATTGATCTTGTAATGCCATTCGCCTATCGAGATGGTAGGTGCTTTTGATGAGATGTGAGGAACCAGAAAAATACATAACATCTGAGATCAATTATTAGTTAAAACATGTTGTGTTAATTTGGAGTGCTTTTACACCTTGGCCTTCTGATGAATTATTACTGTGTGCCTTATGTTCATTTGTGTTCCATTATCATTATATTTTTATTCTCCATGTCATTTCTGTTTCTGTGTACTTCTGTTCTGCTACATTTGCTTTGTATTTGACCATATTTGTTGTATATTGGTGGATTACTGAATCTGAATACTTCCAAGCTAATAGGCTTAATTGTTGAAAGTTTTGTAAAAAATACTGGATAGATCTTGTAAAAAATACTGCAAAAACGACGTCGTTTTTGACTGGGTTTCTTTTTTTTTTTTTTCCTAAATTCCCTTTTTATCCGGGGCTTTGTTTTTCCATCAGGGGGTTTTTTTGGGTCCCCCCTAGCACAAATCCAATGTTATGTTACCGCGATCTCATCGTAACCTTCGCCAGCACCGCTCACTGCTATTTTCCTTCATCTCTACTACCTCCACCGCTCCCTCCTACCTGAAGATTCACTGCAACCATGGGCTCCCATTCCCAGATACGAAACCAAATACTAATTCCAGTTCCGTTCTCGTTCTCCCTTTTCCTCTTATTCCTAATCGAACAGGATTGTGGGACGGTCTATGAGTTCAATTGTAATAAGAAAATACAACCTAAATCTATTATATATAAATGGACTACCATTGGCAGGATTCCCACAATGAAGACGGAGCAATGGCCGAGCAAATTCTCTTCTTCAAGTTCCCAATTTTCTTCTCTAAATTGGTTCGGATGAGGCATTAACCTTGCTACTTAACTCGTTCTGGTTTGGAGGGTACACACTGCTTGCACAAATAGTCATCCATTTGTAAAACAATGCTTTTGTGCACTCTCAGTCTATGCCTAGTTACAGTCAGTCACTGGGAGACAGAGTTATTTGTTTTTGTGTTACGTGAGTAATGTGGTAAAGAATTTTGGTATAGTAATCTAAGTTATCTTTATAGTGACTGAATATCGTGAACATTTTTGGGATCCCAACATTTTATCTGGAATTTCCAATGGAAAAATGGTTCGAAGGCTGGCGATGCCTATCTTTCTCATTTGTTGGTTGATATCAATCATAGATAAGTCTGAATATTCATTGCAGCCGGATTCAGATGTTGTATCTTTTGTGCCTCTCGTTTTTGTTTTATCTCCTCTATAGGAAAATGTTGATAGGAGAATGGAAATTTTTTAAAACTTGAATAACTAAGAAGTCCCTGGTCCTCATAATTATCCTCTTATGTCCCCTGAATAATTGTAAGGAGATCATTAAACAAATAACTGTCTAATGCAAAAACTGTCATTGCAACACCAACTAGGCCTTATCATGTTATGAAGGCTTGGCTCATGCCTCTTCTTGTTTATGTTCTCTTTTGTGTTCTCATATGTATGTCTTTGTTTACAGTTGTTTTTGAACTATTTATAGGTACTTCCTTCCCCCTTCCCTTATCCTTTTAACTTGATTTATCTCTCCTTTCGGCATGTTGTTCTGAGGCATCTAGAGGTTTTCTATGCAGATATCAAATTACCTTAAGTGTGTTACTCTCAGTTTCTCATCTTCTCAAGCATTCATTTTTTTTCCTTTAATCTTCTGCGTGCGGACAAGCTTATGTACAAAACACTTTAATTGCTATCTGACATTTATATCTCTTTGGTCAGCCTGCAGGGGAGAGTTATGCACACCCAAGAATTTGCTTCTTCCACGTCCTCTTCAAGGTTCAAAACATTTACTTGGCGATGATTCATCATCATCATCATCATCATTATTATTATTATTATTATTTGTTCTTTATGGGACAATGATACGAGTTTCATTGCTTTAATTTCATGTGGCCTGCAGCTTTGGCATTTTACATCCTTTCAGCTTTATTTGTTGACAGTTTTGTTATCATTTTCGTGATTACTGTACTTCTTGCTGCCTTGGATTTTTGGGTGGTCAAGAATGTGAGTGGAAGAATTCTAGTGGGTTTAAGGTGGTGGAATGAAATCAATGATGAGGGCGAAAGTGTATGGAAATTTGAGTGCCTTGACCAGGAGGTGGGTTTTGATAGTTCTACATTTTGGATTTGTACATATCAAATTGTAAATGAATCAGATCTTTTAACTGTTTATCTTACTAATTCGCTTGGGTGTTTGAAGCCAAGCGCAACTGATCCAAAACTGGCGAAACAGGCGAAAGCTCAGTTTTTTTGGATTTGCACATATAAAAAACTGGCGAAAGCTCAGTTATCTTTCTACATTTTGGATTTGTATATATCAAAAACTGGCGAAAGCTCAGTTTTTTTTTAAAAAAATTTCTCGTGCGCAACTGATCCAAGTTAATACACCTTGCGTAACTTCTTTATTAATTGATTAAACGAAACCAAAAATCACAGATGTAGAGAAAATGCCCCAATGGAAATCATCAAAACTGAGCTTCATCAATTCCAATCACTTCCAAACTGGCAACATATAAATCTAGTCAGATGCAATCTAGTAACTATGGCTGTTCAACTATAAACACAACTTCCAATTCAATATGAACAGAATCAAAATCCGCCAAATTGGTTCAGTTTCTGAAATATTGATCCAAATCAGTCAATGTAATCAAATAACTCAGATACTAACAGAGAATATGTGGAACAGGATAGTCAGTTAATACACGAGTTAAGAAGCTGCAAATAGAGTTAGGAAGAACTGCTTGGAAAAATACCTTTTGCTGTCAGATGCAGATTTAACACGGCGAAGCAGCAAAATGGCAAGACCAGGAGAAACAGAAAAAGGCAGCATGAATCAATTTTATACCATAACATATTTAGTAAAAAATCAATGGATAAAAAGAGAGTTAACTCACATTTCGTAATCCAATATACTTACGTCTATATAGGAAGTGAAAAGCCGTAAACAGAAATGGCAGATTCTGCATGAAGAAACTATCTGAGAACCCTGTTAGAGCTCAAGAAGAAATTATCTTCACCAGCAATAGTGGAATGCATCCTGCCTCCGGCCCATCCATTGTTGAGGGCACGGGCTGCCCCCCCTCCCTTCACCAGACTGCCCTCAACTTTGCTCTCGAACTGAGGAAGACCTTTTGCTTCCTCTCTTTCCTTCTTTCCCTGTCTTCATCTCGTTCTTTTCTCAGCCAAGTCTCCACTGTTCTCTGCAACAAGTAGTGGAATAAACATCCAAGTCAGTGGTTGTGCAAAACATAAGCAAAAAATAATAAATAATGCTTGAAATTTTTCGTCAAACATTGAAAAGACTACCATAGATGTAATTTCATGAAGATCCAATTTTTGTGAAGGTATTCATCATCCTCACAGAATACTATACTCCCATTCCTAAACTATCTCGGTAAAAAAATTAAAAAAAAAAAAAAAAACTACCTCAAAAAGGTACTAACCTTAAGTCTTACAATGTACATTAGCCTGACATTTCATGTTCTATGAAGCCATAGAGGGTTTCAGAACAAACAAATTCTGCAATGAACCTAAACTAAAGACTCAGTAGGGTACAGCTAGAAATTTGGTATTTATAGGTGAGAAAATCTTACCATTAGCGAGAGCTGGCTCATCTCCCTGACCTTTTCCACGGCATTGCTAATTGCAATCTCCCATGAGCAACATAGACCTGAATCATACGAATGAAGAAGGCCAATCCTCAAGACCGTCAAAAATGTGTTGCATAAATGATTGTAGCACCATGTTCTTGGCATTCTTTCTTCAAAAACTTCATTAGGTCAGCCCTCGCAAGGAAACTGATGTCAAAGAGAAAAATCATCCTCATATGCCAACTTATCAAACAGATGTCGAGATAAATTCACAAAACTTGGAAGTCAGCTAAAATTGAATCAAATTCTACCTTGAACGGCTTAAGTAAACCCATACATATCTGCACTCTTCTTCTCTGACCATCAGACACTTTGTGCATCCGCCATGATAGATCTACACCTAAAACCTGCATTGTGAATGAAAGCAGTGTGGAACTTAAATAGCAAAAACAGCAAGATTGCAACCAACGCGCACACACACACACACACATTATAGAATATTCTTCTACAGAAACAATCAGTGTCAGAGGAGTGAAAATTCTCAGCCGCAAATTTTTATTAAATGGAAAAAACTTAAATGTGCTTTTTTTTTATTAAATGGAAAAAACTTAAATGTGCTTTTCTTGGTATAAAAGAATATTCAATATACATGAAGATCGTAAATCCAACGACCGCAGAAAGTCAGATTTGATTAAACAGGTTTTAACCACTAGGTAGGTCTTTCTTTCATCAGGTTTCCAGTAAATGAATAAAGATTAGGCCAGAGAAATGGTTAAAACCCAGAAGGAAAAACCTACCTAGTGGAAAATACACATCGGCAACCAAATTAGGTCCATACAGTAGAAGAACATCTGAGAACTAGTCAATATATCCTCAACAATGCAGATTGGACACAGAGGCCCAAATGTTTTATCACGGAACCCGTTCTTATTTCTTGAGTAACATCAGTTCAGACAACTGGAAATAAAGGAGAAACATCACAATTGAAAATATGAAAATTCGGTCAACAAGTCCAAGCAAATGCTTTTCTTGGCACAGAGCCAGAAACTATCATTTCTTTTTAAGTCGACAGGCAATTTGTAGGGAGCCTTCCCATAATACTATAAGCAAAAGTCAAAGACAGACTAACACTAAAGAACAAAGAAGACGAAGTAATGATATTAAAAAGAAGCACCTTATACAGTTGAAATGAATCAGGATATTTAGAAGGAGAAAACAGGAATCAATATAGATAATATCTGAATGCAATGGATGCGTGACAAAGCTATGTTCATCAATATGTCACTGACGACACATTTAACCACAAACAGAAACCAAGAAAATGATACACGACTTGATTTCATCTACTGGTAGTATGTATCAGATTCTAATCACCACAACGTACCTTGATCAGTTCCTCTCGCTTTTGAGAATCAACACCCCCTACACCAAATATCATTTTCTCAGCAGAAACATCGATTTGAATGGAAACCTCAAATCCAGCAAATGCAACTTCTCTTTTCCACTGCACAAATAGAAGATACTGCTGTTGTCCAAGACAATAAAGGGATAACCAACATTGCCCTACATGCAAAATTACTTACAACTAGAAGCAACTATAATTGTTACCAAGTATTTAATGTTGAATATCAAGACAAGTGGCAACCCAAACATTGTCATTGTAGAAACTTTTTACTGCAGTACAAGATTGACAAAACAGATCCATGCATGATGATTCAACAACATGCACAAAAAGCAGCTTATATGGCTCCTGTTCATTCTTCAACTCTTTAAACAAGTTAGTTACCCACAATCATTTCATTTTTTTCTACCCCTGTTGTCACTACTGCGCACAAACACAAAGCACTCAAAATAGAATATAAGAGACGAGAAGTAAGAGCAAGAAGAAAAACTACCTCACCACCTAGGTAACAGAGGTCTCCAGAAACAGTGAGAGCAGTATCATGAAATTCTGATCTTCCCAGGACCCTCACCATCTCAGGCTCCACCATATGCTTTCCTCCCAAAATCTTCAAAATCGTAGTCTTTCCCACCATCGCACAACCAAAACAAAGAAAAAGTATTACAAAATTCAGCTTTTTCCACCGACATTACTCTCACATTGACACAAAATGTCCAAGGAAGTAGAAGTACATTCGAAACATAGTAATCAAGCGAGCTCACACAGCTAACATCAGTAATTCAAAAGATAATTTCCATTGAAGAAAATGAGCAGGAAAAAAAAAAGGAAATGAGAATAAGAAAGAACCTGCGCCATTGGATCCCACAAGAAGGCAACGATCGCCGGGATAAAGAGTGAGGCAAAAATCCTGGATCAAAGGAGTAGAGCCAGGCGGATGATGGCCGTCGATTCCTGGGTAGGTGAATTTGAGATTATTAATCTCCACCATCGGTTTCGGACCTCCGTCGTCCTCCTCTTGCTGCTGCTTCACCGCCATTTTTCCGTCCTTTCCTTTCCAAATTGAATCGAGCAAACCGAGAATTCAGTTAGGTGCAAATTTATAGCATTTTCATCAGCTACGTGGCAGCATTTCAGTCGTCACTTCGATCATTTAATTAATTAATTAAACACTTTAATTAGAGCAAATAATAAAAATTACGTGAGCACAAAGACGTGCCTTGTCGTGCTATTGAGCTCCCTAATTTTTTCATTTGAACGCCTTAAAAAACGTATACACTCTTGTAAAATGGAGTTACATTATTTTTTCTTGCAAAAAAAAAAAGTTAGTTTTTCTTGCAAAAAAAAAAAAAGTATGGCGAGGGAGGATTAAACCACCCCTTGAAGGGGTGGCGCTAAATAAAACCTTCGCCACATGGCGAAGGTGTGGCGTCCTTCTGAGCGCCACATTTGTGCTTTTACTCGCCAACCAGAGGGTGGGTGGCGCCATTTTGTACGCCACCCACCTTAATTACTTTTTTTTTTAATTTTTTATTTAATTATTTTTAATTTAATTATTTTTTAATGTATTTAATTATTTTTTTATTTATTTTAATTATTAGTTTAATGAATTTATTTAATTTATGTATTTATTTAATTCATGTATTTATTTTATTTATTTATTAAAGTTTATTTTTTATTTATTTATTTGGTGGTTAAACAAATAATTTTAACTTAAATATTTGGAGAATGTTGTTTAATTACGTAGTAAATTTTTATAAAAATTTATCATTTAGTTATGTAAAATTTTTTAAACGTAAACAAAAAATTATCATGTAATAAAAACTAAAACTTATGAATGTACTACCAAACAAATTAATTATTTATCATCGGTGCATCTAGCCGTCCTGGAAATATTTTTTTTTTAAAAAATATAAAATATAAAATATAAAATACGTTGAAACGAAAAATTAAAAAGCCTGGAAAAAATATAAATTACTTTTATTTATTTATTTAATTTTTTAATATTTTTTCTTCTTTTTTTAAAAAATATTAATAGTAGTTCCCCATTTATTCCCTATTACAAAGTCAAATATTTAAGTTAAAATTATTTATTCAACCGCCAAATAGATAAATAAAAATAAGCTTAAATAAATAAATGAATTAAATAAATTAAATAATTAATTAAATAAATAAATTTTAAAAAATAAAAAAAATAATTTCGATTTGGCGAGCAAAACCGAGGGGGGTGGCGCCAGATCTGTGCGCCACCCCCATTTTGGACACCAAAATTTTTCTCGCCTCCCTTATTTGGGAGGCGAGAAAATTGGCACTACCCTTTAAAGGGTGGCGCCTTTCTCCCTTATTTGGGTGGCGCCTTTAAAGGGTGGCACACCAAATATGCTTCCCCAGCATATTTTTTTTTAAAAAAAATAATAATAATAAAGGTATAATGGTCAAAATATAATTTTTTAGGGCGTTCAAAGGAAAAAATTACGGCGTTCAACAGCTTCCCGGTTTCCAAATCCCACAAACCCAAAAAGGAATTTAATAAATACTAATAATAAATTCTTATACCCGTTTTGAAAAGGACCCGACCCAACACTGTGATCCACCACCCATTTACGTATTAACAAAATTCCGTTCCGGTGGTGGCAATTGGGAAGATCTGTGAATTGGGAGCGGTGGATGATGGCGGCGATTTACAGCCTATACATAATCAACAAATCAGGTGGGCTAATCTTCTACAAGGACTATGGATCTGCTGGAAGGATGGACACTAATGACAGCTTGAGATTGGCCAGTCTGTGGCACTCTATGCACGCCATTTCTCAGCAGCTTTCCCCTGTTCCATCTTGCACTGGGATTGAGCTTCTTCAGGCAGACACTTTTGATCTCCATTGCTATCAGTCTTTGACTGGTTCGTTTCTGGTCTCCTCTCCCTCTTCCAATTTAGTGTACTTAATAAAGTTTATAAGTTAGGATAAGATTTGGTTATTTTCCGAATGATTTTCTGATTGGGGTTTAATTTCGATTGTCTTTGGCTAGAAATTTACTTGTTTCTACTTGGGTGGTGTTTAAATTTTAGGATAGGCGTCTCCTTTGTGGGGTCATGTTTAGTTATACAGTCATATGATGGAAGGCTAAAATTTTAGGAAGCCATATGGCGTCTGGATTGTGAAAGTATCATTTCTCAGTTTGGGTAGTTGATCGTAGTGTATGGTTATACAGCTAGGATCCGAGGTGCTGTTGGGTGATTATCTGCAAAATTTCGCCAATTGGTGGTTCTGAGTTAAGTTTTTCCTTTTCATCTCGACTGTATTATTATCAAACAGATAATGTGTTTTACAAAGAAAATTGACAGAAATACATGATATTGAGAGTCAATGTTTATATTCGACTTAAGGGGATATTCTAGGTGGTCAGAATGCTGGTTTATGTTTGTTAGTTTGGCTCCTCAGTTTGAAGGGATTGAATCTTCTTTAGGTTTGATAGCACCTATGTAACCAGTTGTTTCTGTAAGCAGTCACATGGAATTAAAGGGGCTAGGAAATATTGATTCAAGCCCATTCATTTTGGCTTCGTAGGTTATGTACAACCTTTTGACCTTGGATAAATGCTTATTGCAGCGTTTCATGATATTCATTCTAGTCAATAATAGAATTATTTCTTGACAAGAGTTGATGGAACTTGTCTTCTGCTTCCCATCCAAATAATTGAATCTGCATCATTATCAGTGTGATATATAGTAAGTAGCGTATTTGAATTGTTCACAAAGTTGCACTTGTAATTTAGAGATTCACTTTTGGAAACAAGTTGGGCACCAAAACGCATTTACACATAGTAGAAAATGGCTGGCATTCGTTAGCTTAGTTTTAAAATAAGGAATACAATTTTCTTAACAAACATGGGTTGGTAATAGGGAAATGTCTTACCATGTGCCTTTCACTCAGAGGATTGTAAAGAAACAGCAAATTGGTCTGGGTATGATGAACTTACTGTTGTAAATTGTATGGAAAGAAAGAGGAACATGTGTGTTTTCTGGTTCACCCTCCTTTTCTTGTGGTACTTCTCATCCTGTGCTTAGTGGAACATTTATGCTTCTGGAGACATCTTAGTTTTAAAATGCGAGAGGCATACCGAGGCGACAAGGGGCTCGAGAGCCGAGGCGAGAGGCGAGAGGCGAGAGGCGAAAGCAAACGCATCACGTATGTGAGGCGACCTCTTCCACAAAACATTATAATTTATATATATGTAATATAATATAGTGAACTATATATGTAATTTCAATTATAGATGGCAATTATATATAATATAATCGATGTCATTCAACAAAAAATAGAGGGGAAGTAGATTGAGACACCATGTAATTCACTGAAATTAAAAAAAAAAAAATAGAGAGGATTCAGGGGCATTATCACAAACACATAGAGTACAAGGAGGTGAACAGAAATTAGTGAATTAATTCAATCATATGTTTTGCTAAAAGACAAAATCAGTAGGACATTTTTTTTTTCCACTGAGAAGAAGAAGAAGGTGACTGAGACCGAGAGAAGAAGAAGGAGGAAAGAAGAAGAAGAAGGTGGACCGTGAACGCAAGAAGGAGAGAAGAGGAAGAAGGTGGAGGAGAGAAGAAGGTGAAAGCAAGAAGGAAGAGAGAAGAGAAGGAGGAGGACGACATGCCTGATTTGAAATTTGAAGTTGCAGCGACAGAGAGTGGTGGTCGGCTTGTAGCAGACGCGAAGACGCGCGAAGGAGGAGGAGAGAAAGAGAGAGGGCTGAATAAAAATAGGGATAGGGTAAAACTTATCTTTCCCTTTTCTTTTTCATTTAAAAAAAAAAAAAACATATGACTAAAGTGACAAATACATGAGGCGCTTACCTCTAACACATCACGCTTGCATCAAAAGCGAGCGCTTTTTGCGCATTACACTCGCTTCAGGTAAACGCCTCGCATCACCCCTTGTGATGCGATGCCATGGTCGCCTCGCCTCGCTTCTCGCCTAGGCGCGCGCTTTTTTAAACTAAGGGAGACATTCCAGCTTCTTAATGGAATGTGGTGAGTTGTTCTTTGGATACACCTGAGACAGTCAATGGTATACTAGTGATTATTTTTCACCTGAAAAGGTTCATGAAAACATGATTTTGCATCTTTGTTTGTGTCCTTGAGTCCGAAATGATATTGCGTCTCATAACTACAGAAGAGACGGTTCCAGATTGTTGACCAGAAAAATAAGATTCTGATTATTTCTTTTCAGGCAGATACATGGCTTCTCATTGCAAGCTTGTTTCCACCAATTCTCCTATGAACGAAATCATAGTTACTTTGTCCATTCTATGATGTTCAGTTGCTCTTTTGACTTGAGGCCTTAATTTGGTTGTTTATGGACTATGTTTCTTCATTTGAGCCTTCTTGTTTTCTATAAATTGTGTTAGAGATGTCTACTGGTCTGAGATTCTAAAGTTGTTGTATAAAGATGCCAGCGAAGTTGAATGAGAGGCGGTTTTTGTGACTGGTGGGTATGTAAATCGAAAATGGATATATAAGATGACCATTCCTCAGCATTTTTGCAATGAGAGTGGAAACATAAGGGTGCGAAATGGAGGGACTGTTTTGTATTCATAAATTTAGCACTCATCGTCTGGATTTTACCTTGTGTTCATTACAATGTCTCACTTGCCCTGATGAAATCTGAAGAGTGAATGTAAATTCCCCAGTAGCCATGTCTATTAGGAATGAAATTTTAAGCCCCTTGTTTTTTATTTGTTTTTATCCATACCTGAGAATAATGCTGATGAAGTAGAGAACCACTTGCAAAAGTTCATGCCTTTGTTGTAATCTTAGTATCTTACAAGAAATTGACAAATGTGACTAAATCTTTTGTAGGTACAAAATTTTTTGTGGTTTGTGAACCTGGAACCCTACATATGGAAGGTCTTTTGAAACACATTTATGAGTTATACACAGATTTCGTTTTGAAGAACCCCTTCTATGAGATGGAGATGCCAATCCGGTGCGAACTATTTGACATCAACCTTTCCCAAGCCGTACAGAAGGACCGTGTTGTTTTACTCGGGAGATGAACAACTCGCCTGTGTTCACATATTAGATTGAAAAACATCCCCTTTTTTGTCCCCCTTTTGGATTGTGAATATCATTACTGGTTCAGTGGTGCTTTTAGATGTAGTACTACTTCTGTTTGCTGATGGAATGCCTTGAAAGGTTAAAATGCCAGGATTATTTATCAGTAGAACTTCTGTTATCACATTTTATACCTGTTCTTTTGGTTCCGATGTTTGCAACAGCAGGGCCAATTTTTTATTCGAGTACAAGGCCAAAAATGTCACAGAAATCGTATAGTTGCTTCTTTAGAGATGGATGTGGATGCAGTTAATCTGGTCGGATGAAACTCATTTCCAGTCATAATAACAGTTCTGTTGCACGAATTTTGCAAGTTTCATGGGCCCAAGTAAATGCTTTCACATGCCATGATCACAACTTGGACATGATCAATGGGTTCTGAGTTGGGTCTCTTTAACGGGGTGGATTGAATGAGACTAATGAGATCTGTTTAATCCAACTCAACTAATTAAAGTAATAGACATAAAGATCTAAATTATGCGTTACATGTCCAATTAGCACGCCTTAATTTGCCAGTATATGTAACTGAAAACAAATTTAGAAGCACTATGTTTGGTTGCATTTGATGGAATAGAACAAAAACTACCAGCCTGTATTATAAGGCTTGGATACACATGATGAGATGATAGATCATTGAATCCTCCGATGACATATAGAAGAAGAAACAGACTATTTTCATCTGCATCTAAAAAACATCATTTTGATCAGCATTATGATCTAGCTGGAGGTTGAGAAGCAATGAAGGCATTAACACTTGCTGAAGATTGACAAGTTATGAGCATCTTCATGGTATAGCCTGCTGTCTTTGATTCCGGAGGCACTCCATTCTCGCACTTGTACGCAAAATCTTGAGCTTTTCCTAGTTGATCTATGTCCTTGTACTTCCCTTGTTTGGCTAACTGATAGGCCACATTAATGTTAGACAACATCTGCTTATAGAGTGTCCTGCATCTCTCGTAAGCAACCTTCAAAGACGGCGAAGTCGCGTTGTTCCTCAGAGAAGTGAACACCAGGTGATTCTCTTGGGCTTGTTTCCTGGTCAAGTTGATGGAGATCAATGAAAGCTGAGGAAGGGTTGATGATCTGGTACGCGGGTCGGACTCGAGAACCTGTATGCAGGTCTCTTCATTCTGTGTTTGGGAGCAGATGCTGTACAGAATTTCATGAGTTATGCTGTAAGAAGGGGTGATGGTAAGAGCTGCAACTGAGATTACAAGCATAAATTGTTTGAGAAATCGGCAATCCATTTTTTCTCTTGACTCTTCAAAATGACAACATTGGGGGGGCATATTTATGCATACATACACCTACAGACTACTCTTTACAATGTAGTAAATGGTTTGGACACTGCGATAAGTATGAAAAAAAAGGTAATATTGGAATTTCGGATTCAAAGTTGGAAAGATAATGGGAAAAGCGATTGTAATCTTGAAATTTTACATTCAACTTTGTGTAATTGTGTTGGCTTTATATATTTGATTATTCTTTTCATCTTAAACAATTCTCATGTGGGGAAAAACAAATAAAGAAAAGAGACAACGACACCCTTATGAGTTATGATGATATTGTGTCTAGCATCACGTTAGTTACAAGAAAAAGTGGTTGATTACTATTTTTATAATTTAGAGAAAAAAAAAAAAAAAAACCATTTGCCTATAGAATATAACTATTCTTTTTGGAAGAACCTACTAGCTTTATGGGTGATGAACTGGCACTATTTAATTAATTAAATATAATGGTAATCTTCAAATGGAGAAGAAATGCAGCAAATTATGGTAATCTACTTCATGGGATTCTTCAAATTCAAGTTTTCCGATCTTTTTTTACTTCGGTACCGCATATCAATGGTGGAATAAGAGATCCTTTATGGTGATTAGTGCTATCCAGTCACGTGAAATTAAAGATTTTGAGATTAACAAACAGAGTTTAATCACATCAATTAACAGCAACCAACGTGGGACAAACAAAAAAAAAAAAAAAAGGGGTTCAATCACGGAAAGGATCAAATTAATCGACTACAATCTTGTACTGAATCAAATTTGCCTGTTTCGACTATAGAGTAATTAACGAAAATCTGACTACGAATAGTCATATTTAGGATAATACAGTTCCTTTCTTCAGTTAGATTATCACTTTATCAGAAGGGGAGGGCGACAATATCACAAAAATACTGATACATACAAGACGAAAATGTAAGAAAATATTTTTGAAAAAAATAATGTGGTTAAAATCTATTCTATTCAATCATAATTGTTTAAACATCAAAGGTGAGATTTTAGAAATGTAAACATGTGATTTAAATTACATAGTTCTTGTAAATTTTTCCTTGGTAAATATCACTATTTGCATTTCAGGCAATTTGAAATCCGATTTTTTTAATAAAAAAAAATATTTAAATTAATGATTATTGGTCAAACACTAATTGAAAAAATAAAGTTAGGAGATTCACTCCATAATATTTCAAATAAAGAAGAGAAAACAAATTATGCTTTGTCAGTTGGTTGCACACATTTGTCCATTTTCTTCCCCTAATTTTTTTAACTATAGTACTTTTTTACATTTTTCGTAGACCATTTTAAGTTTTCAAATCCCAATATATCATTGCACACTAAAAAAGCATATCATACGGAGATTTGGAGACATTTTTCGTATATTTCCGTAACGACTGCAATTTGCTTTGGTGCTGTTTTGTTTCAATCTTGGGGCTTTTTTCAATTATATTCGCAAAATCTTCACCAAAAAATCGCAAATTTCTTCGTCAAATAGTAAAATGGCCAAAGAAAATGGGCCAGCTCGTATGATGTCGGGTTATATGATTGTCTATAAAGACCAACTATACAATAGTTGGACTTGTTGAAGCATTTTTAAATTTAGAAAAGCCCAAAACTTTGCTGAAGTCGAAGGTTTAGCCCTTAATACACCTTGTAAATTCTCACCGATCCATTTGATAGTCTCCTCTTTTGTGGTGTTTGTAATTTTCCGATGCTATACAATGCCTGAATGAAATTTTATCGTATGGTTCTTGTTTTCATCAAGTCGAATGTAGTTTAGTTATGCCTTTTTCTTGCATATATTTTCACTATGTTGATTACAATAAAATAATCAGTTAAGGAGATGGCATCATAATATTCGCCATAATTATGTATATAAGGTTAAATTAAACTAAAAATAAAAATTAAGAACAATCATTTCGAAAAGGACAAGGTAATTTATTCTCATTTTTTTCTGCTATCTAGTATTCGCGGGTTGTGCAAAATTGAAAGAAAAAATGAAAATGGAAACGAGAAGTTAATTATTTTTTGAACATGCTGATTTTTAAAATTAAGAAGCGATTTTAACATTTCTGACTGTTTTTAAACTTTACTAGATTCTAGATCCGTGCTCGCACATGTATATAATTGACTAATGCATTTTTGTTTTTAATGTATCATTTGCAATTCATATGATGATCAAGTATCTGTGAGAGGAAATTAGAAGTAAAATTTTGCATATTCATTGCAGAATAGGGATAGCATACATTTGCTCTTGATCCTAATATTAATAACGTTGAGATCAACTTTTGACAATATCACTTTCCTAACCATTTAAAAATTATTTCACTATTACGAGAAGTTAATTATATTTTGAACATACTGATATTTAAAATTAAGGAGTGATTTTACCCTTTCTCCCAACTGATTTTAAACTTTATTTGTACATCAACAAGAAACAAACAAATATGAAAGGGAACTAAAAAGTAACAATTACAGTATTAAATATCATGGTATCATTGTGCCCAATGCTATCTATCTTTGCAGACTCGATTATACTTAAGAAGAGAATAGCTGAATACCATGAAGCGGTTTTCAGTGTTCAATTTGCTTAACAGATCTAGTATCCACTTAACGATTAATTTGAAGACGTTAGATAGAGCCACCAATTTTGGAAATCAAGTCAAGCTAGTTGACGTTCAAGTATGCAATCCAAGAGGGGGTTGAATTGTAGAAAATTTTCCAACTTGAAAACTAATTTTGGTTTTCTATTGAAACTTTAAGTACTTAACAAAAGATGATCATAATGAATACAAACCTAATTAAGTGTACTGTGTGTTTTGTGACAAGAAATAAAGGCAATGAAAGAGAGTCAAAATTAACTCAACAATTTATAGTCCTAAGGTGTTAATCCACTAGAACTCAAAAATTCTGATCAACATTCAACAAGAAGCACCTCAATACGGTTTCTATATCTCTAGATAAACTAATTTTACCAAAACACGCCACTCTAATAAATTTTTATATTGATAACAAGTGAATTTGCAAGAACTCAAAACACAAAAGTCTTAGATACTTTGGAGTGCTTTCCAAAACATCTAATTTCATAATTTTTGAGTTTATAAATGTGACCGTGATCCTTTAAACTTGAGCAACAGATTCTGGGAATTTACGAAATTAGGATATTTTACCCATAAACAATGCCCAAACCTTTTCAAAACATTATTAGTTCAATCACTTAATTGTTTTATTATTAAATTAGTTTATCTTTGACAAATAACTAGACCATTAATCATTTGTTTGTTTTACATATAATATATAATCATTCAAACAATGATTTAATAGACTTTCAACCTAACACTAGGGTTCTAGGTCCTAATTTGGCGATGCACGGGGAGTGCAAGATGGAAAAAAAAAATCGAAAATGAAAACAATAAGTTATATTTTGAATATTCTCATATGTAGGAGTAGTAAGATGTGATTTTAAACTTTTATTAACGTTTTATTTTAAACTTTATTTGTCTTCATATATTTTTTTATTCAAGAATCTCCCATTGATTACAGTGGAACAACTTGATACTAGTTTGGTCACAATACTGGTTATCATCAAATCTATGATTTTAACCAGTTAGAATCAGCAAACAAGTATATACATGATCGATCACTGAGCTGTATTAGTAAATTGAAGATTAATTCTTAGTTTAAAGTTCATCCTTGGTTGGCTACTAAGAACAAAATGAGCCACAAAAAGAATGCGAAAAGCGAGAACAACGAGGTTGAAGTTAGCCTCCAGAAATATAGCAAAATGCTGTCAAGCTTGCAATTAGCTTGACGAAATGGTGGCATTGAGGGAACCTCGTCTAACTTGTGAGCCGTCGGCATGCCATGGAATTCTGCACTGGGGACAGGTCTCCTTCTTATTCACTACAGATGACAACAATACATAACAAATGCAAACAGCTGAGAGAGTCCTAAGATTTTTAGAGTCCTAAAGATTTTTATCTTTAAAGAGGGAATTCTTAACTCGGCTTTAAAAAGGAAAAGAAAAAAGGTAAACCTTAAGATTGGTCACGTACATTTAGTCCAATTCAAATTTTAGTATCAAACATTAACATTTAGAGAAAATGGTCCCAAACATTATATTTTGTAACTTTTTTTGTCCTAATTTATTGTTTCATCAACTTTTTCGTTCTGTTAACTATTGACCCCACTACGGACAAAGGTACTTTCGGTATTTCGTATTTCTTTAACTGTTTTAAAAAATAAAAAAAAATAGAATGTTATTTTTTTAGCCGACCAGCCGCCAAGTATACAGACATCATCGATGGTCGAGGTGACATCAGCATTGCCAATAATTAATGTTTTAATTATCCTTATACTTTTTTGGATAATAAAAGTTACAGTGATTAAGAAAATAAATATCAAGAAATTAATTATCACTTATGGGCAATCTCGTCCATCAGTGGGTCTAATCAGACAATCAATTTAAATTCGATGGTAGCACCATGACATCAACAACTTGAACAAGGCAAAAACGATAACTCGAGTATTTTTGACCACTAGTGAAAATGACGGTTCACTCCGAGATTTTTTTTTTTAAATCTCAACTTAATGAATCTATGTCATTTTATCTCTATTACATCTCTCCCCCTCAAAATTACTACTTTATCTCTATTATTGTGTCTGGCTGCACAATCCTACGTGGTACAGCAGCTGCACTGAATAATTTCTCCCATTACCAAATTTGTGTAAAGATTATACGAAAATAACTCAGAAATTAAATCCAGATCGTTCCATTCTACTACGATTTGTTTCTTTTCTTTCTTTCTTTTTTTTTTTTTTGGTATTAAAGAAAAATGAATGTTGTTAACAGATACTACACCCACAAGTACAATTTTCCAATATATAATATAATAATAAAACTCTTGAAAGTTGTTTTAAAATAAAAAAAAAATTTTGATTTTTTTAAACAAAAATTTTGTTACATTTACATTTTC